ACTTCAATTAATATGCTCGACCCGACCAAGGAAATAGGAAAAGTAAGACGAACACAATGTAAAGAGGGAGAGAACAGAGTGAAACGAGAAGTTATAAAGGAAGATAAAATTTAAGAAGTTAAAAAATAGGAAAGTAATGAATGAGGGTACAAAAGTAGAGAATAAATAAGGAAAGAGATAAATAATAAGATAAGGAATGAAGGATAAAGAAATAAATATAGAAAAATATAAATGTTGAAAATGGATATGAGGGGTGGTTCCAAAATACCAGTATAGGAGACTGGCTCGAGGAAGAATGAGTGAACGAGAAGACAGAAGGGAAGATAGAAATAAAGAAGTTAAAAAGTAGAAAAGTAAGGAATAGGGGTATATAAGTAGCGGAGAAATGAGGAAAGAGATAAATCAGAAAGTAAAGAAGAAATAACTATAGAAATTGAAGAAGGTTGGAAATGAATATGAGGGGTATTTCCAAGAGACCAGTATAGGAGACCGGCTCGAGGAAGAATGAGCGCTCCGAGTCCGGGCGCTGCCTCGAGCGCCCCCACCCATCCGCCTGCTCCCACCCATCCGCCTGCTCCCACTCACCGCCTGCTCCCGCTCGCAGAGTCCTGCGTGAAAAATTTGCGCGCACACGATTTTGGGCAACTTCCAGTACTTCTAAATATGCTTTTCCATAATTTCAGAGTTTTAAGTGTTAATATTTTACTTTATCGACTTAATTAATTATTTTAATGTCTGAAATAACATCTACTGAACAATTAATTAAAAATGCTGAAAGGTACGTCGATCTAGAATTCAAACGCGATCATCAGCTCGATCCAAAATCCTTTTTAATGTACATCTATGTCGACTTTATGTCCTAGGAGTCCCGGGTAGCTACGCCTGTACAATACAGAAGAATCTACCAGTTATTAATTACTTACGAAACTGATTGTCAATAAAACAAAACTGCTTCCGTCTTCCTAGCCCCGCTATACTTATAACTAATAACTATTCTTAAACGACTATAAGTACAGTTCAATTAATTCATATACTCATCTATTTACAACCTACGTACAAACAATCTAATTCTTTAATTTTACTCAAAGAGACATTTCATTAGTATTAGAAATTTTCAAATTTGGTAAAAATATTTCAACAATAGGCTTTTTCAACAGTTGTTGAGAAGTTCTATAGTTCCCGGGCTCGTTCTAAGGGTTGCTTTGGGAAACAGCGGTGAGTAGCGGAGAACGTCTGCCCGCCAAGCTATGCGTCCGTGTTCCCGTTTAGCTCGGCTACGACGGGATTCGTATTGTTGACGCAGGCGATGATCACAATATCCTACTTCCGGACTCGCCGCTATGATTTAGCGCCACGATTTTGGTATCGCCGAAAATCGTAGCGTTGTGCATCTCCCTATTCATCTCTGGTCGAACAGCGGACTTTTGCCGGCTTGCCATAGATCCGTCACGTGCAAGATAAACGACACCAATTTATTTTCAAGTAACAATCCGAAGAATTCTTCGTGAACATTCGCGACACATTCGTTATCAATTTCCTTTGGCATTTTATAGTTCATTGGCTTTTAGTTTACAGTACAAATTCTTTTTATCTGATACTATTAAATAACCCTGAAATAGAACCATGCTCTCTGTTTGCTTTTTTGTTACTGGATTTAATTGAAGTAACATCATAATTGTAATCGTTCATTTCTATATTTCATATACGTACATTTCTTTAGGAACGAAATGAATTTTTGGAGGCCATTCATGTACTAGGTTGAATATAAGAGTCCCTTAGATCTCATAGTATAATTATTGGCCGATTATGGATTGTGTGTACTTTAATACAATGCATTACATTATTTCATTAAATGCTTGAGTAGAATTCACTACACAGTATATGCATAATTGATACTAAGTTATAGAATTTTGAGCAACATTTTTATTGTTTAACATTCGTTTCTTTCATATTAACAATACGTTATAGATCTATTCCAAATGTCTAGGATAATTTAGGAATATTCAAGGGCATACAACAGTACTGACTATAATTTAAACGAACATTTATTTAGACTAAGGTGAAAAATAAACATTAATGTTAAAAAAAAATGTAACAGAATTCGAGTTATTATTTTATCGTAGTACTTAGCACACGATAACATTTTTACACTTATATTCTTATCAAATTTCTTCTTCATACGTTCATCAGTTGGGAGATTTAGCAAATGCACGGCTATAAATGCTTTATATATTCGCTCCATGTTCATTTCTATATTTTCTTATCAGCTGATATTTTTTTAAAATAAAAATTAAGATTCACGTTAGACTATTATTAGATCACCATAACTTTATTTACCACTGTTCTCTTTTTTATCGAGTTCGCAGTTTACGGGTATAATTTGGTTCTCATTTCAATATGAAAGATCAAGCACTTTTTGACCGATGTAATTTTTGACTTTACGTTACCTGAGAATAATGTCGAATAAATGTATAATTAATTCGACTGCATTGTGGTTTTTAAATTAAATGGCTTACAAGATGTCTACAAACATCTATTGCTAACTAAAGCTTTGTGCAATCACTTACACCACGTTATCCTATAACAATGGTAAGTAGCGAATACATTTTTGAAAATAGCTGACGAAGAAATTAGGTGGCGGATAAATTACACACATCCCCATTGTCAGAATTACATTAGATCCTTGCAGTGAACAATTAACGTTATATAGACATAACGTCAATTACGGAATTAGCTGCATCAACGACGTTGGCGAACGATACGTGAGTTCTAACACGTTACATTTAAACATTAAAATTTGAACAAAATTATTGACGTACTTCACTACTATATGCGATTTCGTATCAGTAACGTGCATCTTCCAAGGAAATAAAATTATACGGAAGAAAAATGGACAAGGTCCACAACGTCTCGTGGTAACCATTTTAAGATTTCACGCTCGATTCTCATAACGTTCGTATTCTGTTTTGAAATACGAATGTAGCCGTTCAAAACATTCAACTTTGAATGTTTTAAATGATAATTCAATGTTCGCACAGGCCATGTAATTCACAAATGCAATTCCAATGAACAGGTTGAACAAGATTCAGTCTTTGCATGAGAATTTGGTTGGAACTCGTTACATGCCCATTCCTCCCATTCCTCCCATTCCTCCCATACCACCCATACCGCCCATGCCTGCCATAGGATTGGGCGCATCTTCCTTAGGTAGTTCAGTGACAACTGCTTCTGCAGTCGTAAGTAACGAGGCTACTCCAGCAGCATCGGTCAGAGCAGTGCGGACTACCTTAGTGGGATCGATGATACCCTTCTCGATCATGTCGACGTACTCGTTGTTCATGGCGTCATAACCAAGGGTGCCTTCAGTGACCTTCGCGACGACTAAGCTGGCATCGACACCGGCGTTCTGTGCGATTTGTAGACATGGCATGCGCAGAGCATTAGCCACAATTTGAATTCCAGTTTCTTGGTCTGTATTACCGGGCTTCAGCTGTTTGAGAGCTGGTCCGCAACGGAGAAGAGCAGTGCCACCTGTCACAATAAAAATTATTGTTTTACAGATTCATATGGATAACGTTCTATCCTTCAGGAATTCGTATTTACCTCCGGGAACGATGCCCTCCTCTACGGCAGCTCGAGTGGCGTTGAGGGCGTCGTGGACTCGATCTTTCTTTTCGTTCACTTCAACTTCACTGCTGCCACCTACTCTGAGGACTGCTACACCAGAAGCGAGCCTTGCCAAACGCTCTTGCAATTTTTCCTTTTCGTAATCGGATGTTGTATTTGCAATTTGATCTCTGATTTGGTCAGCGCGCCTGTCAATGTCACTCTTGGCTCCCTTGCCCTTCAGGATGAGAGTATCGTCCTTTGTGATAACGACTTCACCAACCTGGCCCAGGTCACTCAGCTATAAGCAGTAAAAAAATTATGTATATTTGTAAATGTCAGTCAAATTCCTACACGAGACAAATATCAGTGTATATAATGACGCGAATTTCTTACCTGTACGTCTTCCAGTTTTACAAGATTAGCATCATCTCCGAAAACAATACCGCCTGTCGAGATAGCCATGTCCTGAAGGGTAGCTTTGCGATTGTCGCCAAAACCAGGAGCCTTAACAGCCGCTACTTGTAAGCCAATCTTAAGACGGTTTACAACGAGAGTGGAAAGAGCCTCGCCGTCGATATCTTCAGCAATAATGACGAGAGGTTTGCGCTGAGAGTTAGCCAATTCCAGAGCAGGAATAATACTTTGTACAGAAGAAATCTTTTTCTCGCTGAACAGAAGGAGAGCATCTTGGAATTCCACCTTAGCTCCTTTAGTCGAGTTAATGAAGTATGGTGAAATGTATCCTCGATCGAACTTCAATCCTTCGATTACTTCTAACTCGTCGGTAAGGGTCTTTCCATCCTTAACAGTGATGACACCCTCCTTGCCCACTCTCTTCATGGCATCAGAGATGAGATTGCCAATTGTAGTGTCTCCATTTGCTGAGATAGTTGCAACCTGAGCAATTTCCTCTGGAGTAGTGACAGGTTTGCTCAAATTCTTCAACTCTTCTTTGATCTTGTCTACCGCCAGCATGACCCCTGGGCAAGAATAAAAATAAAACCATGAAAATTTGCAGAAGACTGTAGCATAATACGATAGCTTATCTTACAGTCGTGCTATTTAATGCAGAATATATTATCTGGCATTGTATACAGAATACATGAGTCAGAGGTTATGTTATTCTGCATTAAAACCACGTCATTTTCTTGAACTAAAATCTATCTTTATGAACTTACCACGCCTGATTTCAATAGGGTTAGCGCCCTTGCTGATCTTCTCAAAACCTTCCTTAGCAATGGCTCTAGCCAAAACAGTGGCTGTGGTCGTTCCATCACCAGCTTCTTCATTGGTATTGTTCGCTACATCTTGTACCAACTTAGCTCCAATATTTTGAAACTTATCTTTAAGTTCGACACTTTTTGCAACAGTTACTCCATCCTTTGTAATTTTAGGACTGCCCCACGATTGCTCTAAAATAACATTGCGTCCTTTTGGACCCATTGTTACTGCAACAGCATCAGCCAGGATGTCAACACCCTGAAGCATGAGTGCTCTTACTTCAGCTCCAAAACGAACATCCTTCGCATAGGAGCGTGCTTGCACCTGCATCTGGCGCAATGCTACGCTTCTCAACATGCTTGGTAATCTATACATCTAAAAGAAATAAAACTCCAATTGTAAACCAGTTAGTTGCGTCATTCTAGTAAAACTGCTGCATAATATAAAATTGATCTCATATACCTTGTAACTAGCAACAAAAATTGAAATGTATAAGAAGAAAAATTGAACTTAAATTATAGATGGCATTCTCTAAAACATATGCATGAATATCTCCCATGTATTTCTACCATAAATCTTCCATATATTTCATAAATATTAGCTAGTCTTAATATATAGAGAAACATGGTTATGTAAACTACCTCGTGTAACTGAAAAACCGTAAAACGTCTAAATTAATCCCATCAATAAATCCCACACAACTCCAATAAAATGTTGTAACCTCGAGTTTTATCTAATAAAAAAGTGTACGTTATCCCAAGAAAAAATTAACGATCTCTTTTTCCGGCTAACATTTTCATGGGAGTCGTGCCGAGCCGGTCCCATTTTAATTTCGAGTTTCTCTTTGCTTGACTAAAATCTATATCGAACAATAATTTTTCCCGTTGTTGAATATAATCTTACCTTTATTTGATATGAGAGAAGCGGCGGACAAAAGCCGGTTGATCAAGAATAAGCTGAAAGTCGTAACGGCGCGATTGCACGTTGTCCTGAGAATGGAATGAGAAGAAGCACAGAGGTTCACGATATCACATGGGCCAGTTTCCCTCTCCTTTACCACACCCAACCTAACCCCACCTTTGTTGCTCGAAAAATCGAGAAAAATTCTTTTTGTAATGAATTTCAAGGATTGCAAAGACTGTTTTCAAAATAAAGCCATCGAAGAATAATATCTATACGGACAGATATAGCCAAAATATAATTATTAATAACAATTTTTAATCATATCGGCCTATGGACCATGTGCTTCTAGAAAGTACCAAGCCTGAGCATGACGCAATCATCTGGTGAACACCAATCAGCTTGGCGGGAATAAACTTTGTACCCGATTGCTGGAGTTTATTTGTTTAACATATTTTAAGTGCACACGAATTTATAAGGAAATAAAGTCGGGCCACGTGTGTGCTTAGAAGTGTTAGTATCAGTCACCGGTGGCTGACAAGGCACTCAACGTGTTAAAATATTTTTAACTAAAGATAGATTTAACACGATGAATATAATTATTGTCTAGGGTTGACCATGGATATAATGAACTAGATCATCTTAATTGTGATGGGTATAATAAATGCTTTTCAGAGTCATATACATAATGAGAATCTGGGAAATTTTCATATAGAATTTGAAATATATTATCATTTCCGTCTTATAAGGGCATAAATATTGGTACTTTCATTCATCACTTTTCTACAAATTCCGCCATTTCATCAGAAATTCATGTAAAATGTGCACAGCCATTTAACTCTGCACGACAACAGAACATAACTCCAAACGATTAATCTTAAAAAATGTAGAATAGTTTAACGATTCATACAGATACTATAGCTATCACAACATGGACTTTTTTTAAATTAATGATTCTGTACAAAAAATTAAAGATACAGCTTATCAAATTTAGATAACAGTACGTCCAAATGCTGAAAAAATTCAGAAAAGCTGTAATTCATCTGTAACCTCGAATTACTTTTAGTTCCAGTTATATGGAAATACATAGATGTATGTATACTTTTTCTTGGAAAACACCCTCTATAGTCACAAATATATTTTTACTGATAAGTTTCTTAATTTTCTAGAAAATGGACAGGAAAGATGAATAGCATAATTTTTGGTTTCGTTATTGATCCGCTGAAAGGAGCACGTGGCAATAATGGTGTTATGGCGGACAACAAGGCGCACACCCTTTTGGTGAATTCTCGAAGCTTTCGTTATATAACTGGTGCCCGTTTTAGTACGTGAAGTAAAATCGATGTGTGTGAGGATTGGTGGGGTGTACTGGCTGAGGAAGCTTCGAGAAAATTAAGAGAGGAGAGGTCCATTCCTCGAGGCACCGGCAGTTAGGTTACACAACGTGCACAGTTTCTGCACGCCGGTTATATCTACTCATTTATTTCGTGTTCAAGTGAAAATCAACTTACAAAATGGTACGTTGGAATGTTATTTAATTCCACCTGATATTACAATGAAAGGTCATTATGTCTGACACAAGAATTAATGTAAGATCTTTCGGAAATTTCGTAGATCATGTACAATCGTCTTTTTGAATAATGTAGATATCGTTAATTTTTTTTCTAAATATATAATTATACTATTTATCTATAACGTTTCCATGGATATTTTTGAGTTTTATGGAAAGTTGAAATGATGTCGGTTTCATGAACAACCGGCAAAAGGTACTCCGAGGTTGATCGTATTATTTTTTTATCTAATGTTACTTGTTTTTTATATTATTGTTCATGTAAACAAGTTGTTCACAGAGATGATTTTCAATTGTTTTTAATAGTTTTTATAGCGTTTGAAATCCCAGGAACATGGTTTCATCTCCTGCAATGTTTAACCTTAAAGTATAATTCATTTCTTAAAATACTTATATTTTTAGATATTTAAAGCTTCAAAATTCGTTTGCTTGTTTACTCAAGCAAAGTTTAATAGAATTTTGTTTTGTAAAGTAAATATTTTTTAGTGTTATATCTCTTTTCTTTTACAGGCCGCAGCTGCAGTAGCTAAGAGACTAATCCCTCTCTTTGACAGAGTTCTTATCCAGAAGGCAGAAGCTCTTAGCAAAACTAAAGGTGGCATTGTCATTCCAGAGAAAGCACAGTCAAAAGTTCTTCAAGGAACTGTTGTTGCAGTTGGTCCAGGATCAAGGAATGATGTGAGTAAAGATTGCTAAATCTTTGATATAATTTTCATTACACTGATATAAATAAATAAATGTTATTATAGAAAGGAGAACATGTTCCTCTGAGCATTAAGGTTGGGGACACTGTTTTGTTACCTGAATATGGTGGCACCAAAGTGCAACTTGAAGAAAACAAAGAATATCACCTGTTCCGTGAATCTGACATCCTAGCAAAGCTGGAGTCTTAAGCCAGGAATTAGAATATGTTAAGACTATTTTCACAAAATGCCACATGGAAAGTGTCGTATGCTCGGAACATCAAAATCTCAATGCAACGTGACGTCACTAGAGTGGCCCAAACCACTATTATCGGCGAATGATTGTTGATTCAAATTACGTTATTTCTTTGTAAGTCTGCTAGCATATAGGTGTCATTGTTTCGTACATATTTCCAAATAATAAAAGATTTATTCATGGTACTATCATTACACTTTTCTTATAAACAAATTTGTAAAGTTGACACACTTTCCAAGCACACCCTACTTCATTCCAATTAGATGGGACAAACTATCTTCTTTGACCCACTAATCAACAATATACTATTCTATGTAGAGTATCAGGATTTAGAAACGATGCATACAAAAATTTTTTAAAACGTTATATGCTTTTCATTTTCATCATGTATCTGATACAAAAAAATAAGTAATGCAAATTGACAGTTATATATAATTTATATAAATGTATGCTTTTATTGTGTCTGAAATAGAATCTAATGGAACTAATAACATGATTTTATTTAAGTTTTATACTCTTCTTCACACTAGCTTTAATACCGGATATTTCTCCGGCATATCTTGTTACCTCCTTTCGAACTTCTCTCACCTGTAAAAATAAAGTGTGTATAAGAAAAAAACAAATTCAAATGAAAATAGATGAATACAGGTAGAATTTTAAATATATATCTACTTACCGCTCCCTTCCGGCGAATCTTAGCTTTGCGGTATTTGTTTCTATGCTTAACTCGCGGATTTCGCTGTTCCTTTTTACGGTGTGGTGTGAGTCCTTTATTCTTGGCTATTTGGTAGGTAATAGCTCTCTTTCCTTCCTCTGTATCACTCTCATCCATTGCTAACTCATGGTCTTCCGTATCTTTATCATTGATCTCAGTGTCAATTAGTTCAGAATGTTCACTATGTTCCATATCTTCATCAATTTCTTCATCAGCTGTTTCATCATCTGCAGTTTTCTTCGACATTGTAACGTCCACATTCTTGTTCTCTTGCCTGGCACGTTTCAATTTTTCACCTAAAGCTCTCGTGGCGCATTTCTTTTTTTCATTTCCCAATTCTTTATAGTCTATCGTACTGTATATAGGTAAACACTTCTTTTCAGCACTCAGTATCTCTTTGACTTGTTCAAGCAACTTCCCTTGACCTGATTCTAATTGGTTAAGAAGCTGACGATACTGCGCTAGACGCTTGATAACTGGATGGGAGGTAACAGGTAGCCTTTTTGCTTTAAGCATCAAGTAGAATGAAATATTGACACAGTAATTAAGAATTAACTGATACTTTGATTTTATAAAAGAAATAGCAGGACAAGCAGGACATTTCCCTCTTTCAACGAATTTTAAGAATGGAGCTAAGAAATCACGTACTTCGGTTAGACGTTCCTTAAAATCATTAACGAGTCCTTGAAATTCAGGACTTTCCTTCTGTACAAGTAACTGTTTCTCTCTTTTACTGAGTTTGGTAAGATCAGTTTTAACAATCTGATCCTTATCTTGTAATTCAATGACTTCTTTTTCTTTTGATTGTAATAAATCCAAGCCAAAGTCTGCATCATCCAATTGTTCAGCAAGACGTTTTTGGATATTTCTAGCTTCTTCTTCTTCCATTTCTGCATCAGCCATGTCCTTTTGGCTTGCTGATGCATAATCAGGATCAACATAGTCAGTTGAGTAATATGCATTCTTCTTTTTACCCCATGCTCTCTCATCTGGTAATTCAAAATCATCTTGAAGACCTTCAATATCAGATTCTAAAGAGTCCTCAAGATCTTCGTCTTGATCATCCTCTTCGTTCTCATCCTGTAGTCCATAAACTTCATCTTCACTGTCAAAGTTTTCTGGTACACGCTTCTTACGGGCTTTTTCAAGTAAGTACCTCTCAGTTTCAGTGTACTCATCTTCAGAGTTAGATAAATCATCCAAGTCTCCTGGATCCTCATTCAAGATATCTTTCCTGAACCTGTGTTTATTAATAACATATATTAGATGTATATATTAACATATGTTTATGTAAATACATATGGCTAAGAAATAAAACCAATTAAGAACATAAAGTTTCAAAGTAACCTGTAAATCCAAAGCTATCAATATTTTTTTATCATTTGCATTACGACTAAATATAAAAATGCATGTTTTAAATTCTATTAGAATTATTAATAATGTATTCCAATATTTATAGAGGTATACCTTTTTTTATTCGCCATTATGATATTTTCAAATCACAAATAATATAAATGACCCAAACCCATGTGCCACCATGTAATAATGACCGGTGTCCCCACTTTATCCACTTTAGTTGCGCTTCAACATACAATGGAGCTATAACCTTAAAAATTCTGGTCCATAGAATTTTCCGAACACCATCTGTCCCAAAGAAATATATAATTAAATAATTTAATTTGCATTGAATTATACGTAAACATGGTGTTCCAATCGTTGATGTTACTCGCGAGAAATAAAGGACCTGACGAATTTTGGAGGAAAAGAAAAATTTTCAGAATCGCTGCTGTAAGTATTTCACCGTGAAATTTATTTACAGTTCTTGGCTGCTATTTTAAAAATTATTTTATAGCACTTCATAGGCCGTCGTAGAAATTGCTACAGTATTGCTATTCGCAATGTTCACCGTGCTCTGGTGTATTCTTCCAAAGGACGTGCACTGAAGAAAGCTGATATGCGTGCGGTAAGCTGCAGTTACTCTAACTAGCTATCAAAGTAGTCACATTTTTATTTTTGCTTAATGTAATATTCATTTAAAGCTATGGGAAACAAGGCTCCACGCAGCTTCTGAGGAGCATGGTATATCACGTTACATTTTACATGAAGGATTAATGAGATCTAATATCTTACTGAATCGGAAGACTCTTATGGACTTAGCAGTTTGGGAACCCCGAACTTTCAAGGCGCTTTCAATTATTGCTTTAGCTAGAACAAAGCAAGATGGTTTAAACTCTGTTCAACATCTAGATATGCCTGATGGCATAATTACAAGAGGAATGTTAAAATGAAGTAGGCTATATGAATGAAATAAGTATGAAAAAATATGACACGTGTGTCGCTCACTTATTAACATTATGCTTTTTTTGTTCTATTTAATATCCTCTATTTTACGCTTTACATATACATGTTATATCAACAATCTTTTACTTCACATTATATATACGTTTGTAGTTCTCACGTGTGTGACAATGTGTATATATATACATATTAAGTTACATATTAATCAATTTTGTCAAAACCAATGTGATATAATATGTAAAATTAAAGATTATAAATGAGTACAGCTCTGCGTACGTTTCATAGTACTATACGGAGGCGAAATGATATTTCCAGAAAAATATAACAAGTCATTGATCATCACAAGTATCAATACAAAATTCGATATTTCACTGCTTGGCATTCACAATTTGTACGAAATCAGGTTTTAGCGACGCTCCACCAACTAAGAAGCCATCAATGTCTTTCTCTTTTGCCAACTCCTTGGCATTACCTGCTGTTACTGAACCTCCATAAATAATTCTCAGAGATTCAGCGACAGCAGGACTAACATTCGCAGCAATCCACTGTCTCAACTTCTCATGAACTTCTTGTGCTTGTTGAGGTGTGGCAGTTTTTCCTGTTCCAATAGCCCAAACTGGCTCATACGCCAAAACAACATTGTCCCAAGACTTAATTTTATCAGCAATAGCCTTAGTTTGCCTGAAGACAACTTCTTCGGTTTTTCCAGCTTCACGTTCCTCTAGCTTCTCTCCAATACAAGCAATCACCTTCAGTCCAGCTTCCAGAGCATGTGCTACCTTCTCGGCAACAAGCTCATCAGTCTCACCAAAAATGTTCCTACGTTCTGAATGGCCAAGAATGACCCAGGGAATACCATTATCCAAAAGCATAGCTGGGCTAAGCTCCCCAGTAAAAGCTCCCTTGGCAACCTTGTAGGTATTTTGGCCACTGATGCTGACATTACTAGGTAAAATACTTTTTGCGTATGATAAGTAAATAGAAGGAACGCCAACAACAACCTCTGTAATAAAACAAAATATTCTTTAAAATATCACTAATTAATCATAAATCTGAACTATTTCAATATCCTATTCCCAAGAGATTATCAATTATTCCTTATTAAAAAATTGATCAACAAATAAAAAGTTTCTAATCATTATTCTATACTGTCTGTATTCCTCAAGAAAATTATTTGCAATTTGGTTTTTCAAAATATACATGATGAAACTGAAAGACTTCAGAAGGTCACTGCAAATTCAAATTTGTTAAATACCAATACATTACTATAAATAATCATTAAATATCCGTCTCGCTATACATTTTTAATTTAAAAAATTCTAGTGAACTCACATCAAATAGTGATCAAGGATTTCGATAGCACAAATTAAGAATAGCACCTACCGACATTAGGATCTAATGGACCGGCTTTTAGGAATGCAACGATCTCGTCAATTTCCTTCTTACTACCATTCATCTTCCAGTTACCACCAACAAAGAATTTGCGAGCCATGTTTTTAGAATATTACGTGTTAGCAAAGGAAAGTGTGATAAGACAAATCTAAATTTCTGAGGTCTATAGAACTCGTCCAACACTTGCCCTTGCGACCTTCACACTAGCTCTAAGGTGAATCTTATCCCACACCCTATTGGATATCCCCACCACTTAGTCCGAAGCCCAATTCACAGTTGTCAATCTACCGACTAGTCAGACTGATATCGTGCTTGTGCTCACGTATTATTGACATACAAAATATAAGAAAAATAAAACTTTTCTCAGGTAAGTTATAAATACAATTTCATAGGTAAATGTCGTCTGTATTATAATGTACATGATCCTTTAAAAAAGTTTGCTCATTGTACTCTTATGATTTACACAGATTATTTCTTTACTGTTATATTCAATAATTTTATATTTTCAAAACAAACAGAAAGTTGATTTAATTTATGATTTATCCTTTAATGAAGAATTTGATTATTGACTGCTAGACATTAATCTCGTTCTAATTGCATTATCGTCCTGAATTTGTATAGACATGTAAAAGGTTATGTCCGTCCAGCGTTGATAGTGCTTTTCTATCGGCAAAATGTTAGAAATGTATTACTACATAAATATGATTAATATGTTGATTATTAAAATATGGATTATAAAAACTATATTAATACGTATCCGCTAGGGGATAACTGACACCAAATTAGATTATTTGTAAATTATAAATGGTGTTATCTTCATTAGTTACTATAGCAAATTTCGGGATATTTCCAAAGCTATCGGTTTTGCCGTAACGACTGTTAGAATAGAAATTCATTGTTAATTACTATCCTACAAACTTTTCTAACATTTTGAGAAGTTTGCTGCAAGAGAAAAACAATCGTTCATTACAACTTGTGACGTTTTTATTGCTTGAAACTTGGAACAATTCTCATACATCCTGCCATTCAGAATATTCTATCATACAGTTCTTCGTGTATTTATTTATCGATAATTTGACGTAAGAACCATACAAAAAAAATTCCGATGCAACTTCTTTAAGTGGGAAGAAAGAAAAAACAATGTTCAATAGTTCGTCGGACAATGTAGATAATTTAGTGCACAGGTTTGTGCAAAATTTGGGTGTTAAAATTGAGCCTGTTGGCTGTAACAAAGCAGAGAGAATCAAGTATATCAAATACGTAGACAAAGCAAGAAAGATGAAACGTGAATTACTACGAATTAGCGAAAAGACTCATGACATGTTGACGCAAGGAAGTTTAGATTTTTCGGACGTTCATAGTATACAGTCGTTCATGGAGAAGCGTACCAATCTTTTCGATAAGTTTTATATGAAAAGCACACCACTTTTGGCGCCCCACTTGAGGAATATCAATAAGAAAATTACGCAGAGTGTGACAAATGTAAAATCTGAGAACGAGAGAAAGTTAAGAAGACGAGAATCCATTAAAGTTCCAAAATGTACGAATAATAAGGAGTCAACGAGTCGCAAGTGTAAAACGGAAATAGCTGATAGTACTCGTGATCGATCTTCAGCATTTGGAAAAAGTTTTTCTTGTTCTGCTTTGAAAAAAGGAGACTATTCCAATAGAGCCAATTCTTTGAAATGTCAATCCGAAGTTAAGACTATCTCAAAAACATCCAAGATTCCAGTCATTAAATCGAAAGGAACTTACAGTTCTTGTGATGCTTTGCCAGACAAAGAGAATAAACGAATTCCTGACAAGGATTACGTTGATCAAAATACTAAGAGTACAAATTTATGGTGGATTCATAAAAAGAAGGAGAATATTGATTCCTGTAATTTAAAAGCTGGTATAGTAAGATACACACAGAGGCAAACAGAATTAAATAGAAGATACTTGGAGCTTCAAATAAAGGATACAGATTTTATAAATCAACACGTGCGAATTACACTTCATATTGCGATTAAGGTGTTTAGGAAAATTATTAATTGAACGAAATCTAGAATTGAGACGTAATAGATATTTCATGTTGCAGAAAGTAGACACTAGGAACTTTCAAATGACGGATTCAAGATATCACAAAGTTCTCATGCTCTGCAAAGAAGCTATATTGTCTCTGATCGAACCAAGTAACAAAGCTTTTGTAGTGTACGAAGACAATCTACCGGCACTCATTAAGAATCATTTAACACGCGGATATAGATATCATTTTACAACTTCCAGGTATAGCTTAATGAATTATGTTTCACTATACTGTATATATTGTTTATGTACTTTTATAGCGCATCCGAGGATTATTATTCAGCACTATTGATATTAAGTCACTGGGCTGAAATCTTAGTGAGGCATCCGAATACAACTTTGATGCGGACCATCAGCTACGCTCTTGGTTGCAGTCTACAGAGAATACTTGTATTATCCTGCCCAGAAGATACATCTTAAGAACTGTATGAAATAAAAAGAATATTCTGATACATTATATTAAATGAATAGTGTTTTTAGCGATATTACACCTTAATAACTATGGACACAAAATTCTATAAGACTGGCTCTTTTTTTTTTACCAATATCCCTTGGGCAGTTGCTATTACGTAACAGCGACTATAATTCAAGATTTGAATAGAGGCGGTAGAATTGAGATATTACAGAGGGTATCTTGTTACCATTTCGTACCGCATTTAATATCTTGTCTTTACTGCCCCTATCCCCATTCTTGCAGCCACATTGATACTTGGTGTATAATGTTTATGTAATATGTTGTGTCGTTGCAGGATAGGATTTTGCGATTCTTCTGCAAAATTTAAAACATGGTGAGTGACGAGGTGACGGAGACTAACAAGAAGCCACCGCCAATCTTCAAGAATCCGACATTTCAGCAGAAATTTCGTCCAATTAGCAGTTCAGGAAAGAAAAGGACCTGGCGATCCTTGAAACAAGTGTTAGCGCAGGAGCGTTCTTTACCATGGCCATCTGAAGTTGTTCATTGTAAGCAATTTGATATTTTCATATCGTCGCCACGTTTGATTTCATTGGCAAGAAAGCCTCGTTCTAAATTTATGTTTATACAGTAGTTTATTCATTGTGGCTTATGGATTAATATTTTCTAACAATTTTCAGATAGTTCCATCAATGCACCTCCCAGCTTCAAACCCGCGAAGAAATATTCTGATATATCTGGTTTGCCGGCAAGTATTTCTTATTGTTTCAGCAGTAGCAATTGTAATTTCGTTAGGTCTGAATTACATCAGTTGTATGATGAAATACTGTTTTTAATTTACAGGCAAGATACACAGATCCCCAGAGTAAATTATATTATGCGTCCACTGAAGAATTTGCTACTGTTCGAAGTTTGCCGATGGATATCACCGCTGGATATTTAGCACTGCGTGGTGCTTCTAGCATTGTCGGTTAATAATCTCTATACACGCAACAACGTTGTGTAGGAAATCCCGTAACTATTTGCAATGAAGCTAAAATGGTCAAAATTGAATGGCAAATGTACAAGCTGTAACAAGAGATGACATTCAATCAGACATTTTGTGTCTGCTTTTGCAACATGTTTTTACCGCTCAGAGTTACGACTCTCTCTGTTTTGGAAAAATCAGATTGTTGTGGAGTTAAATAATTGTAAATCACTTTTCGAATTGATTGAAATACATCATTAAAAGTTCATGAAGTGGTGTGCAGTTTCACGTATTTACATGAGTTGATTACCTGTGACGTACGTTATTTGAGTAAAAGTAGGTAGTCTTTGTCTCGTTACTTTGCTTTCATAGTTTCCACACATTCATGTCATGAAAAGAGAAAATGTGATTTATTTCGTTCTGAATTAGTATCAAATTTGGAAATTTATGGCATTAATTTATTTATAAACTGGCCTTTCAACACAGATTTGTTGATAAAGAAATTTTTGTCTGATTGCTGCAAAGGTATAGAATGATTTTATTCGCAGACATCACAATTCGAAGTCCTCTTTGTAATAGTTTTATACTCTATGTCTGTATTATTTTAAAATGTGATACGGCTACGAGATACGAATCGCACGTTATAAATAACACAACTAATATGTAGTTATCAACGTCGTCAATTATATGTACGTACGAGGCCCGTTCTAGATGTATACCTGCCGAGGGGTAGCGCCACTGGTCTACACACGTTCATACGAATAACATAATTATGGTAACTTTCTGAAATGTTGACGTGCACGACTCAAATACAAAGCAATTTGGCATAAGAAAAGTGTTTTCCATGGTTAAATTAAAATAAAATCACGTAAATGTAGACAATTGCTAAGAGAATAGCGTCTTCAACGGGTTTAACAAATATTTTCAAATAAAAAAACTTGTTAGACGCTTTCCTTACTTTCTCATCACTTTATCTCTCCTTAATATTTTACACGTTTAATTCGTTATTAAAAAAGCTTGTCCATTATAACTTAGTGTACGAACTAAAAACTAATGGGATAGAGGGAGCTATTAGGAAACTTCAAAAACTGCTTTACTTCTAATCTTTAGATCGCTGTTTTTTTTTCCTTTCAGTTCTCAGTCTTTCGCACACCTCAACATGTTTTGTTTGCTATCATGTCGGCCACTGCAAACTTGCAAAAATTATTTGCACTTGGAAATTCAAACAATATGGCCTAATTGTAATGTAGCATGACGATCCGCCGGTGTTAGGTCGCGATTTTTTTCTGAGAGGGTTAAATTGATTAGAGCTGGAACTTCCTTTCACTCCAGATCAGGCATCTCATCGTCGTCACTGTCTGAATCATCAGCCTCCTCCCCAATGTCGTCTAGGTCGTCGAAATTTGGCTTGCTGTCACCAGCACCACCAAGACCACCCATTTGACGCATCATCTAGTTAAGCACAAGACAAAAAATGCATTATGATTCAAAGTTCACATTCTGTTCAATATTATTAGAAAAATTATAATTACATCCTCCAAGTCTCGACCACTGCCTTCCATGCCACCTTCATCATCACTGTCATCCTCATCCTTCCACTTGTTAAAGTCACTCTTCAACCAATGGAATTTCTTGTTCTCCTTAGTGAGACGAGGCCAATATGGACCATCTTCTTTTTTGGTGAGTACTAGTTCATAGTTCCTGCCCTTTAAACTCTGGATTGTCTTCTCTGGATCAATTTCTTTGTATAGATTGATAGTAACTTCATGCAGTTTACGTTCTGTGCCTCCTACACCTTTAAAATATATCTTTTCCGCTTCAATCTTTAGTGTTGGGTCTTTACAATCCTCCAAGCAAATCGTGACATAAAGAACGTTGCTCCTTTGAGCCCACATAACAGGTGGAGGAGGTAACCTAAAAGTCAATTTTGATTTTTAAAAATCGTTCAACATTAACTTATTATAGTAACTTAATTGTTCCAATGTCAAAATAAATTATTAAAAAATCAATAATAAAAGATGATACATTTTATGCATTAAGTAAAGAAGTATAAAAACTTCGTCACAGAAGAAATATTTGGAGGGGAAGTCAATGCGAAAATTTTAACTTTGCCTAAAAAATCGCTAGTCACTGCAAGCAGGAAGCACACCTTACGCCGTTCGAATATTAATGAATATTGCAGGGGGACTTATTTCTCATAGACCTAATAACAAAGGCTTTCTATTTAACTTCGACGAGTGGAGAACGATACGAAACGATAAATTATATTCCGAGTAGCGATATGAGGATAAGAAATGTAAAATATAGCTCTCGTGTTACGAGATATTCCAAGCCGCATTGGCGTGGTCGTACCGTCACTACTCGCCATGGTAAAGAATGAATTTCATATTAATATTATATGTTCCTAAAAGACACGCAAAAGGGAATATTTTCTCATGAATTAGCATGACGGGAACAATGCTTCATGGCTGTTTTCTAGAAACTTCGAGAATCAATAAAACCATTTTACAACATGGCGGTCTTTCGAAAGACACGGGGCGGCTTAGGCGGTTTTTACTGACGAATACCCGCCCGAGTCATTTACGAATTAAAGTCAAAATAGTCATTTTGGCATGGCCTTAAAACTAAAACATGAATTTATGTGAATTTGCGTCTACTTACTGGCCTTCTTGGGTCATTTTCTGGCTGGCTCAATCCACGAGAAGGAAACAAACACACCACACTTACGTACCGCGCCGCACTACTGATTCGAGAGTGTTTCGAGATAGAAATATCGACCAAACAAATAACATTTGGCCAATGGGATGGCGCTCGACGTCTTTCTACTTCCGGAACCGATATTTAAATGGACTAACTTTTGATTGACTTATTGAATAGTTTGTTTATCATTAGTATAATAAGATATGTGATTCTACGAAATTATTAAACTACCAAATTCTATTTGATAATAAACACTTTTCATTGTTTTTACTTCCAATCTGATTCGTTCCATTTACGTACGATTCACGCTACCTTCGGCAACCTTCGTTCTACTTGACGAAGCTTCTGCCAGTAGGATTCATTGGCGGTATTTTATAATATTTGAAATGTGTGACTTGTAACTATTACACTACAGATAATTATAAACTTAATTTAAACAATCAATCAAGCAGAAGGAGATAAATCTACAGAAAAGAATGGTATATTTTTAAAAATTTCATGGATTTGTGTGGTGAAGAAATAACTAAAAACACGTAAATTAATTGTATTATAATTTTGAATATAACATAATTTGAATAAAACAATAAATTTGAAAATCTGTGCTTTAATACGAAAAAAATTTAGTAAAATCCTTTTAAACACATGTCAAATTTTTATATTTTCCAAAAAAACTAACTGGTATCCCTCGAAATACGTGTATAGAATTTGATCTAGATATTACATTATAGTTCAAGTCTATCACTTTAGATAATACTATGTCCAGTATTCCATATCTGATCTTCGGGACAGGTTGAATCGACCAGCGTAAGAGCCCTAATTAACTGTGGACCAACACATCCAGGACACGTAAAAACAAAAGTAATATCACGATAGATCATACGACTAATTGATATTTTTACATAACACATCACCTCGTGGAAAGTCGTTACACAAGCATCTATGATTTTATCAAATTCTTATTAATCCCATTTGCTGCGGACGTCGATTATAACGAACGAATTCAAAAAATCACTATCCTCCAAAACAATTGCATCTAAACATACAATAAATACAACTTTCGCAACGTAAAATAAATGAAAACGTGCAATCGACGCAGTATCGGGTTATCCATAATCAATCAATACATTTTTATATAACCTACCTAAAATTATATCGTTACATAAACAGTATAGCAACACGTTTTCTTTTAAGTAACAATATAGAGCGCGACTTGGTCAATTAATATTTTTATATAACTCTTAGGACACCTGGTACAGTTCTTTATTTCTGCTTACACCTGTCATATGATCCAGCACTCAGCATCAAAAAGATTAAAACAAATACTACCTGTCATATGACCCAGCACTCAGCATCAAAAAGATTAAAACAAATACTACCATATAATCTAAAAAGATAATTAATATTATTTTAATTTACCCAATAAAATTCACTCCCAAGCATCAATCGTCTATACCTATATTACGTTTATACAAACAATACTTTTTCATTTTTTCAAATGTTCAGAAACGTATTCAGTGAACCATTATCTTATCAAAATACAAACGTCAAAGAAAATTATAACAATCTGTAACTACCTTGACTACCCGTAAGTATGCAAAAGAAAAAAAGTACTTTTATGAGACTTTCGACACGCTGCAAGTGTATCCTTCGGTAGAAGTTCTTCGGGTACGCAACAGAGATGAGTGAGAGGAAGGGATAGCACTTACTTGTTAGATTGTAGGTCACTTGGTATGGAGGGGCTACCCTTCTGCTTTCTGGTGGCCACGAACTAACTGGACATACAGACGTACCACCAGTCTCTTTCTCCTGCAGGTTTGTTTCAGGTGATAGAGTCGCTTGGTCACTCGACGGTAATACTTCAGCAGAGTGTCAAAAGTGGCGGTCGAGAATTGACACACAGATAACAAAATTACAAGGTGTTCATAAATTTGGGATGTATGCCATCCAGTGTAATAAGTGACAGTGCGTGAATCAAAGGTAATCAAAAAAGTTGAGAAGTTTCGGGAGAATCAAAGTTACCATGAAAGGGATTTTAATTCGTTGTTAATTTGTCTCTAATCGTCATCTACGCCATGTCTACAAGTTCACTCTTCTACAAGGACAAGTATGCCGTAAGTGTCATCCTACATCTAGGTTATAATGTATCTGTATATATTATCCTAAGAACAATATATTCAACCAGATATATACATGTTACATATACATTGTATATATCTCAATTGATAAACACCAATGTTTAAGAACAGGTTAGATAATTACATGACTAACGATCTGTCACTGTGAAATTAATTTGGAGGTTATTTATTCTTAACTAGTAAAACTGTCTTGACTCTACTATGGCACTGAATATATAATATCCTTACTTCCTGATAATTATAACAGAAAACAACGTACGTCCATATTCTAGATTATATATTTTTCAGCCAAACGGTCGTGTGCCCATAGCGAGAACAGTACGTGTATCGAATAATATAAATTGCGGATAACTCTTAACTGGACCATATACGGTACAGCTATATACGACAGTACACGATCCGAAATCGTAATACGTAAGACATATCGATGATAGAGTAATGAGTTAAAATCATCAACGTTATGTTATGTTACCATTAATACTCGGTAGCATGTAAAAGTGCTTGTTGCCCGATAGGGGTCAGCCATGGAAAGTTATCATACATGGAAATTGTCATCTATTAATTCTATTGAGGAAAGTGTAGTGGATCAAGGAAACTGATATAATTTAAAAAAAATTAATTTATTATCAGCAACAACGTATAGCATTTACACTATTGTTATGATTATGTTACGTCGAAGTTTGCATCTATATAATTTAAAATAACAGTACCGCAGTTACTGTCTATTCATTTGTCTTTAAGATATTTTTTTTAACTCCAAGAAAACTCAACTGGCTTATAAAAGGTTGTTGTATTATCGGTCGTCTTAATTAAAGGTGATAAAATATTATTGATCTTATCTTATTACATGTATGTACATACATGGTGTGATACGTAATATGCACGCGTCGTTGCATTTTTCAAGGTTAATACGTATATTTCATTTGCACGTAGATGCGTAGATATAGAAACAAGCGAAGATCTAGCAACAATTAGCTCCATTCGTTCTCGTCCCATTTTTCCATAGTAGGCGTTAGTCGTAGGCGAATAATTAAGCGAATAATAAATGAATTTCGTCATATTTTAAGCACACCAATAAAGGTCACACGGTATATTTGATATTACGATAGCATAATATAAATTATGAAAAATCATTCTGATAACGAGAAGTATCGAGTGAACGGAAGTGCTACCGATACTATATATAAAATATGTAAATAAAAATACATACAATACACGTAACGGACACACTGTGAATGGAGAAGGTTGGCACTCTGCGTGCGCAGCTTCAAGTTCCTTTTGTAACACCCGTTATTTCCTGTCTCTAGCCTGCAGGTATGCACATAAACGTGCATCCATGTAAACAGAGCCTTACGTCACGTACGGCATGACTTTCCGGACACCGTGTATAGGTCAATATTTATCCGGCTTCTCACGAGTCTACTATACTTGCGAAGAGATAGAACCGATCGCCGACTGCATTTCAGCGTAAAGTTCAACCCGGGCTCTGATCTCCGTGGTGTTTTATTTGATTACATAATTATTGGATAAGATTATAAGAAGCGAATATCCACGTAACGCAACGGTGGGCTGATAACTGGCAGAAGGCCTCGGGGGTGAAAGTCTTACGTCAGAGACTTGCATCTTATTATACTGGACAACTGCAGCCCACGCAAACTTCTAGCTGACTACAGCAGCTCCCACAGGGAGCAATACTCTTCCACGAGGCTCCAGAAATAGGTTATATTAGCAAGAGCGTCTTTTACCCCCTGGTACGCGTCTAAAAGAGGAATAACTACAGATGGTATACATTTATATATACGGATAACTATACAATTCATCTAATAGAGCACCTGCGAAAATTCTATAAAGAAATTGGTACCAGTGGAATATTTTCTTATCATGGAAGCCATCAGAAGCCTCTTGCGAAACTCTATCGAATTTCACGAGCGAAGTCAAGAAGGCGTTACAGTCCTCGTTATGAAATCGCATCTGTGCGAAAATTTATAGCTAAACAGTTCCTAGGCCGGTAGTTTATTATTCTTAGCGTGGCAACTAAGGCGTGTTATTGGCGTTTATCGTAACGTGGATTATAAAGGTCGCAGAGCATTGCATTCTTTCTAGTGCATTATCGTGATTCATGGCGATCGCTTCGTGTCCATAGCCAGAAGGATATTCTGTCACTGCATGTATGTACATACTGTATACGTATAAGCACGTACCTAGGCCTGACGATGTAACGTAGGTATCACAGTTATGGTCCCAGCAAGAGGATTGTGAAAGACCTCGGTTCCGGTAGTGGGCGAGCACGCTTCCGGTCTGTCCTCGCGATACCGCTATTTAATAAAGTATAATACTACGGGCTTCTGCGATTTTCTCTTTCTCTCTCGCACTCTCTCTCTACATAATAATTACAGATCTGCTACGTATACATAGTATACGCGTATCCTATATTAATGAACAATGTGAGACTGTAATTTTAAATGATAAATCACTCAAGGAGTGTCTCATCCGTCCCGTCACGAACGAACCGGTGACCCACCTCTCCATTAACCTTTAAGGCAGGGAACTTATACGTAAACGATGGGAGTGTTTCCGGCTACTGCAGACTGGTTCTCAGCTCAGTATGAAGGTCCTGCAGGTCTCTTGAGTACATACGGTAAGTAGACGTAAGAGCATGAGTAAATGTGTAGCGACCAGGCCTCGTCGGGGATCGACAAGTTTTTCTAGCTAACCGGATGAGCAACACGTGTTTAAAGTCCGCTATGCTTCTCGGATCCGTAATGCGATGTTGTGTGGTATGACGGACTATATAATTATATATATATATATAAATAAGAGCACTTATATGTATATTAGGTAAAACAATAAAGTTTCAGCGCAGTAGGTTAACAACATAATGGTCTAACGGCAAGAGCCGATCTCAAAAGTATCTCAGTGCGATTTACTTCCGAGAGTTTGGCTTCTATACCTTTTCTTTTCACGTTTCATTGACCCGCTGCGCTCGGTATACGGCTTCGTGCTTTCCCATTTGCAGTGTCGAGACGGCAGGATAGATCCTAAGCCATCGCCGGTGCCCTGTCGCCCGCTGGACGTTACGTAAACTGTCTGTTCTCGTTATCCAGCGTGGAATAAACATTCTGTATAACCTAGAGTCGGATTGTTATTTAATGGACACCCAGTGACTACCGTTCGTATACTAGCTTTAGGATCTACAAATGAAAGTCAATTAGACTGGAATCTTCCCACGCGCCATGACACAATTGGGAGCTGATATAATTCATGGAAAGCGTTTCGATCGATATTTTCTCATAGGACTGTCTCTGCTGGTTTGCCTATTGCTTTTTTGTTTTGTATGCAGAAAAAAACTTACCGCTTCGATGACTACGGGGTTCAATTATATTGTTAATTGTCAGCTCCTGAAACACGAGGGTGAAGATGTGCCGATAAGTTTTTGCTGGTTATGTTTCTCTTATTTTACTTCTCTATGGACTTTCTGTCAGTTTCAAGGCGGACAACACTTTACTAGGACTCACTGTGATTTTATTCGACTATTTTGCCGCTCTGTGAGTCGGAGAAGAGAAGCTAAATATAATCGGTGAACAGAAAACGCATAACCCTCCCGCCTAGATGCGTGAGACGCGACACGAACTACGTAGCTCGTTCCTTTTCGGTGTTACTCGAAGAGCTTCGTTCGTAGCTTCAGTTACGTTTCCACATAGACGACGAGCGAATGCACTGTTGTGCAGCTCAGCGTCCAGACGGCTTATAAATGGCGTAGGTATACCCTACTGCGGTAGAAGAGAGTTTAAGTCAATGTCGATTTAGTCGAGCGAATAGCAGCGTGGTGCTTCGCTTCGACTTTTCAGAGCATTTGTGCACCGATAGCACTTCCTTCTGGCACTTTCGTATTTTGACGGGCAAATAAAATACGGCAAACGGGAACCGAACGGGCGCGCGTGACGGCATTTAAATATCCACGATTAACCCAGTGCACTTTATTTGGATCAAGATCGAACGAATCAAGGGTCTGGATTCAGTTTTCACTGATAACAGACCTTAGTGATAAATCTGATAGAGAAAATTTAAAATTGCAAGGATTCTAACGTCAGTGCATAGATACATACATATATGAATCGTTCGTTGAATTTTCAAGAGCCGTGGCGAATGCTAATTTTGGATTAATCCGTATTCATGGACCAGAGTGAAATCACTGCGAGAGAGCGACTGCTGTGTTTCAATATTTAAGTTTCGAAATGTGATGACTGTTTAAATTAGGCTTTTTTTTTCGAAGATTTTTTAACTGCTATCTAGAAACTATTTGCGACCGTGCATGGTTAATTTATCAGTTTTTTTAATTTTTAACAAAAGCGACTATACTTTCTACAATTGATGAATAGACCCAAGCGATACGGACACACCCTTCAATCGTTTCCATTAATTCCGGTAAAAATTCAAACCAACTTTACACGGTCATTGGATTTCAAACAGTCTAAATTCAAAAGTCGACCAAGAGATCGATTCCATTTTTCGATGTCATTTTTACATGTATAAAAACCTATTTCGTTAGTTGTGTAACACAGAACGGATCATGTACTCTATACGCAATACGGATATGACCATTTGGCGCGCTGGCGCAATCTAACATTCAGTACTCATCCAACTGGCAACCAGTAACAGTATATCCAGCGGCCAGGTCAAATAATTGAACTGACCGATAGAGATTTGAAAAAAAACATATAACCTCTAAAAAAATTAAATTAATTATTTAGACGCTACACAAATCCGATTGATGGAAACTATAGTTACCATATATTTCATGGTATACGAAGAAATGAAGAAAAGTCACTGACTTCATTCTCCAGAGAAAGTTTGAACCTGTCAAGTGAATGCTGATCTGATGAACGTTGACCTTAGTTACAAGAAACGAACTCGTAGTACTCTGTAAGAAAGGCGTTTAAATACTCGTGCCAGTTAGTGTACGCCTGACGTTACCAGCAAATTGTTTACGTAATAATCTCGCCGGCATACGTGACGCTGTTATGAGTTCGCGTATGCGTCGCGACGTGCTAGTTACACTACGTACATTGTGACTCGGTATCGCGTTTCAATTCTCTCCTGTCTCGTACGAACAGCGACGCACCTCGGAATACCTCTGACTATAGCGGTGACATTGTTTAAATTCGTTTGTGCGTTTCCCTACGTATTTACAAGACTTTGGTACTTATTGATATACAATAGAGAGTGTGATCATTTGATTGGTAATAAACAGTGAGGCAGTACAATATATTAAGAAATCTCAACGTATAGTCATCGTACAAATTCAAAAGAGTGTCGAATGATTGTTTGATCTTCCAACGCCCAATTACACAACCAGCTATCTGTTCCCGCTCACATCTCTGCAAACATCGGTACGATAAAGAACTTCAATTTCAACTGGTTGAGTAAGGAACTTAAAACGAAGAGTGGTGAATCAGTTTAAAGCCCATTGAATGAGGGATCGATATGATCTTTGATTGTGATTGATATTACATTTAAATGGTGTTACGTGATAGTGGAATATACTCGAGTCAGTGCTCTGTGGAATTATAAATGTAATTTAAAAGCGACAAGGACGTTTTCATAGGGAAATATTTGTAAAACTACCTTGCTGATCGCTCGAGCATGTCTCCGGACTGGTTTTCAATGCGGCTTCTCTCGTTCGTTACGAACGGGTCGAACAGTTTTGAAATCTCCTGCGTTTGAAGTCTTCGCGGGTAGATTAATCAGTGGCTGATAATGAACGAAGTGAAGCAAGTTTGGACGTCTTTGAGATCACCGAGAACCTCAACGACCCTGATAAATAATACCAACTCAAATACGACTTGGTACGACGTTCCGGCACCTGTTATAATACACAATAGAGACTTCTGTGAAGACACGAGTGCCATCGGTACGAGTTCTGAGAGGAACAAAGTCGAGACAACTCCTTGCGAATTGTCAAGGATGGATGAGGTGTCGAAGAAGCATAATATGCAGCAAAATAAGATGGTGCAAGATGAAGTCTTGTATCAGAATAATGTTGAAGCAGCTTTGAATAGCCTGAGTAAGATATGCGTAGAGCCGTTGAAGGCTGAGATGGATCTTGATATGAGTACTGATAACAGTGAGAAAGAGGCTAGTCCTGGACTCAATTCGGAAACTGAGGAATCTAATCAGAGAAGAAGACACAGTTCCAGCGTAGAGATCGCAGCTACGAGTTCATTGACTATCGGAGAGGATGGGATGCCGAGTATTAGTTTCAGCTTCTTGCAAACTGAGGATAGCACGAAGGTCATCGAGGCGAAGGATAAGGTCGTAAAGGACGAAGAGAAGGAAAAGGTCGAAGCAGGAATTCAGGATCAGTTGTATGACTTCCCTAAGAGTCCAACTGTCGAAGCCATCAACGTCACAGGCAGTTCAGCTGATACGAAGCGACGTAAGGATGATGATAATATTGATGAGAAAAATACGATCGAAGATGATCTGTACGATGTACCAAAGTCTGCTAAGGAAACAAATGATTCTGTTACCAAAGATAGCGAAACTATAGAGTCCTTTAAGGAGGATGATTTAAATTTACCTAGTTCCGAGAGGAAGAATGACAGCAAGCGTTCCTCCAGGTCACTGAAGTCATCGAGAAGCATGAGGGTCGCGGAATCCGACATGACTGAGACTCTTGGAATAGCGTCAGGATCTTATTCCGATCCGGAATGTCCAGAAGGTCTGTCATCCCGTCATAGTAAACGCTTGAAACGTCAGAAACGTCGACTGGGCAAAGCGTGGGGGAAAATGCGAAGTTGGCTTAGAGACGAGAAGTCCAGATTCGGTGAAGTAGTTGCGAGACACGCTAGGTTACAGGCTGTGGGCGCCTTGCAGTCTGATCAAGAGGAATATACCAGAGGTCAATGTGGGTCCTATGACCTTACCAAAGAACGTAGCTTAAACTTAGGCTCGATCACTCGAGTCGAGGAGTTTGGATTATCTTCAGTGTCCGAGGAAGGCAACGTGTCCGATACGGAACGACCGTCCAGTTCCTTCGAGCATAGCGGGAAGTCTTCCGAGCTGAATAAGGAAGACGTGGAAAAGATAGAGCACGGAAATGGAAATTTAAGAAAGAAGACTGTCAGTTCTGAGAATATATTAGGAAGTGCAAAAATCAAATTCGCTCCGGTCTCGTTCAGCATGGATAAATTGTGTTCCGACGGGGAGAATGAGGACGCCAGACAAGAGGCTGAGGGCGAGACTCGAGACGCTGCTGGGAAAGGCGGCCTAATTAAGAGAAGAATGCTCGGGTCAATCAGGGGGTTAATGGCTTCTACTCATCTGATCCAACCTCATGAGATCGAAGAGGTATCTAAAAAATGACTTTAGAAGACGGGTGTGTCTCTCTTTCTCTCTTTCTATTACACTATTAACACTAGACTCGTGATCAAGCTTGTGCATCAAGTCATTTTGAAATCACTACAGGAAGTGATTCATGACTAACTGGAATTACCTTTCTGAAAACTCTTACTACTGTTAGAATAGTTTATCCTCGTGATGAACGTGTAACAACTACTGAAGATTAATAATGACCAAGAGGGAGAAAGAGAGATGATAATGATGACGTATCTTTATTATTAGTTCATTATAGAAGAGAACAGAAAAAAAATATGTAATAGGAGTACTATTGAAATTCATTTACACAAGAAGGAAGCGAATTAACATAGCACCAGGCACGCCCAATTTGTTATCCAAATGGCGACGTGACCTTCGCGTAGTAATGGGAATCGCGTGAGAGAGAGGGAGAAAGGGAGAGCAGATGAAAAAGCAGCTAAGTGTTTCGCAAATTGTGTATGATTTAAAAAAATTCTTTTTTGCTTCTCTAACGAAAGTCTGAAACGAATTGAATATTTGTCACTGTATTATATTCCTGAAACGTCTCTTGAATTGGATTCACTTAACTTTGTTAGTCGCTTAATTGTCTCTTCCTGAAGTTTTTTAAGTCTATTATTCGAATGTATCTGTGATTTAAGCGAAGGTAAACCTCGCGCTCTTTAATCGCGGGAAGCATGGAAAGTGTGGGAAAGTTGAGTGGAGAAAATACTACTTTGTTTTATACGTAGCATACTCGTCTTATAGCTGCAAGGTAAGTTCGCGTTACACCTTGACTTCCCGTGCGATTCAATCACCGTGTGTATTGCTCTATGTATACAAGGAGCGTGGCGCGTGTCTCCTCTCTCCGTGACGACTAGAGAAATTCTATTTCGCGGACGTGTATGAAATAATGTGCTGAAGAAAGCATTTGGATTTCGCGGCATGACCTTACGACGTTCACCTAACAGCCGCTAGAGTTCATTTGCCGTCGAGTATCACGCGTACCAATTTTACTTTTCTTTTTACCGCTTCGCTACTCTCCAGCCTTCAGTGAAAGATTATTAGTGTTGTTTCTATCGGTCGATTCAAAAGTCAATTGATACTCTTGTATACACGATCTTCTTGGATAACTCCACCATGACGTCCTTAGATTGGTGTATCTTTCAAATTTACATCTTTCTAACAAATCCGCTTGGCCTCAAGGCAGTTAAAGTGACAGATGATGGAAGTAATACTTATTTTCTTGTAAGAGGATCTAGTTTTAACTAAATGTAGTTTAGATAGGGTATCTTCTTGTAGAGTCACGTAACCGACGAGTCTTATGTACCGGAACAATTTAGAGGTTATTCTTGCTCGTCATACATGTTGAGCATCTGTCTGCTGCAATAAGAAATACATACATGAAATCACGATAAAAAAGCCTTCGTCTATGTGGAAATGTGCCGTTGAGTTTTGTCAAATTAATCTAGATAAATAACCGGAAGATTGACTATGCTAGTTACGTTTCAATATAAACGCAATATGCGTGTGGAACGATAAGACGGTTAAAATCCGGTAGCAATTTTTCATGTCTTATCTCGTGCTCTGGCTACTAAAATCCATTCAAGTATTACAGGGCCATTCGAGACGAGTGCATTGCGAGTCTGGAAGTTATCAGAACAGGCCAGTTAAAAACCGGCCTTGCAGGATTTTCACGCTTCGCCAATATTTCGTCTGATATTCATAGCAGTGTATCGCTAATAAATATAATCAAGTCTCCGTGTTAGACTCAGGACGTGTTAGACAAGTACTGTTCTCGTTAAGTATCAATCAATAATCAGAATATAAAACTAAAATATCATTCCTTCTGCATACTAAGAGGAAATCGGTAAACAATTTCTACGTACAGCGTGAATTTAACGAATTTCACTCACGGAATAAAGACTTTCAGCATGCGCCTCATTGTGAACGCGCATTCATCTCGGAATAAGGATTTCTCCAGGGTAATGTAATACAAAGAGATTTACTAGTGATTTTTGATGGGAACGACTTTCGGCAATTAAGCTTACACTTATATTTAATTGGCTTTCTAAAGAATTCATCATATATAAGACACCGTATAATAACTGTGCCACTGTACACAAATACTGGCCGAAGTCAAGTTGAGAAATGTAATACGTATGTTGCATATCTATATATTAGTGAACCATAGTTATACATTAAATGTATTTTAAAATCTCGTTTGACCGGTGAAAAAATAGTTACTGATAGTAGAATACTCCGTAATGGGTTATCCATACCAGACTGAATTTATCTTTAGGTGTGCGACAAATGTTAAACGATTTGACACGCTGCGCTCGGCTGAATAAATGGAAAGGCAATTCCCTAGTACGAGTAAGATATATCCCGATTAAATGAAAGTCTTTTTGATGTATTTCATCGTATTCCCGTCGTGCCTCATGTTGAATACTGAACGACAGGGACCTGTCAAACGAAAGTTTTTACACGGGTGTCTTGAAAATACTCGAGGTTTCCCTCACTTGCCTTACTCAACAAAGCCTTATATTAAAATGGCGTACTAATTTTTTGTGCCCTGTACTATTTTTCATCTAGGTGGACGACGTTTCACGCGGCAATTATCATACGTACTTGTTGTGATGATAATTTTGTTGTTTCACGTACAAGGCTAGAAATACTTGATACGATATATAGAGTATACGTTTCTATATAGAAAGGAAGATCTTCGTATGGATTATAACCCGAAAAAGATGATTAATGCAAAGTAGTGTTAATTAGGCCATTGAATCTCTCGCTATAATGACAAATTCTTCAATTTCAACGTTCGAATCGAAAAGTCACTTCGATGACTACGACGACTTCCACGTTCCCCTTGATCGCTAATTTAACGGATTCATGCTTCACGAAAACTTTCACGTATTTTGCGACACTGGGTAGGAAAAAAAAACTCAGGAAGTATTTGATTAAGAGTCGTTGTGGAGCAGCGTATAGAGGAGGGGAGCTTTCGGTAACATTTCAAATAGAAAAGAAAAAGGAATAGTGAAATTGTGCAGGGATCTTTTTTTTGCGGCTTTTCTACGTTAAAAATTGTACAGTGATAACTATTTGGTCGACTTCAAAAGGAATCGAAATGGGGAAAACATTAAAGACATTTATTTCATTCGTGCTAACTTTAAGCATGGATTTACGATTATATATGGAAGCCACTGTGCAACCCTCAATGTCTATACTTACCTCACTGTACTAACCCTCACTGTCTTACCATATATGTCTCCTTGAAGGAAATGGCAATTGTTCACATGAAAGACATTATAACGTAGCATTTTTTAACTGCTGCCAAGCGTGAATACCGCTAGGTTACTCGCTCCGCTTCGGAGTTTCAAGTATTCATGCGATAATCGAGTAAGGTAGCAATTTCGATTATGATTAAAATGAATTATATAAAGAAAAAAAAAAGAAAAACTGTTAGTATATTTTGACCCTTAGAGTATAAAATATTTAGATACGTTTTAGAGACATAGCTAAAACATAAATCTATTTGTTACATTTTAGAAACATTTCCTAAGACGTATCTCAATGTTTTGTGTCGTATGTGTAGTTTCTAGATATTCTTGTTTTTAAGATATTATTTCTAAAAATAGGCTTGGGCTATCGGACGTGTTTTTTTCAGAGCGTTTCATATCTAACACGTTTATGTGTTCTACTTTTCTTACAGGCATAAATATCCGAATTATTTCATCAGATTTTGCTCGGATTTCTAGTCTACGTGCGACGCACTTAACATGTTTTTCTGTTCTTTTTTTTTAGGGTGGTCAGGGCGGATTCGAGGAAGTTCGAAGATACGTCAAGCAGGGTGGTGACTTCTGCAAGGAACTCGCTGCTATCTTACACGAGAGGTATCACAATGATTTTACACTTTAATAAAGTAATCGGTCCAGCGGCAGCACAGGGAGAGCGTAATGACTCGTCGAAGCATGAGAAGAAAGTTTGCAGTGCTGACTTGCAGATATTTGTCATGGCGATTGTCGTATATTGCCGTCATCTTGTTGATGTCTAGATTATTATTTACTTGACTGTAGTCCAACAGATGATTGATGTACATTCATCTAATCCTTTCATGTATTACCATTTTCTGTCTTATATTTCTGTATACCAGAAAATTATTAACACAGACGTGTATAAGTAATTTTTAAATATATTTAATATTTTGTAATTATTTTTCAAGAGCTGAACTTGAAGCTACCTATGCCAAGGGTCTCAGCAAACTCAGCGGTAAGCTGACCAAAGCCTGTTCAAAGGATCAAGGTATGTATTCTCTCCTCCCCTTTAGTTAATTCGAAAGTTTGCTAATTATTATTCTTGGATATTAGGTGGAAATAGTGCAGGCGGCGTAAATGAGGCTTGGCGATGCGTCGGAGAGGAAATGGAAGCTGCAGCTGAAGCTCACAGAGTGTTAGGAGTGGCTCTCGGCGAACAACTGGCTAAACCGTTACGAGTAGGTTTTTATAAAAATAATATGAGATAAATGAACAGGGTTTGAGTCAGATTCTAATTTGGTGATTAAATCAGTCGCACGATGTGTCGCAAACTAAAAATATTGTCCTCAGGTCGGTGTCGCAGAAGCACAAGGGCGCTCAAGAAAAGTTATTGAGAATTCCGTAGACAAGGCTTCAAAATCTTTACAAGAGTGGAGAAGCATTGCTGCCAAGAGTAAAAAACAGAGCTTCGCATGTGCAAGGGAAAATGAGAGACTCCAGGATCTGGCGAGGATACAGTCAATCAGTCAGGGTCAGCAGAATAATAACAAATCTTCAAATCATCATATGACAGAGAAGGAGGCAAATAAGCTTGAAACTAGAAGAAGAAAAGCAGAGGACTCCTCGAGGAGAGCAGATACCGAGTTCTACACGATTAGCGTGAGAGCCGAAAGAGCCAGGCTAGAGTATGAGAGCACAGTACGAAAAGGTGCTAAGCAAATGGAATTATTAGAAGAAGAGCGACTAAGTGCATTGAAGGATTTGGCCAATGTCTACTTAGCACATTTGCAGGCACTTGCGCCACGTCTTCAGCAGGTAATCAGTATTTGAATTGTTTATAGTGTACAATATTTTAATTTATCAAGTTCATAAATTGATCATACTTATCATTTTCTTAGTTTCTATTCATTCGTATCTTACAGAGCGCTGACAGACTGTCTACTCCTGTACGAAATTGCAATGTCTCCCAGGATGTGGAAATCCTGAAAAACCTGATTCGCAGATTGGATAATAACGACTCATCGAACGCGGAACAACTTTTGCCTGACTTCTACGCGGAGCATGTGACCCTGGCAATGAATAGGGAGAGACGAAAACAGGCGCTAGTGAGAGTGCTTCACTTGATAAGACAGGACTTAGAAAGAGAGCGGCGGGGTCGTGAAGGCTTGGAAACTTTGCACAGGGCTTTTATAAAGACACCTGCCTTTGCGGCCGACGAGAGCACGCAGAACGTTACGGATAAATTGCATCATGTACGTTTCTATAATATCCTAGTCTGGGTACCCAACTGCTATTGTAAGGCGTCGTATTACTCGAGCTGAGCTGTGTTAGATAACACGGTACCGTAAAGAACTTTGGCACTTGTTTATAACGGCAGTGACGTACCGAATCAGCTTTCAAGCCAGTTACTCGTATCTATAGCTAATAGGCACACTTTTTTGCATTGAATTCCAGGAGTTGGGTATACGTTGAAAATATTACAGTCTTTTATTTGAAATTTTACAAAAGGTTTTTCGATCAATAGCCTTGACAGAGTCGAGTAAATCCTTGAAAGTGATACCGTTATTACGTATTTTCGATTAACCTTGCTACCTACGTACAAATAACCACAGCCAGAATATACCATATCAATTTTTTTTATCAAACCGTAAATCGCAACCTTGACAGGGACTTTCCAATATTTGAGTGTCGGCGACTACTTACTTACGCAGACTGATTTCTTAATTTCTATGTAATGTACGCCTAACCAAAAGCATGTTTAACCGGTTTTTTTTTTTGAGGAGTATAGAAATATTAAACGAGATGATGAGAGAGCTTCTATCGTTATAATTTTTTTCAGATGCGCTCCATGTTAACATATTTGGAAGCTGCTCGCTACAAAGTAGGCGGCACACTTGCTGAAATAGAAGGTAGCCAACGGGGAAAGCATCCTTTGGCAGAGCATATTCTGGTGTCTAGAGACAAGCAAGGTCTACAGCAAAGTGTCCTCAAGGTATAACTTATGAATAATTCTAATGATCTACTTATATCATTTTTTAAAAGAATTTATGTTTATCAATGATGTACTTGACCAGGTTCCTTCATGGGCGAAGAACGAGTCATTCGAAACTCAGGAGGGTCAGGATGAACTTGATGTTCACCTAACAAAAGATCGTGAAAATGTTAATCGCGACTGGGTGGATAGAACAGCAGGTGATGGTAATTCTGAAAATCCTCCAGAGGAAGAGGACTTTAGTGACTTCGATGAGTTCAGCAGCCACTCCGAGGACAATAATAACCAGGAAATAGATACTTCGGAGATATCGACGAAAAATGATACGAGCGAACAGTGCAGAGCCATGTATCAGTATTCGGCCAATTTAAATGATGAGCTGAGCCTAAATCCTGGTGACTTGATAACCATTCACGAGAAACAGGCTGATGGCTGGTGGATCGGTGAGTGCAGAGGACGTACTGGTATATTCCCAGCTACATACGTTCAAGTGATTCACTAGATCATATGATCCAGATGATATCTAATGTATCGATCGTTTCAAGTATTGAAAAATAGGCGATGCATTTTACTGTGGATGCACAAGAGACAGTGAATAGGTATGCAAATGTCAAGTGCACAGAATAATCTAATGAAGGTCGATGGACATATAATCGGTTCCAAACTACTGAACGACTGTCGTTATGAAAAATTTTTAAATTATTATCAAGGAAACGTGTTTTGATGGAAATCTGAACTTTATATGAAATTTTATAATGTGATTACTTATACTTTCTAAAACTGTTCAGACTGGCTAATGTCGATGGCATCGTAAAGCTAGTCTAAACTAGACCACGGCTAGTTTTGATTAGTCAGGCAAACAATCTGGGAATTGGGATAGCCGTTCGATGCTTCGATCATTATGAATTTGAATGAACGCCGTTGTTCCACTTCCTGAGAATGTGAAACGTGCACGACGTTAGGTGGGCGCATACTTAGTATTTTCGATAAATGATTTTTTTTTTCGAATCCCAGGTTACTATAAGCTTTCTTATTTATTGAGAGATATTTAATTGTCATAAACTACGGCCTTTCTTAGTTAAATCGCATCGCATCGCATCGCCATTGTTCATGGGTGTTTTGGACGTTTTCCCATAAGAAAATTAAAAGCATAAAATGTCACAATGGTATTTCTCGTTTGGCGAGTGTAATTTAACTGTGAAATAAGTGACGATACGACCAAATAATGCATATTGTATATAACATTGCGTCAAGGGTGTTCAATTGTAAATATCAGCGTAGAACATAATAACGTTTAATTATTTAAAAGACATTTTACAGCATTAAGATAATAAAAGCATTTATTTACTTAGAGTATTGAATATATCATTTCCTTTTTTCGATTAATCTTTCAATTCAGTGGCCAGATCATCCAATAAATGAGTTTTAAGGTTGAATTCTTTGGCAATATCTCCGACTGTAAAAATATTAAAAAATTCAAATCTATCTTAAGAAAATACAATTTAAACATAAATTTTCATTTTTACCACAAAATGGAGACTGGCTTGCAGTATGCACAAAGAAACTTCCACGATGAGAATATTTGTCAGCATTTATGCCCATTTCTGGACAAATTGATGCGTTGCAAATTTTAGCAGCAGTTTCTAATGCTCCTCTATATGTTAAGTCCCAATGATGCCCCCAGAATGTACAATTACTTGATACGGCAGATATTAATGATTCAGTGAGATAGAGATAGGAGCGTCCATGGCTACATATCGTTTGTTCAATTTCTGGAAATTGCGGAAAGTATTTCGAAATAGCAGATAGCATATCGCGTAACTGATCAATTTCAGAAAATTTACAGACTCAACTCACTTGATTTTGGCAAGAAGTTAAAATATGACGAACTAGGCGTAAAACAACCCGGCTGTTTCATTCCGCCATTTGGATAAAAATCGACATGTCCTTAGATAAAAAAAATACTCATAAAGCGACAATAAACGTAGCGTAATATAAATTCAGAAATAAGATTGACCTATTGCATGAGGTAAACCAAGTCCCAAATGGAACAGCAATCTTCCATTTGTATGAATAATGTCTACGAATGGAGCGTCAGTTTTATCTAAGTGCATCGAAGAATCAGTCGATCTGAAACACGGCTGTGCTGGATCTAACCCAGTTATTCTCTGAATAATCCACTTAGTTTGTAATTTTGCAAATTGATTTGCTGCAAAGCCACAAATATGAGCGCCAAGACTGTGACCCACTAAATACAATGGACCCCAATTGATATCATTAGAGTTGTCAGAGTTGATAGTCGCATTTACTAGCTGACTCAGGAATCTTAAAAAAATAGTCATCTTACTCAATAACCTAAAGTTTAATAATACGCATAACAAACCTTGAGATACGAGCTCCCACTATCCTTGTGTTTACAACTGCCTTGTAATAATTCCATGTGTTACCACCAGCACTCCAGTCAACAATGATCACATTAACGTCGTCCTTTGGTGTATCAATACATTTAATGTCACTCACAACAATACTATTATTACACTTACCCAGAAGAGAAATGCATCCTCCATTTGTTTTATCCATGGTTCTTTACTTTGCGATAAAAATCCATGTACGATAAGAACAGTACGACGTTCGATTTTAAAATCCACCCATTCCAGGCCAAACTGTTTACCTAACATAACTTCTCCACGTTGTGGTATTTTCCTGGATGATAAGTAAAAGCGAACATCCAATGCCTGCGAGCCATTCGCTTTGCTCTTGAAAAACCATTCTAATCCACGTGCGAGTGTTGTTCCCAGACCAAAGCAATCAACTTCTTCGGTTATTGATGACGTCCCATTTGGATGAAGAAGAATATTCGTACCGTTCGACCAGGTGAATGTAAAATTTCCAATATTGGTAATATTCGATGCTCGACTAATTCCAATGCAGTATATAACGAAAAGAAATGCACTCGACAGGACAACCATTATTACATTACGATGGTAGCGTTGACTTGATAAATGTGACGGGAATATTTTGTTTGGACAGAGGATACTTCACGATAACTGTAGTCGTTAGATATGAAGACTGAGGAAACACTTGCTAGTTGAATGAATCAGTGGTATCCTTGACTGTGAATTGTTTTGTTTGAATCATTCTTTCACTTTTCAAGAATAAATTAAATGCATGTATGGCGTAATTGGGTATAAAAAATTCTATTGCAACATATGCAAGAATACCACTGATGCATATAAACCGTATTTGATACATACTGAGTGACTTGATTTTTTAATAGTTTTATTTTTCATGATGACACTTGTTGCATAGATGCTCAATAGTGGCAAGTAACAAATTAATTGATATGGATTTAGTAACTGCAGAGTTTAATTACGGTTGATCATAGAAAATAGAATTATTTATTCAAAATTCCATCGCATTACGATATGCGATATTGATAACAATATGAAGCTAGAAAGAATAAGCTACTTTCAGAGATTTACTACACTGTAATTACATATGAAAATTCATTTCACATTCTTTGTACCACAAGAGTGTTATATTCACTTAGTAATAAGAATCCGAAGAACTTTCTTAAATATTTTAAAAGTAATTGATGTAAACTGCTGTTTACATATGTCTCAGACAGTTTAGAACAATTTTTTTTACTTTCCACTCCATTGTTGCTTCTTTCGTTTACTTTTCCTTTTCCTAGAATTTTTCTTCTACAAGTAAAAATACAGTTAAACTGATAAGCAAGATTGAACTTTGATCTGTACATTTCTGTATGCGATATTACTCACCTTATTCCCCTCAAAAGTTGCTGCTTTCGGTGTGTCACTTGTGGTACTGCCACCTTGAAAACTACTAAAATCTACAGTTTTATAGTCAAATACAGCAGATGGCAGCAAACCTTTTTTCTTAAGTTCTTTACTGTTAGCACGTTTGTCATTCCTCTTCACAGCCCTTGAATATAATGAAAGCCATATATTAAGTAAACTCTGAGAATGTTACATTGACTTAAGTAACAAATAAAACATTTCAGAAATTCGCACCGAAGTGGTTTCAACTTTTCCTTCATCTCGGGGACTTCCACTTCAATCAAATTTTGACCATCTTGTCTTTCTTGCTCAAGTTCTTCTGGATCAATTTTTCTCTTGACACCTTGAACAACTTTTGCATCTAGTGATGGTACAGGTGATGAAAGATCCTCATGAGATTTTTCAGGAACGTCGTTAGTTTCATCTACACTAGACTGCCTTTTTCGTTTTCTGTTACGCATCTGAGCTAACGGGGTATGCTTATTTTTCGGAGATTTTGCTTCTGTCTTAACTTGTGTTTCCACTACGCGTGAAATCTCTTTGAAATGATCATGAACTCGATTTATTGACTCGTTTGTTTCTTGTTTTTCTTTTTGCTCTTTATTGAGTCTTTCTGTTTCTTCTTTCTCTTGCTGCTCTCGCTCCTTCGCTTCTTGTGCTGCCACCATTGGTATGACACGTTTATACCTCTCGAATGGACTAACGAATAATGTCTTCATCTTCTTTAAGATTTCCATTCTACTGAGAGTATTGTCCTCATCCTACAGAATCAATAGGTAAGAATTATTTTAGACATTGAAGATTTCTTCAGATATTAATGTATCATCCGTTTTACTTACCTCAGATGCTACTGGACTATCAAACACAGTAATGCTATGAGTAATTTCAGTATTTGGGAGCAAAATTTCTTCGCCATCTTTAGAGTCTAATAAACACGGCAAATCTGCTCTGGGTTCCATTCCACTAGGTATATCGTGTGGTGAATAGAGACATATTCCTATAGCAGCATCCTGATTTCTTTGGGCGAGCCGTTGTTTAATATCTTCTTCGAGCACAGGTTTTGTCAGTGGTTGCTCTCTAGCTTTCAGTATAATTTTATGTAATTTAAGTAAATTCTGTCGCACCAATGGTGGAATCGGATTGCAGCAAGCCAGGATGCCTTGCATCTCTCGAGGAAGAGTTTCAGCTATGTTCAATAACATATGATTGGGTAAAACATATCCAGTGCTGTCATCTTCGAGTCTAGCAGTGATGTCTCTCCACTTGTGTAATTCTTTCAGTGCGTATATTTGCCTGTTGTTAAACATTTTTTGACTTTTTCGATACATACTTAAATAACTGTCCTCTGTCCAAATGGGCTTCACGTAAACCTGTTTGCAAACTTCCGTACTCCGATCGTACACTGCTTTTAATATATTACTCTGACCATTGGCTGCATCGATTAAAGAATTTCGCAATATATCTTTTATGTACAATAAATAATGTGTATCTTCTCGAGCATATTTTCTAAGCTCGTCTGGTAAAGGCCTTATGCGCCAATCAGCTAACTGGAAATGCTTGTTTGGATCTAGTCCACAATAAGTTTTCAGTAGGTATGCTAAGCTGAGATAAGGCAGGTTAAGCTGTTTAGCTGCCCGGTAAGTATCAAACATATTCACAATGTACAATGATAAGTCACGTTGAAGCCACAGAATATCTTGGTCTGCTCCATGGAACACTTTGAGAATTTTAGGATTTGTTAGGATTTCGTTAAGCTGATGTAACTCTGATCTTAGAGTTAATGTGTCTATTATGTAATCAGTATCCTTGGTTGATATTTGCATTAAGCAAGTTATTCCTTGAAAAGATCTGTACGAATGATGCTCTAAATCGATAGCGATTTCATCATAATTCTCTAAATCTTGAAGTACGATATGCAGATCTTGTGGCTTTTCAATAATGATCAATGGTGTGTCCTCAAGTGATTTGTATTTTTCTGGTTTTGATTTTTGTAACTGAGAATCTGGTGGCTTAAATTTGTCTAGTTCAAGCTCATATGGATGACTGAAAATTTCTCCATCGGGCGTCTCCTCCAAGTAGATAGCTAATGGTTTCAATGAATTTGGTTTGTCCTTAATTCTGGGTTGCCACGGTTTTGAGCTATTGTCTATTTTATCTTTGAATGATAATTGTGGTCTATGAACGTTTTTGGCTGCTAGTAAACGAATGGCTTGTACATTATTTACCATTTCTTGTGATCGAGTATTAGGGACAGTGGTGGTTGTGTTCCAACTACCATTGACATTTGTATTCCGTGTCTGAGAGACTATTAATTGAACCCCTGGATTTTGAACAATACCAGATTCTTGATCCATGCATATTCCCTGTGGTGCAATATACAGTGAAATTAACAGATATATCATATGACACGTACGATAACATAAAGATGATACTTACAGCACGATCAAGAAAGATATCATTGGCCTCTAATAAAAGTTCGAATTTCTCATCCGCATCACGACGTCTAATATTACCCGGAATGCCAGAGTGTTCAATAACATTTTGCATAGTATTTAATACCTTTTTGATTTGCTCATTCCTGATGTCATTGAAACTTGAAAAGCAAGCATAATAATTAAAATTGTCTCCGCTTGGTAAATTATTAGCAGCTCTAATGCCAGCTTTTAGTATCTCAAATCCAGTCTAAAAACATATATAATAATAAACTCAAATGTCTTCTGAATTAATTTAAAATTTTAGAAAAATATAAATTATATCGAACGTAACCACGTGTAGTTTATTATTAAAAAATAAATTTATCTGAACCTTCACGTAATCCCCAAATGTTGAATATCCAGGAATAATGTCCCATGCTTCCACATCATCTGCTGCTTGAGTTTCACTCTTATTTTCTGTATTTTCTGTACTTTCAGAATTCTCTTCAGTAGAATTCATGGTGTCAACGATATATCTAGGTTAGCTTTCTAGTTTCAAGATTTTTCATCATTGATCAAAGGAATTTAAGTGATTGGCTGCAAGAACTGTAGGTACAGAGATGAATAGGGAGATGCACAACGTTACGGTTTTAGGCGATACCAAAATTATGGCGCGAAATCGTAGCGGCGAGTCCTGGAGTAGGATTTCGTGATCATCGCCTTCGTCGATAATGCGGATTACCAACGTGTAGTTTGGCGAGCAGAGGCTCTTCGCTACTTAACGCTGGTTTTCGAAACAACATTTACAACGAGGCAGCTCATCGAATATAGCCTATATATTTATTTTCTTTACAATCCTAAGTTCGAGCGTATAGTGTAAGCTCGGTTTTAATATGACAAAAGTCAGCAACTCATGCCTGCCTGCACTGGAGTCTGTGATGCCACCAGTATGCTGAATATATATTTTACCGATATTGCGCAATAGAACTATTGTTAAAACCTATCAGAAACTATAGAACTCCTCCAGCACTATTGAAAAAGCCTATTGTTGAAACCCATTTAAGCAATTGCGGTTCCAACTTCATAACCGTATAGCATCTCCATTTTTTGAAAATGTTTCATCAATAGGCATTTTCAATAATTCTCGAGGAGTTCTGTAGTTTCTGATAGGTTTTAACAATAATTCTGCTACGTAACATTGTTAAAATACGAATTTTACAAAAATTGAGGTGGTACACGGGTGTCAGCTCCAGCATCGCACTTTTTTAAAATCTCTTAAAAATGATTCAACAATAGGCTTTTTCAATAGTTCTCGAGGAGTTTTGTAGTTCCTGATAGGTTTTAACGATAGTTCTGTTGCGCAATATCGGTAAAAGATCTATTAAATATACTGGTATCATCATACGCTTTAGTGCAGGTAGGCATGACTTCTTAGCTTTTGTCATATTAAACTTACCGAGCTTACACTGTGCGCTTGAACTTAGGAAAAAAAAATATTTAGGATATACTCGATTAGCTGCCTCGTTGTAAGTATTGCTTTGTGATCCAGGGATAAGTAACAGGGAGCCTCTGCTCGCCAAGTTACACGTTCGTGATCGCGGTCAGCTTGGCTACGACGGTATCCGCATTATCCACGGAGGCAATGATCACACTACTTCCAGACATGCCGCTGCGATTCAGCGTTATGTTTTTGGTATCCCCTAAAACCGGAGCGTTGTGCATCTCCCTACTCGTCTCTGCTGGAAGATAAGAAATTTCAAGCATTGAACACTTGCGCTACAGTGGCATAGAATAATATTATTAATTATGACCCTGAGTTGGGGTCAGTATTTGTTATAGAGACCTTCATCTTCTTTGGAGTATTACTTCATGACTATCTAAAAATATATCCGCGTAAACCAAGATGTTCCATGATTTCCTTCGATTATATCATTGATAGGCTCAAATAATTAATAATATCCTACTAGGATACATCGCTCCTCGTAAAATATTATTTTCCTAGGACCCCAAGTCTCTGTACCATTGAAGATGACCTAATCACGACAGTGCATTGTTTTGACGCGCACAGAAATGGCGGATACTATATTTATCACGTATTTTGTACTCTTGTTGACGTTCAATTTATGTCCAGGTATGAGATAATATTTTTTTTTACGTTATTATTGGGTGCCTTATTTCGCGCAAAACTTAACGCGTTAATAATGCGTATCGGGTTAATGTTCTATCTATAGGACTGGCTTATTTTTTAAGACAACCACGCTCCTTACGTTTACTAGGATTGAACCCTTAATTGTTTGCGCCTAATTTTATTAGTTACATGACACTTTTAGAAGTTATTTCATTCTAGGAATCACATTTCCAGACGTACCGTACATTTAAAATTATTACAGCTGCTCTTTAAATCATTTAAATATAAGATGCACAATTATGCAACTTGAGCCAGGATCTCTCAAGTCTGAATTCTTTGAGTAAAATAAGAGCAAGATATGAAAAGGATGTTGTGCAATTTTAAAAGTTATGCGTATTATTATTGGCTTGTTATGGAGTGTATTTAATATTAATTTATAGGAGAAAGGCAAAAAACAGCATTGCAAGATGACGATTATTCACTTGATAGTGAAGAAGCTCCTGAGCCACTTGATCATCGGTTCACTAACAACGTCGTCACTCAACGACGTTTTAAATGTCATATGTGCGAAGGCCCTGACTGTAGGAATCCTGACGTTTGCCATGATGCAATTACTGTTAGTTTCTGAATAAAATTAAACACAAAATTTGTGAATTATTACATTGCAAATTATCTCTTACTCTCAAATATTTGTAGTGTTGGAAATCAAGGGTGCGAGAAGTGGATGGTACAGAAAGTATTACCAGAGGGTGTACAACACTTGAAGACCAAATGCCATTAATATGTAATACACAGCAACTTTTACAAGGAAGCGGAAGTGGCAATGAAAGAAAGAGGCATGTGAATGGTGCATCAGGTAGTGCACAATTTCATGTAAAATGCTGTCAAGCTGATCTGTGCAATGCTGGACCCTTTCCATTATTGGATGACTATGGTGGAGGTAATGACCCACATAATTTTTAACCAAACACCCTAAGATCCAATCATAATTAGTTTCTTTCCTTTTTAGGTGGCTATACAGAAAATTATGCTATGAAGTTAACACTGGCAATTTTGGGTCCGATGGTTGGATTAGGCGTGGTAGGAGCTGGTATTCTCTTCTGCTTGTTAGCACGCAGAACGCGCCGAAAGCGACCGTTGGCTACGCGTCGCAACAAACTGCTTGTGGATTCCGAGATGGAATCATCGATGCTACATTTTTCTTCTCCGTCACAATCATCGGCAGCTACGTATCACCCACACGAATTACGAGCCACAGCTGCCGGTGATAGCACACTTAAAGTTCGTATTTTAACTTTGCATAGAGGCAGCTTTTTCATGTAGCATTACGTAACATTTTATTTTTACGATTTCCATAGGAATACTTAGACGGAAGAAGTCTAACTAGTGGTTCGGGATCTGGTTTGCCACTCTTGGTTCAACGAACACTGGCCAAGCAGGTTGCTCTAGTAGAATGTTTAGGAAGTGGCGGAGGTGGTGGCTTTGGCGGTGAAGTATGGCGTGGAGTATGGCATGGAGAAAACGTGGCAGTTAAAATATATTTCTCGCGCGATGAAGTTGCGTGGGCACGCGAAACAGAAGTTTATTCCCAGTTGTTACCTTCTCGACACGACAATATTCTTGGATACGTTGGAAGTGATATGACGAGTCGTGCTAGTTGCACGCAGCTCTGGCTAGTGACCCATTATCATCCCTTGGGTTCTTTACACGATCATTTGAACCGATCGCCTTATCCATTAACGCATCATCAAACGCTCAATATCTGCTTGAGTATATCGAATGGTTTACTCTATTTACACACTGAAATTCACGGGACAAGAGGGAAGCCCGCAATGGCGCATCGCAATCTCAAATCGAAGAACATTCTCGTTAAAACAAATGGCAGTTGCGTTATCGCTGATTTTGCCTTAGCAGCTACGCAAGATCGTCTTCTCACTGACAGAGTTGACCTACGACTGGGTACCAAACGCTACATGAGTCCAGAAGTGCTTGAACAAACGTACGTTATCCTTTAGCTTTAGGTCAATTAAAAATTAAAAATAACAATTAATTTATTCTGCATAGGTTAAATACCGAGTGCTTAGAAAGCTTTCGCCGTGCTGACATGTATAGTTTGGGATTGATACTCTGGGAAGTCTGTCGCAGATGTATCAGTAATGGAGTAGCGTTAGATTACGCAGTGCCATACTCCGAATGGCTTCCAAGTGGTAATCAGGAGCCATCGATAGAAGAAATGCGTAAATTAGTTTCTCTGGACCAACGTAGACCACCTCTACCTAACAGGTGGCACTCCGATCCGGTACGATCAATTCCATCCATTTATATAATTATAATTTACAATCAGGCAATTCAGTTTGTTTTTGGTAGATATAAATTATCAAATTATAATCTTTCTGTTATTTTTCAGACTCTAGCTGGAATGGGAAAGCTGATAAGAGAATGTTGGCACGGCAAGCCTGCGGCTCGACTCCCGATACTTAGAGTAAAAAAGACGCTTGTTAAATTGGCAGCCAATGACCCTCGTGTTCATTTACCCCTTGACTGACCAGTGTTTTCTTGCTCGAACCTTACTTTATATACGTATTTATTATTACTATTATTCCATCGATATATCATTCTCACCGTACGTTTAATCATCATCATTCTCGATCATCCATTGCCATGTCATTATCTTGGAGGGAAAAGAAAATATCGTCTGTCGACATATCAGAGCAACGACGCCGATAGGTTTCTAGTTCCGTCCTATCGACTTCATTTCGTTTCACACGATTACTGTCGGAAGATTATCTAGCTATAATAGTTAGTATCAAATTGTCTTCAGTTTACTCAACAAATCAATGTACAAACCGTGTGTACTACACAGGCGCTATTAACGCAGTTTCGTAATTGTAAGGATCGTTGCATGGAAATGATCCTAATTTTGGGATCAGGGGTAAATTATAATGAATTGTGTACAGTTGGAGATCGCACAACTATCGACGATGTTTGGTGCCAGTCTCTAGTTGTATTTTCCACGTTACCTAGTAGTCGTTTTTAATTTTTATTATGAATACGCGTGTACATACTACCCTGTTCTTACGCGCCATTCTTATATCGTTTGCAATATTATTAAAGATGTCGATCAACGATCGAAAGACGTTGTAAATAGCACCTTTGTATTAATAACTATTATTAGTTATCATTACTGCGATTAATCTGTAGTAAAAGTGATGGATAAGTGAAAGGTGTAATACAAGTATACATAAGGAATAATTGTTATTTTAGTCTTTTATTTATTCACCTGAAAGGCCATTATAAAATATTCAAATCATAAACAAGGATGTTCAACGTGAGAAACTGTATTTTATGCTTTCATCTATTTCAACACTTGGTTTTGTTGAAAATATCCTTTCAAGGAAATTTGTTTCTTCAAATGCTTGATTACCAAGGCATAGTTCAAAAAATTCTCTAAGATTCGATGTACTACTGTCTGGACTACACATTAGAAGGATTAATGCATATCTCCATTTGTTTGGTTCATATTCTAAAGGTGCATCCAATGTTATGTGAAATAGTTCTTGCAGATGACGCCAATCATGATGTGCTAAACAGGAGCGCATTTCTAAAAAAGCTGTACTACGATTAAAGATTGTAGCAGGCGATTTCCTCTTTTTTCTTCTATCGCTGATAGTTGAAATACAATAGGACTCAATTTTAGAATTGAGAGTTTCTTTGTTATGGTTATCCGTCTTTCTCTTTCTACTGATTACTTTTGATCTCAGGACATCTAATGCTTTATTCTAAAAAGAAAGTTAATGTTAATTAAATGTACATTTATATGCAAGGTGGGTACTTTATTTAGATAACTTACAACGCTTCCTTTTCCAACCCTTCGTAATTCATCTTCAGGAACAGTAGTATTAGACATGGCTAATACTCTTCTAATATAAATAAATATTTGAATATAACTTTCTTCTCTTACAGGTTTATGGAAAAATTCCAAGTTAAACTGTCATGTAAGACTTAATGACTCCAAATAGTCACTATTCACGTTTCATAATGTTTAACAACAAGAGAACGTTCTACAGTATATCATATATCACAAACAGATTAATTCTGTACATGTATTTTTTTAGGTATAACTAATATTAAACTTTCTTTAATAAACTACAATTCAGGATAGGTTAGATCACATTAGAAGTCAAACGTACCCAAGCGTCAGTAACCAAATCAAACACATGCTTTGAAATGTCGGCGCTACTGTAGATTCTGCGCCATTCTGTAGCTTTCGAAATAGATTCTATTCAATATTTTAATTCACATTTACATACCATTATACCTGAACTGATTTAATACGAGAATTCCCAACAATTTCGTTCTGTTACCATTGATTTTCAAACAAGGTAATGTTCTGTCAATATTCAGGTCATATTTCAAAGTTCAGTAATCGATTTTATTGTACTCACACCATGACCCACGTACATAAACTATAAATGTTGAATATTATGTTAATAATAAATCACCTATCTGTACCTTAATAAATATAATATTCAACACTTCACAAGTCCTAACAAACTTTCAATAAACTTCACACCATTTTTTTATAAAGCAAATTTAAAGATAGCATTGCTTCAATTATTCGAATATGTCAATACTTGTAATATAGGAAGAGCAGACTTATTTTTATTCTTTAAAAAAAATAAGTCAAGAAAACTCGTAACCAGCATATATCATACTCCACACATGAGGGTTGCCCACCATCAGCCATTTATTGCCTTGTTCCCCTATAGCATATATATGTATATACGTTAGCATAATTAACAAACGATGTCAAAGTCATTTTTCGTCATCTCAACCCATTGCTAACAAAACAATATAATCAGAAGAATACAGCCAAATAATTTCTAAACTGAAGTACCTATATATATATACACATATATCCACATACACATATTAATAAAGAGAAAGATTGAAGAAGGGAATATGAAACGACAGCTATACCATACTGTGAATAATAATTATTCGATCCTATCCAAGTATCGAACAGCAAGGTAACATGAAGCGAGCCCTATACACGATGCCTGCAATAATAATACCATTCCGTGCATTTAAACTGTTGGCTATGCGCAAAAGTTTCGTTATCAAGGAAAGCCATGTATATATATATATATATATATATATATATATATATATGCAGACATATAATATACACATACATATTTCAGTTCATCGCATACGTTTCATACGGCAACTGGTCGTCGTGCCGTTACAATTCATAGTAACGTAAAGAACGTGTACATCTATAAATATATCTAGATCGGTAGCATCATAAAAACGTTGATATCGTTAGAGAGCAATACATATATACGATCACTCAGAAATTCCGGCCAGTGGCGATATATATATTTTTTACACATACATATTTCAGTTCATCGCATACGTTTCATACGGCAACTGGTCGTCGTGCCGTTACAATTCATAGTAACGTAAAGAACGTGTACATCTATAAATATATCTAGATCGGTAGCATCATAAAAACGTTGATATCGTTAGAGAGCAATACATATATACGATCACTCAGAAATTCCGGCCAGTGGCGATATATATATTTTTATTGTTTCTCTGGACCTACCCTCTGCGCAACTTCCGCATCGCGCAGCCTCCATGATCGCAGCATCACTGGGGATCTTCGCTCAGTAGCAAAAATCCGTAAAGCGCAACCACATCGGTACTCACCAAAGGGTCTCAAGGGTGGGCGTGAGAGAGAGAGAGAGGGTGTGTGAGAGAAAGAGAGCGAGAACGAGAGAGAAAGAAAGGGTGAGATATAGGAAGAAAGTGAGTGAAAGAGAGAGAGATAGATAGATAGATAGATAGATAGATAGAGAGAGAGAGAGAGAGAGAGAGAGAGAGAGAGAGAGAGAGAGAGAGAGAATTAGCAAGGTGCTAAGAGTTATTCGTTTATCGTGAAAATCTTAAAAGGATACTGGGTGCTCCTCGTTATAGACATCGATGGCAGATCACGATAACAATTACGACGACGAGGTAATTAATTATATATAACTTGATTGGTACACCATTCATTTGGTGTAGAATAGGATATTGTAGTCTCACTTATTCTATTATTGTGACAATTATTTTGTATATTTTATTCTGTTTTTATTGTTTGTATATTTTGAAGCTATTTGATCATCCATTTCGATTGATGTACTGTTGACGACAAATGTATTGAACACTGATAATCAGACACTGTTAGTAGAAAATATTTAATTTTGTTTAGTGTATTATATATATTTTTAAAATAAATATTTGTGGTTTATAAAATGTCTATCCCATATCAATATTATCTATTAAACTTTATATCCTGACGTTGGATACTCCCTTGGGATGTTCTAGGGTCTGCAAATCAGTCAATCGTTTTTCGATATTTTCGATACACATTTAATAACGTAATTTTATACTTTGTGATATCGCGAATGAATGAGTTTCCAGCAGGGAGCGCGTGTATTTTTCTTAGGAATGAATGTTCTTATTATACAACGAACAATGGCATTGTATCTGCCGTGACATTACGATTCTCATGAAAAGTCAATACTTCAACCGACAGGACGACACTACGCGATTAAAATTGTCGTAGAAGAGAAATAATTTGTAAGAAATTTAAGTGTCAATGCGTCTACTGCGATTTAAATTCATCATATTTCACTTAATACATATTTCTGTCAAGAGTCGTAAAGAACGTCAAATACTTTCGTTACTTTTTCAAAACTTCCAATTAGAATATCTGTAAAAATACTTGCGTTATCCGCACAACGGGAGTGAAAAGTTTTTTAAAAATATATGAGGCCGCAACGCGCGTAGATTTGCGCGGGACTTGTCGCCCTACGTATACGTAGTCATCCTCTCGACACCACAGCGCCTCAGTGGGCCTTCCTCTATCGATTTAAGCAGCAGCTGACTGCCCCTTCGCTAGCTGGCTGCTCGAGCCAAGAACGACTGTTCTTGTTATTCACACTCCTAGCTGTAGAGACTTCTTGTTGGGTATGGTCGATAAATGTTTTAATGAGGTGCCGATAGGAAGTGGCCAATTGTCATTTGCCAAGGCAACGAAGCACGAGACGTTAAAATGGCTTCGCGGGAATAGACGGAAAAAATGGACAGACCTACATTCCTAATAATTTGTCATATACATATATACAAACGTATTCACCAAAGCATGCATGTACACAAGCGTCAAAGATGGTTAGGTAAGATTATCTTTTGTTAAACACAGAACTATATAGATTTGCAAACACTGACAATGGTTAATAATGATTTCATAAAGTATACCCGGCTAAAGATAACCTACAAGGATGTGAATGAGGGTTAGGCTAAAGTAAGTGGTTTTCTTTTCTCGGAAAGGTCAAGCTTCGAGGGCATTATTTATTATATATAGAATGTCCATATATAGATTTAGCTATATAGCTTGTGTGTGCATATTCCTCTCGGATATGCAAGCACTAAGCATTAACGTGGGTCAGCCTATTTTGCTTTTGAACTCTTCCACCGATGTAGGAAGGCCACTGTGAATGAATGGAGGTCAAAGATTTTGGGAAAAGTCGCCCGGAGCTTTCTTTATGACGACGCTGTCGCCATTAATCCAGTTCTTGCCAAGATTTTGAATCTGGAGTAATCGGGCACCTGTGGATCCGTGGATTAATGGCTGACTACTAGTTCAAACTCTATAGATAGACATATATATATGTCTGTCTTTTCTCTTACATTCGAACTTATTACATTTTTTATTCGTCTAATCCCTTATAATCCACCGCGTCCCAATCCTATTTACACCCAACCCCCGTTGTTACGGTGTGTAATTATCTTGAAACTGTTTTTCTCAGAGTCTAACTATCTGGTACATTAATCAAAATGTATATTAAGACATTTTCTACAATAATGATTATATATAATAGGAGCTGGTATCAACCAATCCAAATCAAAGAAACTGGCGTGGCATCCTAATCGCCTTGCTCGTCATCATCGCAGTGCTTGCTCTCATTGTTACATCAGTGGCTTTGCTCACACCTCCTGATGAAGGTCCTCGTGTGAGAGGCACCCGTTTACGGCTATTCGATGTAAGTGCAGCAACTTTATTCTATACCGTACATTCCCTACAATGTATTTGAAATAACTCCGTAACATTCAGTTACACGTATGCCTTTAATTTTATTTTTGTGGTAGAGACAATTATTATTATCAAAAATATATATAAACGAAGATGATTGGGGGTTGTTACCGCTAGTGTTGATTAAACGAAAAATAGTCTAATTACAATTTCATGTATTATACACCCTCTTGTCCATTAGGTTCTATCCGGAGAACTAACTCCCCTGCTGTTTAATGGTACTTGGGTGAACAATCGACATATATGTTACCGCGATGCCTGGGGTGGTATTTCTCTACTGGACGCTTCTGATCTCAACATCACTTCTCACAGCTTGATGCCTAACGAGACCTTCGTAAGTTCATACATATGGATGTACCATTGACGAGGTCAGGGTGTTTGCGTCTAACTTTGCTGAAGGATTAAAAAGTACCAGGTCAATAAAATGGAGAAATTAAAATATAACGAGGGTGTAGAATATTCAAATATTCGTTCTTGTTAACGAATGGATTTCTGTCGTGTGTCACATTTTATGTTAGACGTTAATATAGCATGCAATTAAGGTGCAATAACGAACTTAGAACTTTAGACCGGGCATTTTATACTCACTGTATTTGATAATTGAGGGTAGATATTGTGTATTGTGAAATGGATGCAAATCGCTTTGAATTTAATTCACAGAGAAGATTGAATCCTGCTAAATTCTCCCTGTCGCCGGATCATAGATACTTACTTCTTGCACAAAATGTTAAGAAGCTATTTCGGTACTCATACTTGGCACAGTATGTCATTTACGACGTGAATACACGGTTTGTATACAATCTTGTACGCAATAAGTTCTTTTCTTGAAGGTAATATCACTTGCCTTAGTAAACTCATAGTGATAACGTATGTCTACGAGTTAATGATAACCGATCACAATTAAAGAAGCTTGTGAGTGGTTAACAAAATTTTTTTTTCTTTTTTTAGTGAAACTATAAGATTGTCTCCATATCCTGAAAGGAATGCTCATCCATATTTATTGCTGGCACAATGGACCCCTCAAGGTCATGGATTGGTAATGATTCACGATTATGATATCTATTACAAACCAGGTCCCTTGAGCAATACAGGGTATCGTGTAACCGATACGGCTATACCTGGAATTCTGTCGAATGGTTTACCTGATTGGCTGTACGAAGGTGCGTAATAAGCAGAGGATTTATAATTTCTCGTTAAGATTTCGGAAGGAAAGATGAACTAATTGAAAATTGACATCAAGTGGTTATTGATTTATTAATTTGTATGCAGAAGAGATTCTACGTACTGACCAGGCATTGTGGATGTCAAAGGATGGACATATGATGCTGTATGCTTCGTTTAATGATTCCTTCGTGTCGGAAATGCATATATCTTGGTTCGGGGAAGAGAGTAAATCCTTATATCCCGATATTCGATCCCTGAGATATCCAAAGGTATAAAATATCATCGTGAGGAAGTAAAAGTGATGTGGTTTGCAAGATAACATTTTGAGGATAAAGCGATAATCCGATTAGCCGTTTTTCAATAATTCTAATTGAGAATTACTTTACGTTTAAAAAAAAGGATGAAATGCGATAGCAAGAAGGACCTTGAAAATTCTTGATTAGCTTTAATTGATTTTTATCTGCGGCTGCCAATAGTACCTTTTGCACTTGTGATCAGTAGTTAATATCCCCAGCGAGTGAAGCTATGACTATCCGGTATAATTCGAAGCACGCATTCCTTTTTTTTTAATAACAACGAAAATAGTAATCCTAATTTTACAGCCCGGAACGCCAAATCCTTTGGTACAACTATACGTTGCAGATCTTGCCGATCCAAAGAATATTCATACGAAGGTAGTGAAACCGCCACCCGTCATCGAGCTTGAGTGAGTTTATTTATCCGGCTTAGAGTTAATTAATATGGTCGCACAGATCCTTTTGTTAACGGCTCTCAAGTGTAAAAATGTAATTGCGACAAACGCACGCTCGAATTTACGTTGTATAGAAATACTTTCTTATAGTCTTGGCTTTGTTTCCAAATCCCATGTGGCAAGTCTAGATAATACGGCTTAAATCCAGATCTAGATCAATAGCATATTAAAAGTATAGATCTGCATGAATTCCGACAAGTCGCTTTGTGTATCCTGAATAAAATAGTACCTACACTCTTTGGTCAAGTACCTTATCGTTTGTAAAAGCGCAGAAACAAATTCCAACGAAGAAAACTTAGTAAACATTAAGAGTCTGCCGACAAATTTATATTCGAGCATTTAAAGAAGAAAGAGACTAGTTCAAAGAAACTTCAGAGATCCTCCAAATAGGCATAAGTACGTCAAACGAATTTAGAAACGATGAAAAATGAATTTTTCTTTACAGAGAGCATTACTTTACAACGGCAGCTTGGATCTCATTGACAGAAGTTTGCATAACATGGCTTACACGTCCACAAAATCTTTCAGTAGTAACTGTCTGTAAAAGTCCTACGTGGCACTGTCAGGTTTGTTCCTTATTTTTGACATTTTGCTCAAAATTAGTTTTCCCATCTAATTCACCTTGTGAAAATTTATTAATTCAGGAGATTCAACGAATTCTCGGTGAGGGTCGCGGCTGGGTCGATACTCCACCAGAGTCACCCTTGTTCTCTTCGAATGGTAGCAGTTACATAGCTATAATCCCAGTACGAGATGGACCATCCGGTTATTACAAGCACATAGTACGCGTAAATGTTCTAGAAAAGCAAGTAGTACCTTTAACCCATGGAAGATTTGAAGTATCTCGTATACTTGCATGGGACCAGGTGAACAACACCATGTGAGTAACGAAGACAAAAAATTCCTTAACCAATCCAGAAGTCAAATACCTTAACGTTGACACTCTGTTAAAGCTATTTTATTGGTATTCCTCAACTGCATCCTGGACAGCGACATCTTTATCGTGTCAGCTCTCTATTACCTCATGTCGGATCTCCTTTACACGCACCAGTTTGCCTGACCTGTACAAGCTCTTCGAAGATTGAGAGTCACTACGTCCTCGCCGATGGTCAGAACAAGGTGCACGCATCCGGAAGTCGTTATAACAGTTGGACAGACAGAAGCGATTGGAGCGATCAGTATGAAGCTCAGGTGGAGACTGTGGAACAAAGAAACGTGAAGATTGGACCTAGTAGAAAAGAGAATACAAAGATGAAACCTACATCAAGTAAGTATACTCGATGAATCCAGCCGTAGAGGAGTATAACTATATTATTTGATGGATTGACTTGATTAATTATTCTCTTCGTTTATACCTTTATTCTAATATTCCATATTATATGAGAATTCATCGTTTTACTTGGATTCCGATAATAATTGAAAGGTTTAAAAAAACCTATCGCTTGTTGAATATTTCTCTGACACACACACACATGCACATACGTACACGAGTTGGTAGGCATTTTTTTACATGGCACACGTGTATACGGTGTATTTCACTGAAGATACCATATTGGGAATATATTGTACTGGTACAGTGTCAATTCATTAAAGTTTACGACGCTTAACATGTGAATCAATAACTCAATAAATTTTAACGCAATACCATCATCTTATCCCTTTGACTGTTTTGCAAGATTATGATACATTATATTCCCGAGCAACGCTGCTAGATAAATGCACGGTATACATTGGGCGTATTTATTTATGTCTCAGTAGACTTGGGCTAACCAGAGTAATAGACGAAGACTCGCATCGATCAACAGTGTAGAAGAATGATCCCTATATTTCAATTTCATCAGCTTCTCATCTTCTCCGATCAATATTTGCACCGTCTATGAAAGTAGCATGTGATCCAGGTCCACCCCATCAGATAAATTAGTTTGTCTAATGCATAGTAGTGTTCATAAGAACCTCTTAGAATTTCTTTTCTCTTTCATCAGCATTTACATGATCATAGTAAATAAGCTATTTTTTTTCTTATAAGCATAAACCGTATACCTCCTTTTTACCATTGTTGCAAGTAGCCACATATATATATATATATATATATATAAATCATATACTATAGCACATGACATAGCTTACCATGCGAGCCAACAGTGACAGCAGGATCATAGACAAAAGCGTATATAATTTGTGGCTTAGGGGTGGTTTGAGGATCACGCTCCTTCCTTCGCGAAGGAGGAGGTAGGCTTAACGCGTATAACCGGAAGTCCTACTAAGAGCTTGATATAGAAACGATCAGTGATAAGTCAAATGGACGATAGGTCGAGGCGTTTTTAGGTTAGTCTCCCCCATTATCAATGTTTATGCATAGTCTGCCCAGGCAGTTACCGTTCCTGGCATTATTCAGATGTCGTTTTATTGTCAAGATTTCTTAACAGCTGCCATTATTGGGACAACAGTCACAGCAGGCAAAATACCAACGCCTGGCCTAAGGTGCGGCATTCCTGACCCAGAGCCTTCTTATTCGTACCGTTTATTGCCATCTTGTATATGAGTGCTGACAGAGTGATGGACGGTGGCCACACGTAATCAGGTAGAGACGGTATATAACGCTTTTCTGTTAGTTGAAATACATGTTTTGTTATATAATGGCGCGTTTGCGTGTGCGTGTATGTGTATGTGTGCGTGTGGCGAGTTTGTGGAATGATCACAAAGAATTAAAGCAGATGACTAAAGCAGGCTATATATTATATGCCGAGTATATAGAATATATATAAATAATTTTTTTTACAATATATTCAATCTATATCTTTTTTTTTATCAAGAGACTCGCGATACCGTTACGACGAACGTGGCCATTTATAGATGGGTCGATCGATTTATTGACGAGTATACACTGTAACACGGTTCGTCGGCCATCTTTGTGTGAGGCTTAGATAAGAGAAGACGAAAGCGCTATATCCTTTATCCCAAATAATAGAATCATGTTTTCATATTGTATATCTATGTTCAGAATCTCTTAACGGTCTTCCAATTGATTCTACGTAGTACACGTTTCTCCTTTATCTTTTTTTTTCGAGCACATATCGAGTATTCTTTATATACCTATATTGCTAGAATCACACTGTATCATACGCAATGCATCACGTTCATTCGATATCTATGTGATGGATGAGGATATCACTTTTAGACTTGTAACATACATCGTGACTAATACCCTTTGTTTCCTGTATTACGGTGATCGCCGGAGATTCGTGATAATATTTGAATTTCGTTTCAAAGACCATTACTATTGTTATCGATGGCTTCGCGATGATCTCGATGCAAAGGGATTACGTGAAGGTAAAAATGGATGTGTCGGTTTTTATATCGAATATGTATATACATATACGGAGAAAATGGACGATGCACAGGCTGAGGGAGGATAAGCTCAGAATGGTATATCTTACTGTTATCAAGGGGATCGCAGGGTGAATAATGTAATTGGAAATATTTTTCAAAGCTTATCCCGCCTTTCTCCTGCTCAGCGTCAAGTGATCTATATGCTTTAAATGTGCCTTATGATAATCAACTATTTATTGTCGATACACAGTTTCTTGCGCAAGTGTTATTTATATTTGTAACGTCGAGCAGGGATGAGATCAAGACGCTTGCGCGTTAAGAATGAAAATTTATTGATTGGCTTGATATTACGTATATATGCAGCTATGAATTTTCTTGAAGGATAAGATCCTTTTTTAGGTACCTTTGATCGCATCCCTATGGAGGCAATTACATAAGATCGATCGATCAGCAGGTCAACTACTCGAGGATCCATGTCCGCACACGTCTGGATATATTGGCATGAATCAATTGGACGATATTGTATAGTGCTTTTTATTAATTTTATCTCGAGTGTTGCTCACATTTGTATTATATAGATATCGTTCGTCCATATGTGAAGATAATGCAATTTCGCAGATCCTTTTTAACGTTTTATCTCCGTTCGTTTAATCTTTCAGATTTGATGGAACCTTGCCAGTATCACAGTGCTGTATTCTCGCCTGGTTTGGAATACTTTGTATTGGAATGCTTGGGTCCAGGTATACCTACTGTGTCGTTGTACAAAACGGAAATGCCTGAACCACGTTTCATTGCTTTGCTTCAGAACAACACGTTACTTCGTGTGAGTATGAAATAATAAGTGACGGGATGCTCGTTGTTGATATTTTTATTGGAAGTTTTTTATTTCTAGGAAAGGATATCGAAGCTGGCACTTCCGCAGATTAAAACATTTCCAGTTCAGATAAGTGGTGGTTATAATGCACAGGTCAGATTGTATCTTCCACCTGGGTTACGAGAGGACGAAATCACACGTTATCCCATGGTAGTTCAAGTGTACGTAATTTAAAAAAAAAATGTAGATACTGGATAGTCAGATGAGGTTGAATTATTTTTGAAAAATGATTTTCTTACGTCAGGTATGGAGCGCCTGGTTCTCAATTGGTTACCGAGATGTTTAAAATCGACTGGAATACTTATCTTGCCAGTAGAAAAGGCGTGATAGTTGCTCAGATTGATGGTAGAGGAAGCGGAGGCCAGGGTTATAAACTACTTCATGAAGTTTACTACAGACTTGGTTCTGTCGAAGTGGCTGATCAGCTGGAAGTTACAGAGTAAGTGAAAGAGACATGAAACGCAGATAAAGAGAAAAATGTATTTTTATTGTTAAAATATATTACTTTCTCATACAGATATTTGCGGGATTCTCTTCATTTCGTGGACAAGAGACGCGTGGCTGTATGGGGATGGAGCTATGGTGGATTCGTAGCAGCTCTTGTACTAGCACATCCTAAACAGGATGTCTTTCAATGTGGAATAAGCGTGGCGCCGGTGGTGTCTTGGAAGTTATATGGTAATAATTATTGAAATAATAATGAATTAGTATTAATAAAAATAGTTGATTCGAGTTTAAATAATTCTATTCGCAGATTCTGCTTACGCGGAGAGATACATGGGGTCGCCAAACGTGACATCAAATTACAAAGGATACGCCGAGTCTGACGTATATATCAAAGTGGAAAATTTACGCAATAAAATGTTTTATTTGGTTCATGGAACGGCGGATGACGACGCTCAATTCCAGCAGTCTATGGCGCTCGCACGACATCTCGCCAAAAAAGGAATTCTTTTCAGACAACAGGTTTCTGCTCTTGAATTAGTATCGTTATTGACGTTATCGGCGTTACGGGCGATCCGTAAATTTTCTCGAGCGTCCTCGTAACCGCTGATAAAGTCTTGGATTAAAATGCGAAATGTTCTCTAGGTGTATCCGGACGTAAGTCACAGCTTGGCAAGTGTAAAGGGACATCTGTATCTGTCGATGGCGCAGTTCCTGGACGACTGTTTTCAGAAGCAAGTACCTGTCGACACAAAGGCTGGTCTTGGTAGCGGTGGCCATTGGATGTAAGGAGTGTCACGTGATATTTCAATATGAAAGAAATTTAAAAGTAAAAAACCAATATAAAATATTAGTCTGGTGAAAAAAAAGTGTACATGGCAAAATGCAATCTGAAATATCTCCAAATTGTGTTCTGTTTAATAGAATATTTACAAAAAAAAAAAAATATCAGCTCTTATTGTATTTTCCCAGACGATATCTTTAATCGTATAAATTAAAGGACAAAGAGGACAATTGAGCACAGTGAAATTCATATAAGGCGTGTAATCTTTCGTTTAATATTTTTATTAACATCGGGTTATTGGCAAAACTATAATAACACCGAGTACGTGGCGTATTATGATAATATATTGGATTGTAAAATATATAAATAGTCAATGGCGATTATTCGCTATTAATAGAATGCCATTTATCTATTAACTTTAACGGTAATGGCAACGAACAATATTGGTCATGCTTTGTACATAGCGTAGTGTCATTAACAATAAATAGACACGATATTTAATTGAAACAAATGAAAAATATGGCAGCACACAAACATTCCCTAAAGTTAGACACACATGCGAACAATATTACACGTAAATCATTAACTTTAAGAAAAGAACGCTCACTATTTTCGAGAATAATATAGATAGAATGTAATTAGTAAAAATTGTCTCCCTTATCTCGATATCGATATCCACCAGCGCATGGCTGAGGTAGATCCATTTTGATTGGTCGCGTTACCATAAGAAGATGGCGGGTTTATTTGAAATAAATTATTCAGCTGCTATTAACCTATCAGTTCGAATAGTAGTGCGATAACACATCGTTTCATTTTTCGAATATTTCATCAAAAATATTTTCATACCAAGTATCGATCGGCATTGATAAATTGATATACACTTCATTAAAAATCTATCTATAATGAACCACTTCTTGACATAAAAGAAAATGTAGATCACATCCTTCGATCAGAATAAATTTATTTGTTCAACATCAGTATCTTGAACAAATGAAACGTTCATTGAGGTGATCAGTAACGATTATTCCATGGTAAATGAAAATGATTTTTTAATGGCAATAGATATGGACGTCCAGATAAAATTCATTAGAGAGTAGATACGCATATTTATAGGTACTTATCGTAAACAGCGTCTACCAAGTTAATGATGGAGTCACAAATCAGGCAGGGACTTAATGAATTTCTTGCTCGAGCATCTACCCAAGTGTAGCAGCATATGATTCTTAAGATTTGTTGGCTTGCTGAACCCTCGACTGCAAATGTGACATCTGAACGGCCACAATCCATTGTGAACATACATGTGGCTCTTGAGATCACCAGGTGTGGGAAAGGACTTAGAACATTGCGAACACTTGTGTGGTTTTTCCTGAAAACGTTGATTAAAATCGTTCATGAATTCCTGTATGAACAAACGATTGAACTCCATAACGACGATTCACAATCGGATGTAAAGCCAGATGAAAAACTTTTATAACCAATTAACAGTGTTAATTTGTATAATTTATAGCTTTGGTATTGGCAATGGTAGAGCGACAATTATTTACCGTGTGTTATACGTGCCTAGTAAATAATTGTGCTAAACTAAAACCGGTGTGTTCGAGTAGTCGCGGCTCGTTAGACTGGACGTGCGTTCTCTTGTATATCTATATATCCAGGTATGTTGGTAGATACGTATGAACATATGTAGGTACACATACGTGATTCAAGATTCACCTGCCGATAGGGGTATATGCTACAGTATAGAGAGTGCACGTACGTGGTTATAATACGTATGCAGGTAAGATATGCTGTCGGATGAAATTGCAGCAACTGGTAGGAGGAGTTGGTTGGAATAATTAATATTTCAAAATTAGAATAACCAATCGAGGTGCGTAATTAAATGAGTATCGATTGTGAATTGACTTGACGTTTCATTCAGCATGGCTGCCTATGCATTCGTAGGTTTAATTAAGCTTCATTTACTCCGAAGTAAATGAAGTCGATCGGGCGATTTCATTCTGGTCTGATTTACGATCACACGGCATTTAGATAAAGTCAGCCCCGCGTAACTCGGCGCTCTTTAATTTCATTTCACGGATACGTGGGACGCCGGGGCAAGAGAGCTTACGAGAGTGTTTCGTGGATCCAGAGTTTTAATGGCGTATAAGTGAAACTCAAAAGTATGGGTAGTGCGCGGCAGTAACGCAGAACAGCCTCGAGGTACGTACGTTCTCTGTCTCTCTAATTGGATTGCATTCCAAGCGGTAGCAAGTAATGGGCCAATTACAGTAGCTGATGGCAGAGCAGTCTATATGGCTCCTCAGATATCATTACTTCGACGGATTAGAGAAACTCATACAGTTTTCTTTATGATAAATGAAAAGTTTTTGATCGACGCAGCTTCGTGTTTTCTTATTATCTGACGGACTTCGTTAAACCTTCAAAGGACGACTAAGTGAAAGATGCTAGTTAAATTAATGATGCAATGCCTGTCATTACATTTAGGAGGAATTAAAGTGTATATCGATCAAGTCGGTTAATTACCGTAGGCACATACAGGGTTATACGCGACAAACATACCGTCTGAGGTTAGCCTATCTATTCGATTTCTATGGTAGAACCGGTATAACTATATTAAGACGGTACGCTTGTCAGTGGACATAACCCTATTTGTGAAGGTTGATTCTGGAGTGACGAAACTGTGAACATACCTTTATGTGAGTCATTCGATGATAGTAGAGGTTAGACGAGGCTGTGAACTTCTTTCCGCATACGAGACACTGATGTGGCTTTTCACCGCTGTGTATCCTCTTGTGCGTGTTCAGTGAGCTCGAGGTTGAGAAACCCTTGTTGCACACCATGCAGACGTGCGGCTTCTCTCCTTCAATTTAGTACCGGATAAATTATTGTCGGTTTGCCATTTTGCAAGTTTACTCGGACTCATTTATCTTGGCACGACTGTGCTCGCGTTTCTACTTCTCTTTTTCATGTGTACTCTACTTTGCCAGCGATGGCGATCTCGCGCCGACGATCGATCGCCGGGAGACTCGCCATGGCATTTTGAAAATTGTCAACGTCGCCCCGAGCCATTTTTGAATTTCTATAGAAGCTGCCTTGACATTACTCATATCTAGCGTACCAGTGTGAGTTCTCATATGCCGCTTGAGGAGTGATGGACGGTCGAAGGATTTGCCGCAAACTTCACACGGTAGTAGGACTCTCTCTCCTCTTTTGATCGTCGTGAGGATGCTGCAGTCTAAATGATCTCCCACGAAGGACAGGGTGGACGACGATGATTCCTCCGAAGTCGACTCGTACTCGTCTACCTCGTAGAAGGAAGTTGTGTTCGAGGTCGACGAATGATCCGAGAGCAAAGCCATGGAAAGGTCCAGCGGCGACTCTAAAATATCACAGGGAACCTTAACGTGGTAAGAAATAGTCCTTTGTGTTGCCTTTCTTATCTTCGGCGCTAATATCTCTTGGGCATCCCTGGTAGTTTGCGAATAATGCACAGATGGAGGTAGATAGGTCCATTTCTCTTCGGTATATCTATATACGACATCGTATGAATGTTCAATAAATGTATTCACCGTCGCCATTCAGAGTCAAAGGCGAATTAGTTACGGTATGGCTGCGCTATGTTCTAGAATCTCAAGGAACGTCGCGCGAGACCCTCAAGCTGGAAATCATACGGTTATAGTGTATTCGGGTTGGCGGCAAGCGCGCGCAATCGAAAAGAAAATAATGAGACCGTCTACAAATCTGAAATGCAAATATCGGGCGGAATTTTTGTCGGTCGGATCAAGGTGGCCGCTTGTGATTCAAATGTGTAGCTCTCGCAAGGAATAAAAGACAGTACAATGGGTGGTGGCAGCTAGACGGTCCTTAGTTGCACTCCTGGCAAGGTATTTCTTACAAACTTTCAGTCGCGAAGAAGAATAAGAAGAAGAAGACGAAGGAAAGCAATAAAGGATAAGAGAAGCTAGTAGAGTGGGAAGACGGAGTGTCCATTCGTAATAACTTATCCGTTAAATTCTCAGACGCCATAAACTGACTTTCCTATCTGTGCTTGAGTTACGAAAAGAGGTTATGTTAACTAAAGCATAATGTATCATTACGAGAGAATCAATAACCAACTCAATTATGACGCGTGCTATTTAAGTAAGTACGAATCCAGCGATAGGTATAGTTGCGGTAAGGCACACGTCTTTTCAATTTTTTTTTCAGATCATAAAGAAAGATCAATCCGTAGCTGCAGGAAACGCGCGTCCGGTATCATTAAGATCCTACCAGGTTGTTACATTAATCTCAAACCGTTAGTGTGTATACAACCATTGCGTACTTACCATTCAAAATGGAATCGATGGTGCACCTGTAGATTGCTGAACGCGAGCATACGTCATGGGATATAAAGACAAAATTTTCTTGGGATGCTGGCAGAAACCATGCTACTAATTCTGTGTCAGGTTGGACATCCTTTATAACTTCAAATATCGGCTCTCCTAAATTAAATAATTATTTAATTGGTTAAAACCATTTTTAAGATTACGGAAACTCTTGGGTAATTATGAACAATTTTTTTCGACTCACCTTTGACTTTCGTTCCTATCAGATTGACTTGGTCGTTGTAGGATTGTACGATACGTAGAAATCTTATCCAATTACATTGTCGTTTGTTTAGATTGTAATTTGAAAAAGATACCTCGTCGTAGCAGCCATATTCGCGCCTGATCTAAAAACACATCAGCCGGTGTACCAGTGCTTATAAGTTAGAAAATATAAGAGGTGAGCATGGGGCGCAAGGTGAAGTTTGGATGTATTAAATATATTATGAGTTATTATTATTTTTGAAGATACTTACGTCATTGTCATCAAGCAGCGAGTAGAGATCTATCTTGTCGAATCTGATCGAACCTTGAAACGGATAGATAAGGGTTCCTGAAGGTATGAAGACGTTGGACCATACTGATACTCGTAGATCGGCTACCAGGGTGGCCGTATCATTCTTAAAAAGATTCTTGCATGCGGATTGGTCGTTTGTCAGTACCAGGGAAAATTCTTTAGGTATCAAGACGCAAGTTTCCATAACAGAGAGAGGCTCTTCAAAGTGAAGATTTTGAAGAGCCACTACAGACTCCCTAACTTTACCTCCACCGTGAATCCGTTGTTGTATTAAAATTTACACCGAGTCAACCAGTACGTCAGTTAAAAGAACAAAAATTATGATCACTCAAAGAGTCTACTACAGTATTGATCAGTGACAAAAAAATTCATACAATTTACAATTTTAATTTTTAATACACCGCTCACCAGTGATTACTTCGGATTATTAAATAAAATTATTAAATCCGTCCGAGAATCTCGTTCCTCTGAAATTTCACAAAAATTTCTATCGATTTACCAACACTGGACCAAACAGCCCATCAGTCTCGGAATTAAGCAAATTTCACGAACAATAACCTCAATGATAATAAAACCATGCGAATAATCAATCCGAAGTGATAAGTCAAGTAAAAAAATAACGTATCGATAAGCGAACGAGAGAACAAGCGTGTCGTTCGTTGTGCAAGGTGCAGGGCCCTCGGCTGACTGGATGGGATTAACCGACTGATCTTGACCTTGCGACGGGTTACCAGCATTTGCTACCGAATGGGTAGCCCTTCTCCTCTTCCAGTTCTTCTCGACTCATCCTCTGATCTGACTATACTCGCACCCGGGCGCGCGAGTATAGAGCGAGCATAGAGAAGAGGAACCAGATACTTCCACTTCACGACGAGGAAGCGGGGCTACGTCTTGGTCGTCTTCGTCGTCGGCCTTGCGCTCCTCTTCGTCCTCTTTCTCTTGGTCCTTCTTGTCTACGGCTGCTTAAGTTAACCACGTGGGCGACTCGGCACCTGTCGTTCCTTGCACTCTTTTCAGCCTTTTCCAGCTAACAGCCAGGACATTTCTCCTTCTCTCTCTCTCTCTCTCCTTCTCTCTCTCTCTCTCTCTCTCTCTCTCTCTCTCTCTCACTCTCTCTCTCTCACTCTCTCACTCTCTCTCTTTTTTTATTTCCTTCACTCTTCTCATCTCCTGTTATTCTCTTTTCCCCCCGTTCCTTCCTTCCCTACCAATCTCCTGCCAACCTGCTACGAGAATCCAACTCACTTCGCGAACGAGCTGGATACTCGTACGTGGCAGTAAAGAAGTTTTGCTTGGCTTCTCCTCCTCTTTTGCCGCACACGTGAGTACAGAACGTGTGGAGAACTCGTACTTCGTATACAGCCACGCTTCGTACACGCCCGCGTATTCCTTACACCTTGCTACTCCCTCCTTCCCTCCTCTACCATCCCCGCTTCCTCCCTTCGCACTTCTCTCCTGCCCCTTCAGCAATTCTCGCTGCTCTCTTAGCTCCTTGTCGAGTCCTTATAGCGGAGTCGACTCCCACGGTTACTCCTCCGGGAGGTGATCGTCTCTCGATTTAACGCAGCTTTTTACGACACTCGCCTGTTTCTCCGATTAACAATAAGACGGTCTTCTGTGTCGTGGCTTTTCCAGAACCGAGAAACAAACAATACTTTGATGATACTAATAAAGCAAGATATTTAATTTGTTGTCGGTTGATCGCTCTGATACTCGTCTGTATTATTTGTATTTAGTAATTTTTCTCTTTCTGACTCGTCGGTGACTTCTTTTGTTCTAGGGACTTTTTTCTCCCGCTTCTTCAGCTTCCATCTATCTAAGAAATTTTGAGTCTTCAACGATTCTTTCGGCACTCCTTCACTGTCCGACGGACTGGTATCTTCTGTATATTCTTCGGTATTCCTACGACCTTTTTCTTTCGGTCTTTTATTTCTTCCATGGAGCAAATCATCTGTTTCGGTATTCTCATTGCTTTCTGAAACTCTTCCTGACGTTCTCAATGAACTTGTTTTCAATCCCTTTTTGAATCTTGTCATAAATGAAGTTTTTCCACTTTCCAGGTTACTACCGATCGTGGCTTCCTTGAACTTCAAAGAATCTTGGAACCTGATTTTCAACATTTTCATGCATCGTTTAAATACGTATTTGTAATCAACGTAACTTACTTGATAAATCCTACGGTGGCGCCAACTATGCACATTGACAGTGCCAAGAAAAGTATAATGGCAGAAACGGCCACGAAACTCTCGTTTGGCATCCAACCAAATATAGGTCTCGTTAATTTATCCTCCATTAAATGGGTGCGCCAATTTGGTGCTCCAAGTACTACATGAGTCAATTGTAATCCATGTTATTAAGATATAAATCATTTTGGCTCTTAAAGCGCATATGTCAATCAATATTATGATATTAATAACAGCGACTGGTTTTTTAAAATAAAATATTCATCTTATTACATCGATGGTAATACCACGAGCCAATAGAGTTGCTCGGAAACTTTATGCGTAAGGAACGCGCACAGATGTCAGACATTACGTAAGCAATAACTTTTATAACCTCGTTAACTTTGAAATAAGGGCTTGGTTTTGAAATGGGTACGTATTTATCGACACACGTATTTCCCGATCTTGATATCTCTTGTCAGAACAAGACTCGCTTACCTTTAAGAATTACTATATTTGTTATCCATTTGAACTCAAGATCATTTTGTTCTACGACGCATCGCCACGTTCCTTGATGCGATCTATTGAGCGCATCGATGTAATCGACGTTAACCTACAACAACGAGAGTGATCGATATACAATTCGCGTTATGATTACTTCGATAAGCTCGAAAAATTCTATACCGTTACTTACGGCTATCGGCAAAGTCGTCCCATAATCTTTCCAAACTCGCTTTCCTATCATCCAATAAATTTTGAGATCGGAGAAAACGTAGCCCAGAGTGACGCAATGACACGTTAAGAGAAATGGCAGAGTTTCACGTATAGATACAATACTTTCAAGGGGATATACCGCCAGACTGATTATTTTAACAATTAAATGAGATCCGTCAACCCGATGTAAGGTTATGGTATAAATTCCAGAATCATTGAGAATCGCTTTACTTATGACTGTACAGGTTAATGTATTAGTACCAAAAGCGTCTTTTAACGAATAATTTCGATACTTACGGATATCAAAATCTTCTATTTCTAATCTGTCCTTTTCCTCCTGTATGAATATACCATTACGTGACCAATGCAACTCTACGTCCGATGAATCCGTTTTTATGGAATCGATAATATCAGGATCGACACTGATAGTAATGGCGTGCCCTTCGTTGACTTGAAGGGTCGTGTGACTTTTCTGAATTTTACGAGTGATCAAGGCCAGTGTATCTACAATGATTAAAATAAATGGAATAGAATTTTTTATTGATCAAATTGGCTTCTAAAGCCTAGAAGTCATTACCGTCCGTTATGTCTCCACAAATGTTCATGTTACAACGTCCAGTCATGATACTAGGTCCCAGACAAGGTTCGCCTCTTACATTAGGCTCAGGAGAATTACAAAGTCGTTTTCTCGTTCCCATACCGCCATTGCAGCTTGCACTGCACGCCCATGGTCCCCATTCAGACCAGCCACCATCTTCGGCGTCGCCGTCTATGTCTATGAGAAAGGACGAGACACGGACTCATCATGGAACCCGTATAACATTGAATCCTCAGTGCCTTTTAAGAATTTCATACCTGAGGGTATGCAATTTGCAGCCCAAGTAGCCCAGCCTCCAGTATCGACAGCTAGGGAGAAGAAATAAAATAATAAGGGCGACGTGTGCTCATAGTGAAAGACTACAGTTTCGTTGCGCAGCACCTCTATAGTGTTATTATGCCACCTGAATACAATAGACAAGATTATAAATAATAGTTAGTTGCACAATTAATTATGAAATTTGCCTTATGGTTATGTTGGTCCACGAGTCTGTAGTGAATAAAGGTCCCGGTGCCTTTTGTTTATGAAAAATATGAACCAGGGGATATGTATTTCTTAGAAAGAATATCCATTGGCCGAATTCCCCTATAGTCAGTCCGTAATAACTGCGACGGAATATATATTTGAATTATATAAATATATCGATTCGAGTGATATCTTCTAGTTACCCTGATGTGGCTGGCAGCAAGAGTAATGGAATTAGAATTACACCTTTTCCACGTATCATTAATATTAACTTGTCAGGAGAAGGTGTTTCCTCCGTTCTCCACATTGACAATGGCAATATTCTCGTGAATCTGTCAGTCTCTGTAGTTTCTATATGACATCCTGTGGGACGAAATAATTAAAGAAAATTAATTGATCGTCATACTCAGTAACAATTTTTTCCAAATAACGTACTTGTGTGACAATCAAAGGAAACACCAATAGTGTTGCCCAGTTCACTGGTATAATAATAATATATTGGTAAAAAAGCTTTGGACGGCTCGGGATGTTCCCATTCAAACAGCGGCTTAGCTGCTCCTTCATAGAAAACTTGGACTCGACCACGAGGAATACGGATAACAAAACTGCTCCACTTTCCCAGATACAGTAAGTGCGGCAAGGTTTTAGTCTTTACTAATTTTATACCTAAAATATTAATATTTCAGATTCGATTGTATTTTTGTAATCTTAAAATTAAAATTTCAGCGATACGTTACAATACCTTGATCTTCGGACTCAACGTATAGCAGTACTCTCTCATTCTTGATAGCACCGACTTTCAGTATGTATCGCGATTTTAAACCGTTGTCTGCTTTAAATACAAATGTTATTGAATCCGGTCGATCTGGTTCCCATTCCTTTAATGAAAAGCGTATACCCTCGGAACGATGCTCCGGCAAAACGTATAAATGCCTACCGATCCCGTGGCCACGTACGAAGAATATACATTCCTCTGAAATGAGGTTATGACTGATAATCAAGAGTCGATGCCTATGTTCATTCACATTGGAGTAAGTATAAATTAAGATTCACTTTAATCGTACCGGGTTTCTCGCAATCGCGAACGTTGCAAAGATCCTGCGGTACTAATGGATCCGTCGTGTAACACCAAGTACCGGCAATATTGCGCGACGGGTCACGACAGTAATTACTGGCATTGATTACGTTACGTTCTGGATACAAACTGTCGTTAAAGTAGACAGGATTAACTGCGTGCACTGGTTTGTTTATATTGCTAGTTACAGGTTGAACAATTCTTTCTGTAGGATTTTTATCATTTCTTTGAGTAGTCGTTTCGTTAGCTTTTTTTAGTTTTTCCAAATCATAATCACTCATCCATTTGGCGCAGGTTCTTCCTGACCTAGTAACTGATAAGGTCCCGATATAATCATTGGCTGTTCCTGCCATACGACATTCTGTAATAATTTTTTAGGTTAGGATGACGGAAATATATTTTTTGGAAAATAAACTCGAAATATTTTACCGGATGATCTGCAATTTCGAATTTGACAATATTGCTTGGTTATTGTTTGATCGGTGGATAGTGAATAGCAGTAAGGACCAACGGAGTCATGGGTGGGATTTCTACATTTATTTAATGCCTTGACAGCAGAGCCGTCCATAAAAAGATCGTCTTTTTTTTCTTCCTTGGGTATCTTTAATCGGGCGAGTTACGTTAATCTGTATTCGAACTATTTACTCCGAAGACAAAAATATCTTTTATCGATTAATAATAATCGTTAGTGATACCTCATTAGCTGTCCAAGGAATGCAAGGAATATTATCAGCAGCTGTCCATTGCGATCCTTTGTATGTGTAATCAGTAGGATTAGTGATGCAATTAGGCGGCCATGGTTTTTCCACTGCATCGGATTCTATTGAATTAATAGATTATTATTATTACGATATGTACAGTGCTGATCAAAAGTATTGACACGGTGCAATAATATGTTTGCCCAGCGTCTTTGTGTACTTGATGTACAAAATTTTGTAAAATTTATACCCTCTGGAGAACAATAAAAAGTCCAGTGCGCTATGGTATCTTTGCTTCCAGTACTGTACCATCTTAAGGTATTGAATAGATGATGCTTAGCGTAAAGTAATTCCTCGTTACCATGAAGTCTTTGTACAAATAACCTCAAATCAGTACCAAAAATGCTAAAAACATGTACACATACGATACAGTATATTTAGATGGATTTTAATCATTTGAAATTTTTTTGTCAATCAAAGTTACCTAATTGTAAATTCATTCCAAGTCCAAAAGTCGAGAACGTTTTTGCTAGGTACATCCTTTAAGTACTGTTTCCCAGATTTTTCGTTTTCCTGGTAGATTAACATTGTTACGTTGTCATGACCTATGAGCATCTATAAAATCGATATATTTTTCATGTTTATATATTATATTTCACTTACGTATCTATAACACGTACTGTGAAGCAAGGAAATGGTGCACCAGGGCTTTGATATAACCTTATGGCAATTCCATGTGAAGCACGAACATAAAATTTGAGATCAAACGTGCTATTAGATATTTCGAGAGGCCATACTCTTAAAAACTCCATTCCAAAAGTTGTGTGTAGTTCGCAAGCTATAATTTAGCATAAAATAAAAACTTTATATTGAACCAATAAAGCTACTTACAGTCTTCACAAAAATCTGTGCTCCATAATACTCCTGTACCGACAATACCATAGTAAAAGAAATTTTCTGGATACATTTGTGAGATTGTTTTTTTCTTTTTGTATTCGCCCATAAAAAGAGGTTTGGACGAATCATAAAGACCCACAGACATGAATCCACCTCCCCACGTGATCCACAAACCCGTCCATTTTGAGCCAAGTATAATATTCGGGGTACTTTCGAGATCTTGTTCATTCTGTACATAAAATATGTAATTTACGTGGTTTTTGATGTTTCGTAAAAATTAATTCTTACTACTGACATCTGTGTTTGGATAAATTTGACCGCTGCCCGAATTCGATATTACTATCTCAACTCCGGACCACCATTCTTGGGCAATTTTTTTTGAAGTGGTAGGAATTGGTAGAAGACCAAGTAGCAGTCTGATTTCAGCCTATAAATTATTTTTTAATGTGACAAAGATATATAGATTTTGAAAATAATTAAAAATACTTTTTGCTCGTCCATCGGATTCCAAAGTTTAATCCAAAAAGTTATATTACCCAGAGTTGAATTCAAATTTGTTATTGTCGAGTATACCGAAGCATTTCTTATGTACGCCAGGCAATCTATATATATATATATAATGAATTAATATAAAATATATTAATTTAATTATTCATAATACACGTCAACAGGTGCTACCTTTATCGTCGCAAAATGGAACATCACAATATTCCTTTTTAACAATTTCATAATTTTCATCCTCCGTGTAACACCAGGGACCACCCAGGTCATCGTCAGGATTTCGACAAAAGTTTTTCGCCTTCTCTCGCGATAGGTCACTAAATCGATTCTTGGGATACTTGCTCGTCTACGATTAATCGATTTAAAGCATAAAATATGTTTCGTACCATTCGCAATGTTCATTCTCGTACTTTACCATCGGCGAGCCTGTGATGCCTGTCCCAAGATTTACATTTCTTTCCAGAGGAACCAGTTTTATGACCACCGCCATACTCGGCTCCCGTACCAGATATTCTGCATTCTATAAATTCAATGTTCCTTTTGCTTTTCGAGTACTTAATTAATATTATATATCCTCTTTAATTGGCGCATTACCACCATAGTTGCACAGGGGCACGTCACACTCGTCGTCTATAAGCGTGCGTTCCATGGTGTAACACCATGGACCCCTAGAATCTCTCGTAGGATTTCTACAATAATTTTTGGCAAGCCTCATTGACCTCTCAGGAAAATCAATGTCCTTTATGTCAGGACTGACCTAAGGTTAATAATAAATTACAAGGTTTGATATTGAATATGATCGGTTGTGTTGAACAAAAATTCTTTATGTGGTCAAAGTTATTTTTTTTTCACTTTATGCAAGGGTTGCTCGGACTGCCACAATTGACAGCGAACACCACCGGCTGTTGTCATTGTGGAACCCATATATTCTGTACCAAGATTTGTCAATTTACATCTTGAGAAATCTGTTCGAGAAGCATTGTGAACTGTAAAAAATTTATATTAGACTAGAATTCATTTCAGTTTTAACGAGGGAATAATAATTAATTAACATACGTTTTTCATTGGTGGTTGAGGTTATGAAAATTGTTACGAGGCACAGCACCGCGTCTACATTCATCATGTTTAATAGTTATTTATAAGCGTTATTTCTTGTAAGAGTAATATTCATTAGAAAATACTATCACGCGTTGAGAGTTTTAATCTGCAATTAATGTCATGATGATGCAGTTTTCTGAAATTACCATAGATTATAATGATCTGAGCCTATATTCAATTTTTTGGGCAAATTCATGGCAGTAAGTAAATGTAACAGATTTTCCGACCCTGAATCGGAATTTTGATATACGATTTCATACAAATGTCATGCATTTGGAAATTAATTAAGTGATTGTGATCAGAATGAAGAAATTATTAAGTCAATCCCAAATCTCCTGGTAATACAAATTGGTAGTCGATGATACAACAACATTAATTATATTTATCAATAATATACTTATGTATGCTTTATAAACAACTATATAAGTTCGTATGCGTATAAATATAAATTATTCATTATCAATAAACTATATATCGAGGTACAGATTTAAGAAACTCGTAGCTGAGTAAATTAACGATTTACACATACGTTGGACCGGATTATTATAAATACTTTTTCTGAGCAATTCTCAATCAACGCCTCTAAACAAAAGATCCTGTTCTTCCGAAGAGATGCCTTTACGATGTCGTATATTTATTACTGAATGACTTTCTTCATTGAGCTCAGATCGTTCATGTTTGTTTCATCAATGAGAAACAGAATCATTGCCATGAGCAATGCATTCCTTTCCTTGTACTGCTTCAGGATTTAATTCTACTTCCTGCAACTCACTTTCGTAGAGTTGGTGAAGTAACAAGACATTTTGTTTTTTTCTTCCATAATAATATTTTTACCAAAAAAAAAAACGTATACACGGTTATTCATTATTCACAAACGCACCACCTGAAGTTAGCCCCTCCATTTGATTCCCATGGTAGAACTATATTCGGGTGGTGCGTTTCTACTGAATAACTCTATATATATTACTACAGATCTATTTCAAACAAAAAAAAAACAGTTGAATATTATAATATTTCAGAATATTAACTTTAATTCTTATACGTAATTCATTTCAATACGAAGGCCACTGTCATCAGTCAAACACATAATGACAATATATCGATATTATAATTACAGTATAAAAAAATGTACAGAATAAAAATCCCAGGTATCAAAACGTATCAAATCAATAATAGGTCGATTATCAGTTTCTAGTTTACAGAATGAATTGCTTTTAAATATGTCATACGAGAGTAACGGTACCGATCGACGTGCAAAATTCTGCGTACGACAAATCCTATTTTACTCAATATTCCTCATTTCAAAAGCACAGCCCTGAATTGCTTTTATTTACTAATTTAAAAAAAGGCATCACACATATCCAAATGAAATAATCATTCTCATTCGTACCACATATCAGACGCTTCTTTTGCACATCAATCATATCACTTGCACGTGTGTTGACTTTATATTCCCATGAAAAATATTCTTCTCACATTCAGAGCAAACAACGAGCATCAGACAACGAGAGTCGTCGAAAACATCGAATTCTGTCAGGGTAAATATCAAAGCGCGTTTATAATTAAAGTGATTTCAATGTCTTATCGATATGCCGTAATGTATTCTCTGGTACGGAATCCGTGAGTGCCTTCCGGAAGCCGTCGCACCGCATCAATGATCTGAACATCTTCTTAGCATAATTCCTGAAAGAAAAATTATTATTAGACCCACCTAATTCCTAGTTCCTGGTTCTAGATGAAAGGAAACGACTTACCTAGCATCCAGATTACCATCGATCAATAATTTTGCGCCGGTACCTAAAAGCTTCTCGCGGACTTCACGTGGTAAAGTCATTACATGATCTCCTCCAATTTTATCAATTACGGTAGATAACAATCTAGCCGTTGCAGCTCTTACAATAGCATTTTGATGTCTGAAAAATGAATATTCATAGTATTTTGAATATATCATCATTTTTTCTTGTACGAAATAATACACTATTTATCTTACGTAGCTCCACGATAAACGATGACACTTATTGTTCTGTGAGGGGGAAGATGTTCAATCATGCTATCTAGGGCAGCGTTACAATCAGCCCGTAGAAATTTATTCGTATCGGCTGTTCTGTGTAACAATGGACCTGCAATGTCATCCAATTCCTGAAAACAGAATTAATTAGCATGTATTGAAGGTTATGGGAAATTCAATGTATTTGACTATAGTAATTACCTGATCAATTCCGCGAATTTGGGCACTGAAAACGTCTCCTGCAGCTTGACAAGCTACGCGAGATACTTGGGAACGAAGATTTCTTATATGCTTTCCTAAGACTCTGCTTATGGTTCCTGGACCGTATGTCTCTAGTTGTTCAGGATTAGAACGAACGATTTGGGAGAGCATCTTCAGGCCTTTCATGGAAACTTCCCTGAATAGCGAAGAGCGTATTTTTATTACGATTTACTATTTTCTATGCAATTTTATATTAGAGTCTAAAGGAAACTGACCAGTCTTTATGCTCTAATTGCGCAAAGCACTGTTGTACAGATATTTTTGGCTTTTCTATCTGTTTCGTGAGATTTTGTCCAGATGAATTTTGCATTGTTCTCATTGTATTCACTCGAGGTTTTATTCTACTGCGTACGAGCCTCGATGGCATCTTCTTCGGCGGTTCGACAAGATCCATTGGTGACGATGAACGACTCTGTGTAAAGAAATTTATTTTAGCCATAGTATCTTTTTAAAATATTTTGAAGTAACTGGTAAACAAATTTTAGCATTGATTAACTAGTTTTATTATAATTTGATAACCCACCTCGTTACCCATATCTGCCATACTGGATCCTACTTCGCCACCAGCACTTTTATTCGAATGGGAAAGATTCGTAGAATGTGGAGTGGACGTGTTAGAATTGTTCGGTGACGCTATATCCTCTAAGGTCTCTTGAGAAATGGATTGTTGAGAAGTCTGCAATTAGATATAAAAATTATTATTTTCATTTTCATTAATATAAACAGTATCACTGTATAGCCTGTCCATACCATATGATTGTTATTTGAATTACGTAAAATAATATTAGATTCCCTATTGCTTCTAGACTCTTCGTACTCGATTGCTTCTCTTGAATCAGTTGTAAAAGTTTCAAGTCTAGAAGGTGAATTCGGCGCACTGGCCTCTCTAGCAAGGAGTTTGGTATCCAGAGACTGAAAGGAGATAGTTTCATTTGTTTTTGAATAAATGGGACTAGGAATTACTTCCTCTTCGATTTCAAGTTCCTCGATGTCATTTTCATTCGAAATATCCTGTACAACGAAAATAACATATTAGCATTCAATTATTCCCGCCAATTCGTAAGCCAGAAAAGTTTGGAATATTAGTATTTGAGAATGAAAATTTAGTATCTAACTAAGTAAAAAAAAAAGTCAAAAATACAAAGCGCATCTACAGTGCGAGATTAGAAAATTCTAACAAACATATATCCATTTCCCAATTAATTAATTTTCATAATTAAATATATTTCATGGTATTATTGTCAACCATCAATACCACTCACCAATGACTTCTGCGAAGCAATGCAAACAGTTTGTACCGAAGGGGACTTGGACATATCAGAATTAAAAGATTTATTGCTGATCGAACGATCAGAAAATGGCGACTCTGATTTTTTCGAATTTTTTTCATCCGAATTGGTGGAACGAACATCGCTGAACTCTCTCATGGCGTTATCCATTAATAAACATTCATCGGATGATTTCAATGAATGATTTATGCATACGCTATCATCCGACGAGATAAAATGAGATGATTTTTCAGTTTCGCCTCTCTCGACTAGATCTATTTCAGAATTGTCATCATCACTGTCATCACTATGATCATTATCGCGACTGTTGCTACTATTGAAATTCAATTGTTTTTCTAGTTCATCCCCAGACTTTGTTTCCTCTTCTGTACTAGTCTCTTGACTGTCACCGTCTTCAATGACTAAAACGCTGGATTCAGCAGGACTGATTAATCCTTTATCATACTGTGAGATCTGAAAAGTTAATAAGTCATGCAATCGTGGAATGTACCACAGTATTGCAATGATTAAACTGACATCTAACACTTAGAGCACATAATTATCAGCCATCAATAATTCTCAATCAATAATATACCACCAACGAACCAGTAGTGCAATGAGAAAATAGCGTGACTGCAGTCACAGTATTTAATACAGTGCGGACCTACTCTACCATGCATGCAAAGATAAAAAATGTTTCTTAACGTAGATTAAAAAATATAAATAAAACTTTACGTCATAGAGAAAAGTGTTAAATGTCTCAAGTCAATCCTAATTTCATTTTTTAAACTTACAATGTAAGAATTTACTGAATTACGTCGAGGACTAGAGTGTTGAGGAACAATATCAAAAGCCTTTTCTTCATTTTGACTTTGTCGCGAAGACGAGCGACTGTTGCTGTTGATGTTGTTGGTACTGTACTTCGTAGTACTATGTTGTTGGTCCTGGGTTATTTTTAATCTATCCTTCCTGTGACCCAATCCAATGGACGCAATCGACGTAGAGCTGCTGGCGCTGTTTGATCGTGGATTGTCGAAGGCTTGAATAAAAAAAATACAGGCATTACAAACGGCAAAAATGAAATCGCAGAAAATATATTCAATGAAAGTTTTTAGTTGATTTAAGAGAAATTACATAACCCTACTCTAAATGGTTATTTACCAATTAATATTTCACGTTATTTACCTTTGTCCAGTGGAATATTGATTATTGCGGTCATGTAAGGGCGACTTTGAACAATAGTATACGTAAGCTACATAACTACATTATGTTTCAAAGAAAAAGGTTAAGAACCTCACGGTCTAGTTAATCCACTTTCGATCGCTTATTCTCTACAATCTAATTGGTAACCAATTCAACGTTGTACGTGCGTTTCCCTTGTCATAGGAAATTTCAGGTTTCTGCATTATTAAAACGATAACCTGCCACGTGAACTATATATATATATATATATATATATATATATATATATATATATATATATATATATATATATATATATATATATATCTCACTCGACAATAGATATAAAAATATCCTATGCCATAATCATTTTACTTAATTACACTATACAGTACCTTTATACTGTAGATCCTGGCCATTTAAATTCTCCACAGGATAAACGCTCATCTGAGATGTAAATTGACGTCTGTTCCTGTCATTGTACTCTGCTTCGTCAGGGGTGGCCTTGTCTCTGAAAAAAATGTATTACATGAGTTAAGAAAACAAAAAATGCCAAAAATTTAATTCAAATGCAGCAGGATCTTCATGATCGAAAATAATAATATCACCAATGATTTTACTCCAGAAACATACATCGTATCTGTACTCTGATTTAGTCTCAGAGCAATGACAGGTGTCGTTCTTGTACTCGTGTTATCCGCAGAAAGACACGGATCCTCGATATTCCCAATCCCGACAGATTTTCTTGAGCGAAAGACACAGGGACAACAGCGTAGGACGCTTCTGGCGAATTTCCTCTCTTCCATGTCCCCATCATTACTTTTGACCTCAGCAAGAGCTTTGGTGTCTTCCTTGACCTCGGATGGCCAAACGCAAAACTTGAAGATCATTTTACACCTCTTTTAACTCACTGTCAAGTATTTCCCGTAGCACGGTAACACAAAAATTTCGCAGCACTTCTCATAACGGTTTAAAAATTTTTATAGTCCACGATTCACTTGCATCCAAGTATATTAAAAAGTTACGAGACACTATGAGACCTTAAAAATCAAATTTCACCACAATTCGAAATCGATGAACAACAGGTAATTACAACGAGCCACGAATAATGACAAAATTCTAATAAATGACATGCCACGAGAACCATGCGTATCCGTTTCAAACTCCACGCTGTGGGAGGTCATTGATTACATTCAGCAGAATATGGATTTTCCACGCGAGAAACCAGTCGGCGGCTTTACGAGCTACTTCATTTATTTAACCTATATGGAATTCAAGTATACGCATTAATTTTTCAAGGAAAAATCACTAAAACTGAAAATTTACACGTGTCACTCTTAATACGACGCAACGTACGTGTAATTACGTCTGCTAGCTGCTACCGGTAAAAGTCAATAGTCGGAAAAGTCGATATCCACGTTGGCACTGCCGACCTTAATTCCTGTCTACAAACCAACTTAGGAACAACGAAATACAATCGCGAGTCCATCTCCGTTACTTTATACTAAAAATCACAAAATTGACTAAATCAAAATAAATTTCTATTACCTTTTCGCCCCAAAAGAATAGAAGTCGAAAGCAAACTTTTCGCAACGTTAAAATCTCTCAAAACTGCTACTGACGTACTTTGAGGAGTAATACGCCGTGGTGGTCAGACATCCAAGTAGCGAAGTCTGCACAAAGTCGGTCGACTTTACGACTACTAAAATTCCCGACTCTCCCCCTGTCCTAATACTGTAAATGGCATCTCCATCAAACACTATATTCATACCTGTGAAACGGGTGTTACAATTCCACGTTATACTTGACCTTTGTCACAATATCGAACCCGTTTTAAAATAGCTAACGGCCATGGTATAGCTCTTTAAATTCACCGAGTTATCTAACGCACGGTACACATATTGTATATACGCGTAATTAATTTATACAAGAAGCCATATTTAATTAGCAATTTAAATCAAAGCACCAATGTTACTTATCACGTTTAATATGAACTACACTTGTACACCAGGCGAACATCCAACGCTCGGCACTGTCGCACACACGACTGCTGCCCGCATAGAATTCGAAGCGTCGCGACGCTGACCGCCTGCTCAGACGCGTCACCCTTCTCCACTTTGTCGCCCACCCCGTTCCTACCCTAAGCTATAGGCCAGGAACTCGACCATACGTAGTGACCCTAACTTGGCTACCCTGCTAGTAAATATTCATATATATGTATACCACCTTACGTCATCCGTCAAGGTGACTGATAGTACATAGAAAGAGTGGGGGGGAGGGTGAAAAAATCTGATAATAGATAAGCTAGAACAATTTATCAGGTGCTCTATTTTTATCATTAGATTCACTACGTTCGTTGGTACAAGCAGTGTTAAATAATTAAATTTTTATATATTAATATCATTAAATCATATCATTTAAATTGTTTTTTACACATTAATCATGTCTCATGGTACGTATGTACGTTATAACATCGATACGTAAATTGTTAAAGTAGTTTTTCTTCTTGGCATGTAATATCAGCAGGTGGGGAATTGATCGAAATGTATTTGGTGTTTACGAGAATGTTGAAGGACGACTTGGAATTAATAGAATTTAAAACTTTTGTATCGAATGAAATTTTAAAGCTACTTGTACTGGTGTAATTTGTGCAAAAATGATTATAGTAATTTTTTATAAAAATTATTCTATAAATCACTATAACGATTGTACGAAGGGTAATGATTTTTTGGAAGACAATTTCATGACTCGTGTATTTAGTGTATGGGGCATTTTAATGAAGTTCACGATTATTGATTAGGGGCCTGTCAAGAATGATTTGGACAGTATTAGCTTCTCTTGCAATTTTGCAAGAAATTTTGACTGAATATTTCAACGCAGTAGGAAATGTACATTTGTATACATATATATATATATACACGTCTAGTACATAGAGTCTATGTGCGATGGCAGATACAAATATTTATCCCGAACTGGCATCGGCCGCTAGGCACGCGACGTAATTATCGACTTTAATTAACCTCGCGAATTCTCAACACAAATGAACTCGAAAATGATAATCGATACTCGAACGCATTCTTTTCATAATGTTTGAATAGAACTAAGAAGTCTTCATCGTCGTACTGTTTGCGCGTATTACATAGGTTATTTTCACATAAACGTAGCCCGCATGGAGTTCGTTGACCTTTGGCATTAAAAATTATCTCACTCCTGGAAGTCATGAATTCCCTAACGGTGGTCGATTGACATTGACATTTATGGAGAAATAATAAAATTCTTTAGAACGTAAGAAATACGTTTCTCTTTATTTAAAGCCACGTACACGCCTAACGGTTGACCGTATAATGCTACTTTTAAAGAGAGCATATTACTTTTGCGCGTGGCGGTATGTCTACTGTTTATCACTTTTCGAAATCTTACTTTCGCACGCGAGATTTTCTACAGTCAAACCTTTACCTATTACCACCGCGAATTTCAGCAACGCGTGGTTGGAAAACGTCAGAGCAATATATGCAACGTGACTGTGCATAGATTACACTTGATATGAGGTCAAATGTCCTATTAATGTAGATATAATAATAGCAATAATATTTTCAACTCCTTTTTTAACAATAAAATTTAAAACAACGCTCTTAATATCAATCCAGATTGTTACTATGAGTTTTCAGGGAAAATCAATAAACGGAAATATTTTCTTCACAGTTCGAACCATGTACTTATCTCGATACATTATTTATATTAAGCGTAATGCACTGGACGGACCCACGTTGCACTTTCTCCGGCGGACACGACATTAGGGAAATATTTATCTATTAGATATTTTTTATCAAATTTCAAGGAGACGTTAATAAACTGTCAATGGCTGTCACCACCGGGCCAATGGCTGAAACCCATCTGGCCCGGTTATGCTTTCCGTGTTCTTCTATGCTTATGTACTAAAATCGATGTTGCGTGTTGGCACTGTGAGGTTATGCTAGACGTATCTTCGAGAAAGAAGTTGAGAAGACAGGTGGAGTCAAAGAAAAATAGTTAAAAAATAAGTTAGCAGTACTGTATGTCTTGGAGACACGTACTTATCATATCAGTACAGACGCATTGTACAAAGTGTATTGAAGCATTGATTAGCTGCATATTAACGTATGATACAAGATCGATTTTTATAAAAATTGTTTAATAAAAATTAATAATATTAATTATGGATTTGTTAAACTTACAAATTTTGGACTGATGCTGTTTGCAAGCCGTATGACATCACCCTGTCCATTTTCTCGGGATAACGAATCTCGGAACGAGAACGAGATCGCAGCTTCCCTTCAAGATTATTTGGAAGTACACGTATTCGGGTGTCGGCAGTGTTTACGTCAGTTCCCGCGTGTTGTTTGTCTGTTGTGCTTTGGAAATACGTATCCTTCTGTGAATTTAATATTGCCATTGAGATACATATAGGTAATTTGAGTTAAATTTTTTGGCTAAAATAAATTTGGTATCTTTACTCACTCTGTGTAATGTATTGTTATTGGTAATGTCGTTATTTGATCTTTTCACTGATCCCTGATATCCAAATGAAAAGTGATTTGAAGAATATGACGCAGTTTGTAATTTAGAAATCATGCTTGTATCCATTGGCCCACTTTGTCGCTGATAAGGTGTTTGATATCTGTATTTGAGATTAATTTATGCAGGTTTTACTTTTTTATAATGAATGAAGCTAAGACCAATAATATACTTACGTCTGTTGTGGTGCAGTTTTTGGAACAGAATCGTAACGGCGTTCCTCGGAATTGGAACGGTACTGTTTCCTTCTTCTGTTTGGACTTTGGGAAAATCTGTTTGAACTTCGTGATGTTTGATAACTTTGCGTTGTCGGAATTTCCGTGAATATCTTATGCGCTTCTTCCGTTATTATTTTCTGCAATACCGAGGCGTATGGAAGTTAATTTTTGTCGAGGTATACAATATTTTTCAAAATATCAATTACTCACTCTGCCATTGTAGCCAGTGAATTTTTTACCACTTATTTGACTTTCGTAATGTGAATCGGAGGAATTATTTATGTGAGCCGCTGATGGTAATCCTTGAAAAGCAGTTCCCTCTATGAAACGTTTTCTTCTCTGATACATGCTTCCGTAACTGTTAAGAATTATGTTAAATTATTTTTAGAAAATTACTTCATTTCCTAGTAGTGAGAGTAGGTTAAACAGAATTGTACTTGATATTCTCATCTCGCGTGTACATTTTATTTTCATGACTCTCGGTGCTTTCATGTATTCTTCTTTTTGGTAGGCCGCTCACGCTGGTTTTGTCATTTCCGTTTATCTCGAGATTGACGTTGCGCCGCACTTGCGTACTTCCGGCAAATGATTCCTTCGTGTTGAATCCTCGTTCGCGAGAATATAATATTGGTATTTTGGATTCTACTTTATTCGTTGCTCCTTCCTGAGGTGGTGGACTACCTAGTCGAGTCTGTAAAAAGTTAATAAAGTACTTTTTGGAAATTTCAAAATTCTGTAATTTCGCTTACTCTGCTATTGACTCTTTCCCGCGTTGAAGAGTTAGTAATTTGAATCTGAAAAAAAATACGAAGATATTTGATAATGAAAAAATAATATTTCAGTGTGATAATTTTTTTGACCTTTTCCTTATAAATCTCATGAACATCTTTGCAAACCTGATCATCCAGCTGTTGACTTCCGTGAAGATCTTCATTGGGAGTGTCACCGGAAGTCGAGGATTCGCTTTCAATACAATCCTGAATTCTCTTCGACGCTGGATAAAATCTTCGAAATTTTTCCTCCAATCTTAACTTCTGACTTGTTCCTTTTTCTGGTTTGAAATTGAGTATCACGTAATACACAGAGTATGAAATTAATTAAGAAATTATATATTGACAATTCAATAAAGTTGACGTTAGTTACCGTTAGAAATTCCCACGTCTACGTTAGAATCATCAGAGTTCCATCTTTGATCTCTGGGATGCTGATCATCCTACGAAAAGAAAAATGTCAATACTCCATTTACACTTAGAACGAGTGAAAAACATCATTGAGAATATTTCAAAAATATGGTGACCTTAATAAAATCAAGAAAGTACGAGAGACTCATGACCGCAATAAAATTTCACTTAAAAATGAAAATGCAAAAGTATAATTAAAAAATGTCATATCTCAAAAAAGTATTTTCCAACCACAATAAATAGGCTAGAAAGTGTCAGAATGCCAAAAACAAATAAAAAACGTGTAACACGGTAAACCTTGAAGAATTTTTTGATAAAAATCACCAATTTATTTTCAGTCCCCAATAAGTATTACAAGGGCAGATTTCAGGATTATAATTTAAATATGTCGAATGACTCACTAGCAACGTATACAAATATGGCTTGTAATTAACTAAACGACACAGTAACATAATGATAGCAGATCGCGATAAATTTTTACGAAATACTTTGTATAATCAACGACACGACCCTTTTTTATATCTCTGTGATAACAATGTCAGTCAGTAACACGAGAGAGTTAGAGCCTTTCGTCGCACCAGGTCCGCATTGGAATTTTTGCAAGAGCTACGTCATATCTGGTAACTCGGGGTAACGACGCTTAACGTCGGCGTCGAATCTGACCTAGTGGCACGCAATAAAATCGCGAGAACCCTTGCCACGCGATACGTTTTTTCTTCAATATCTTCCTTCTAACCTCTAATCTGTATATCAGCATGCAATAACTATAGTAATGGTCTCTCGATAATAACGCCACAGGTATATTTCGACATCGACGAATTTTTATGAAATTTCATATTTCAAAAATTTCATTTACATATTTCATAACCTTTAGCGTGGCCATTACTGAACCCGGCCAGTAGAAAAAATTTGCATTATCAAAATTGGCGAACAGTTATATTTCTATTACATATACTGATCTACGCACAGGTGCGTTAGATGGTTGCAGTAATGCCAGCAATAAGGAATACTGTGATACAGCAAAGGGCGCATGCCCATTGACCGACTTTGACCGATAATTTCCACGAAGTAGAGATCATGAGATAGTATACATTTACGCAAGTCTATTCGACGTAACTTCCTGTGCTGGTTATTGATTTTGCACTTTCATTGCATTATGGCCTTTCTTATGCACAATCGTGACAATCTATATTATTAGGAAGCTAAAGTAAGTTTAATGATATTAATTTTCTGATTTTCTAAAATTGCGAAAACTTTATAGAATTACTTGTGTGAAAGTACTTAATGAAATTGTTATAACTGGTAATGAATATTTTGAAATATATTTATATTTATTTATATATTTACCCGATTGTTAAATGGAACAAGTTGCCAGGCGACCGGGTGTTGATTTCGGGAATGGAGACCAACGCCAACAGCAACGAGGTTCGGTCGATCCGTCCATGGATTTCTAGTATTTTTTGCCGAATCAATTCTGAAATAATATCATTGAATTTCATTATATTTTATACAATTTTAATATCGGCGAAGGATACCATTATTGATTTACCGTGATGATTTTCCATTATCTAATCTTGTTGAGGTGGCTATTATTTGGCCTCTGGTACGACCTGAACCCGGCGATACTGAACCACTTCCGGCAACTATCCAATCGACATCCGCTCCTGTGCAATACGAAAAATTATACATTCAAGTGATATAAGAATAAAACACCCAGTATCTGAAACTGTTGAAGTATTGAATAGGTCCATATTTTTCTTTCTCGAAATGTGGTTAAATTTGCAAAAATTTCAAATATTTTACTTATCAAATTAACGTGTATCACGTGATCATAATCTAGATGAATTTTCACATGACCCAGTAGTTTATATTTAAAAATACTTTTATTCTCATTCCCTTGTGCTAACTGTAAGAAATCTTGAAGGAAAAAAAATCATAACCTCATTTGATAATGTCATCAGGCAAAAAATTATGTATTCTTAGCATAGCTATGCTGAAGATGTACTCGCTGATACAGATCCTGTTTAGGAACATCAAAAAGAAAGATCATTATAAAATAATGACTTTGCCCTGGTTTAAAAAATCGTCCATAAATCATTGTCCTATTCCTTGCGGGGTCAACACCTAAGTCAGGTAAACTATTTTATAGAATTGCAATAAAAAAAATTGCAAATTTCATTACCAGTTGCTATTTGAACAGTGGGGGAAATTTGCAGTCCATAAACTACCAGACCATCCGCTGAAACTAAGGGTAACGACTTCCGGGCAAGACGTGCTCTGATCGCTGCCATCATTTCTTCGGCATCTCGTCGACCTTTGGCAGCACGTTCACCAGCATGCAGAACTTCCTGTAAAAACCATTGCAATCTGTATATATACGACAAATTGAGTAGTTCATAATCCACTCGCTAATTTTAATATACATTTATCATTGTTTTAATTGAATTTACAAATATATTCTTGCCACTCTGTCATTACCTCAGGCTCATAAATTTGTGCTAGAACAGCCAAAGTGTCAAGCGCAGCTTGTCTTACTCTTCTGCGACGATCGGCAACCATGGCGGCCACCTTGTTCGCCACCATTTCCACTTTGAATTCTGTGCTGGGAAATGTCACTAATGAGAAGATCAGGAGCTGCAAAGCATTTTCTCTGGTCTGAAAATTTAGAAAAATTTTTAAAATCCGTAACAAATTCAACATCATCAGCCACCTCATGAAAATGGTAAATTATCATTAATAAATTCACCTTGGCGTTTCTGGCGCCGATACAGTGAGGCTGAAGGAACTGTTCTAAGAGAAGGGCTGGTCTGAGCCTGAGCATCGCGATCCTGGCAAGTTGCGCGGCATTGGGCCCACCTTGCCTCGCAAGACCCCAAGCAAGCTGCGGTAATCGACGTTTGAGAGCCTCTTCAGCAACCCCTGCCACCACGACCTTGACGCATATAAAAAATCATTAATATAAATATAGTCATTTACTTTTCATAATTACGGGATATTGGGGAAATATATTATTACCCTTGCGACTGCCAGACCCGCCGCGGCGACCCGGCAGCTTCTTTCCCCACCCAGGACTGAATGCAGGAGGGAACCAAGGCGGGATTCGATCGCAACCAAAGCCGAAGACGTTCGCAAAGCAGACGCAATACGTTCCAACCCACGGACCCTTGCTCTCCAATCATCCTGAAATAGTACGAATTAATAAAAAAAAAAGTGTGAAAAACTGAAAAAATTTTATTTACAAAATGTGATATTGGATAAAATCACTAGTAATATCCCACAATAAAATTTAATTGCTAATAATCATTGATTAGCAAAGAAATTAACTACTCCAATCAAAATTTTGTTTAATTACACATGCTTAGTGTTCTGAAGTTAATTACAGAGAACCAATTTTTCATTATTCAAAATTTCCAAAAAATTTCAATATTACTTTTTCGATCCTGGCAGTTATGCTGCTGCAACAACTGTACGTGACATACATATTTATATTACACGTAAGACAGGAACAGTTTGAAGCAAGGGTTGAAAAAGTATTAAGACACCCTATATGTCTTTTCTTTATGACTCGCACTTTTTCCAAGCTAATTAAAGCACTGACAATATCTCTGCCTTTAAATGCTGAGAATATTACAGTCATTTGCATATTATATACCACGATGAATTAGCAATGTTCTAGAAAGGTGTCAATGTCTAGTTTCATCTCTATGTAATTTCGATACTTTTTATATATACACTATCGAGAGAATGAGCGATGGCTTCGCGCATAAAAGACTCTTTTACGATTGCGTGAGACAGCATGACCACTTGCTTGCATAATGAAGTTCAGCTGAGAATTTAATGCAGCGCGTCACGTGAAAAATGCGTTAACTGGTCTAAAGACAGAAGTTAAAGATTAGAAAACGTCGGTGGGGTTTTTTCATAAAATTATAATTGTATTTCAGGTAAACTGAGAATGTTCTATTTATGTGGGGAAACAATAACGAATAGTTATACCATACAGTGGAGAAAATAAATCTTAAAATATCAAAATTAAATAATGCTGAGAACACGTATGGATGATGCATAACCGGAAGTTTCTTATTTCTTTTTTTCAATAGTCAAGACTCAGGTGACGTTATGGATGTAGTTATTCTTTTTGCGGAAGGAAGAAAGTAAAGTTTCATATCTTACTTTTGCGTGGAGTATGAATTAGAAAATGAATCAAGGGGGCTTCTGGGACGACAGGTAAATTGTTCTTATGGATTTGCATAAAGCTACGTACTACGTAATGTAACGTACTACATATATTTTATGGGTCTCCATGACACGCAACACGTGCCTAATTATTTTCTTGCAACTTCCCTGCCGCTGGAACTAGCCCAGCGCTAGACTGTACGATAATGATTCTTTAAGAAGATTTCAGCGATTTCACAGTCGCTGAATACTTGTTCTTCATACGAAATACCACTAACGAAATCGTTGTATTAAATTCGCGTATAATTGGTCATACGTACAATTGAAAAATTTCATGCATAATTCAAATAGTAATAAAAGAAAATTGAACATATTCGACTAAGAATCAAGTAGAATGACACATTCATTTTTGCACACGCAATTAGGCAACCATATTGTCACAAATATGTATGACAATCATTGTCGTTAATAATGTTGATACTATTAATTAATTCTTTCGTAATTCGTATCTAAAATAATTGCGCCATATGCTCAAAAGAATTAATTTTCAAATAATTTTCTTTTCGCGCCAATGAAGAACAACGCTAGTCGAATGTACACGAAGCGTGCTGATGTATTTGCTTCGAGTAGTCAGTCGAAGAAAATTGACAGTCGACTCGAAGTGTTTAATGACTTTTCGCATCAGTGTACAAATTGCTCACGTAAATCAGTGGTAAGATCGATAGTTCTTGTTCACACTACCGGGATGGTATGTCTTATCGATTCTACACTGATAACCACAAACCGAGGTCGAACAGGCACGAATGCTCACCGGTACAATGCACTTGGAAAAACTGGCACGTGGAGGGTTAATTGGCCAGACCTTGAATATTTCCAATGTTAAAACACAAAGGACATGCTCTAGTATAGCATTCAAGTTGTACACCCATCATCCAGTACAGTGGTATGCATTTCTTTTTCAAATATTTTATGGCCGTTACGGAAAGCCAACGAAAAAGTTACTAGACGGCAGTTTCACGCGGGGAAAAATAAAATGGCTTGCAAACCGATGACTATCTCGCGCAATTTATGAAATAGAAACGAGAGTCATTATTACCCGTGAATACCGGCAGTTAGGGTTTTTCGGATTTATGCTCTACAAGGATACACAGAAATGGGCAGACAGTCGTTATTACTCTAAGCAGGTTTTCAGACAGTATGAATCATTGATTATTGGAATTTTTGCCAGAAAGTAGAGCGACCTATGAAATTATCAGCAAGACTACTATTTTCGGTCAGCGCTGGTCACGCATTGGACGCATTGAGGTCACTTGTTAATCGCTTCACGCATTGCGGTCAATGATTTTATTTTGTCGGCAATACTACGATGCGTGGAATATTCTTTAGCATTTAATATTGTAGATGATACACCGGTGCAGATGCATCGTATACTCTGGTATCAATGCACCTTTGCAAAAATGCGTACTTGTGCATTTAAAAAGTTGAAAGGTAAGGATGTCTCATACGTGATGTTATTTCGCGTGTTATTTAATTATTATTATTTATTATCTATCATTTAGTTTTTTTAGACACATTTTTTTAATGGCTCTGATTATTCATACAATTTTTGGTAAAATCTCAACCAAGGCTTGAAGAATGAATAAGGAAAGTGAATCATGTGTAACAAGCTGAATTGGTATGCACCGTGGGTCACTGACCTTCTCAAGGTAAGGTGATCCTCCCACTTGAGTTTTATACGAAACCGACCAGTCTGTCTCGAACGTCTTGAAAGACTCACGCCAACTTTTCTCTCATAAGACGTACGAAACTTTTAATTGTGAGCAAAATTGTTATATTTGTTTGAGTGTAATTTTTTTAATTTGTGCAATTTGAAGTGCATTAAATGAAACTTTACCGGAAAAGAATATTCGATGCATTAGAGTAACGCGAATTAAAATAATAATCATTTTATTTTTTTATCAATATTTTTCTTTTATACAGAATCATGATTAGAAGGTACAAATGTATGATAACAAGAATCGTTATCATTTTAACAGTCTGTGGATTGATCTCTTTTTTGATCTTGTTTGATACTGTTGGTACTGGAGATGAAACTGAACCAAATCTAACACCAGACAAGCTTAAAAAATTATTGGTGAGTTAAAACCGAATAATTGTATTTATAATTTCAATTAGAATCTGTTATTTTTTCAGGATGAAGCTAACGCTGAAAATACTTGGCGATCGTTAACCATTGATAAAACCTGTGAGAGATACAATTTGGGAATTTACAAGAATTCCAATGAAAATCATTCTCCATTTAAACATCCACCAGCACCGCAGTACAGTGTTCTTTACATCGACAAGTTCGTCATTATAAGATAACATTGATATGATAACGTTATAGAATATGAAAATATTCAAAATTATTATTGTATATTTTACTATTTTTCTCAGAATTCACAATCTATCCTATTGCCCAATATACAAGGCTGGTAGCACAACCTGGCTCTATAATTTGTGTCTATTAATGAACGTTTCTGAAAACGACCTAACTAGTAGCAAGGAGCAAATATCTACAGTAGCTAGAAGAGTTTTACCAGAGCTTGAAATTCCGGATGCAGAACAGGTTTGGTATATAAAAATATAGAAATGGTTACATCAATTATTACACTCGTGGGTCTTATTGCTTATCTAAAGGAAATCATTATTTAGGCGTTGAAAACTACTTCGAAATTATTGGTCGTCAGACACCCTTTTGAAAGACTGCTAAGTGCTTATCGAGATAAACTTGAAAATTCTGTAGCTGGAAGAGAACATGGAACTCTTCACTTTTATCAAAAATATGGCGAAAAGATTGTTAAAAAATATCGTGGTGAGCCAACGACCATATATATATTATATTAGCACCGAAAACAATTTTATTAAAAAGTAAAAATTTTTAGATAAAAACTTCCCTACACCAAGAACTGATCAATTCATTCAAAGAAGAGGGGTGCCAGGTCCCGCTGGTATCGAACCAACATGGCGCGAATTCGTCGAGTATTTAATTAATACAGATCTTGCAAATTACGGCGATGATCACTGGATGCCTTATTATCTTTTCTGCACTCCTTGCTTGGTTAAATACGACATAGTTGCCAAGGTTGGTGCAGCAGTTGTTTATCAAGACGTGACAGTATCGTGGAAAATATATTTTCCTGTTGGCTGGCTATACCGTTTCCGGTGCAGCCAAGAAATTCATTGTTACAATGTTACCCCATATTTTTTCCAGGTGGAGACGTTATGGCGCGATCAAATTTTTGCTATACACAAATTGGGACTTCAGAAAAAGATAAAACCAAGATGGAGGCACTCCGGAGGACACTCGAATGCATCGAAAATATATTTTAATCAATTGAGCAGAGATACCGTCAGACGGTTATATGAAAAATTTAAATTAGACTTTGAATTGTTTGATTACTCTCACGATGAATATTACAAGTATGCCATGCAGGAGGAATTTTAATTAAACAAAATGACCAGTGTATATAATAGTTCCTCATACAATGAAAGTGATACTACGAAACAAGATTTTTTTTAAATAATTTAAGTCAAAGTTCTACTGACCCTATCATATCCCTTACGGTACACCGTGTTGATACGTAACACCAATTTTTTACCTGTGAAATCGATTGACCTACTTCTCATCATAGTAATTCAACATGAACCACCTCAAAGTCTACTGATTATACTAAAACGAGGTAGTATCTGATATTAATTACAATATGTAAATTCATAACATACATTTAAGGAATTTTCGTGACCACCATTTAACCCACAAACGTTAAATAAATACAAACAATATAAATACTACAATCGATAATCACACATTCCACTTGGTTAATATAAATTATAAAATAAATTGCTCAATCTACAAATTGAAATAATTTAGCACAACAAAATTTTCTTACCTTGTTATGCAAATCGTTGAGAATCTCTTGACTAACCAGACTCAATTCTTCCCAGTTAAGTTCCTCAACTTTTCCTTCACCCTCGCTGCTACTGCAGGTCACGCTTTCGCTACCCTCGACGGTTATCGTACTTTCATCAGTGTTTTTATCAAGCTCCCTGGAGCTTTCTTGACTATAATCTTCCAGGCCTGATTTGTCGCGAGCCTTGCGAGCAGCTGTCGCAATTGCCACACGATTTTCAGACTGATTCTCGACTGCGTCGTTGTTTCTTGTAGCTTCCACAGGAATAGCAGGAGGCTCAGTACATATAACCGGAAATTGATCGCGTTGTGAAAGCTCATTCTGCGTCGTCTTTGCCGTCGTTATTTCAAAGACTTTCCCGGTATCATTGAGCGTCGAATTCGATTCGTCGGGTTCATTGACTGCTATTGAAAAGCTATCGATTAGTCGACTAGTCGACTGGTCTGCCGTCCCTGTCTCCATTGTGTTTTTCTCCTCCTTTTGTCCGATTGAAGGTTTTAATTTTGAATTAATGACGTCGACTGGTTCGATGGACGAAGAATTCTTCGACCTTGTCTCTTCAGGGTCGAATACCGATATAGTATCTGTTTTTGTTAAATTCCCCGAGGTGCTGTTTTCCATTGAATCGCTTTTAGTGTCTTGAGCCTTTTTTCTTACAGGGCTCGATAATTCCATTAGGATATAATTACGCTCTTGTCTTGGAAATGTCTCGAAGGTACCTCTACTAGACGGTCGCGGGGAACGCTTTTGAGAATCCTTGGTGTCGATACTTTCATCCGTTTTTTTAGAATTGATGATCCCGGAATCTTTCATAAAGTCAGATTCTGCTACACTGTTTCGCATTTCCTTAGAGGTTTCCAAAGAATGCTCTATTATGTATTTTTCACTACTTTTTTTGGATGAATTTTCAGTTGGTGTTTGGTGATCTATGGCAGCTTTTAATAATCTGTTCTCCTCTATGTTTGTTTCCTCAATGATGGTATTTGGATAGACTTCAAAAGATTTTTGATCGCTTCTAATAGATTTTGATGGATCGTTAGAAACTGAAGTATCATTACTGGTGGTGATGCTTTCCAATTCAGTTTTTTCATTTTCTTCGTTACCGTCAAATTTACCGGAAGGTACTTTAGTAGATCTTCTCTTCCTCCGAGTCTTGACCGGTTGAATAATAAAAATTGGACTGCTGGTTCTAGACAGGATACTTTTCTTCGGACTCAGATCAGCATTGTGGGTATAAATCTCACGTCTAGGACTACTGGACTGAGATCGAGATACTCTTCTAGGATGATGCTTCCTCGGGTTAGGACTGGACGGCTGCGACAAGGATCTACGTCGATGGAGTGGCATCTTAGTCGCTGGCGAGACAGGAAGTGGAATTTTCGTAAGAGGCATGTCTGATTTAGCTAACCCAGAGTCATCACTGTCCGGTGTTCTGAGTTTAACAATTTCTCCACCGAAGTGAACGCGTCTAGGAGTTTTCCGTCTGTCTGGAGGTATATCCTGAAGTACCTGCACAACCTCCAGGTCATTCTCATCATCAGATTCGCTCTCATCGTCCGGATCCTCACCATGATCACTTTCATCGTTCTTCTCCTCAAGGATAGTCATCGTGATAGCCGTTTCCTCGTTAAATTTTATTTCCGTTTCAAGAAGAACTCGCGCAGGTGGCATGGCGCCAATTACGACATCAGGATCCTCTTCAGCAATACCGGAAGAGTCACTATCGCTACCCCAGGCTTGATCCAAGGGTACAACATCCTTCTCTCCACTACTTCCTTTGATTTCCCCATTCCCAATCAGCTTGGGAGTTACTTTCATATCATAAACCTCACAGAGAACATAAAAATCCCTCTTGACTTTCGGATTGTATTCCAGAAGATACGAATCAAGTTCCTCAGCTCCTATGGCTTCGCGTATCTTGACCAACGACCTCAGTGCTGCCTCCTGGTGAGTTACCTGCACAAGACGAGCTGCCAAGGCTGCAGTGGTTTCCTTGAGAACCCGAGTCGAGGGACGAGGACTGCTGGCTGACGGAAACAGCAAGGAAGGAACGCTCAAGATAATACCCATAGTGACATTAGTCTGGAAATTATCCAGAGCATCAGGACGGTTCAGTCCTTCATTCAAAATCTAAACAGAATAACACGATCCTTTAAATATACCACTTTAAAATCCACCATCGACAATCTTTCAGATGCAGTAAAATCATTATCCAGGTATTCATTAGAATATAAGGACTGTGCAAAGCAATAAAATACTTACTATCTTAACCATATTATCCTGATCTTGACTGTAGAATAGATAGACTCTAAGGGTATCCAAAGCTCCTTTCCTGACCGCTGGTGCTGGATGACCAAGATTGCTGACCAGTTCCGGTACGACGGGTCGCATAACCTCGTCGATGATGTTCATGTCGAGGGTCGGCAGAACATCGACAAGAACACGTAGAGCATGTTGTCTGACTTCCCATTCAGGATCACGCAATCTCTCAGATATTTCAATAAAAGTAGAACGCGTATCCACATCTGTTGGGAATCGTTTTGTGCGCACCTAAGGACAGTACAATTGATCGATAATAATAATAAATAATTAACGTATCACTTCTGTCCAGTAAAAATATCTCACCACGTGCTCCCAAAGAGGGGTAAGCTGTATCGGTTGTCCAGGTGAAGAGGTGGATGTCATCTTCTCTTGGGTCTGTTGAAGATGACGATTCTGCAGATGATAATAACCCGACGACTGTGCTGGCAAGGGTGTGGAGTCCTTTTGGGGTTGCGAGGACCCCGAATTCGTCATTGTTAAACCCGTCATCGATGACGCGAACTCCACGCACCCAAACACACCGTCCTACGTCTCATCTTCCAGCCACTGCCAATCCTTTACTGTACAAGGCATCCTTAACTCTTGATAGTGATCCTTTCCAAATTCCTCACGTTACTCGTAACCTACACAAGTTGCTAATACGCCAATTAACTTTAATTGAATCGCCGTGCTGCGTTGGACTCACGCTGTGTTCGCTGGTAATTAACTGCGATAGTTAACGGTAATTGTAGGCGTCTTAATAGATTCTTGGATTGGTTACTGGTGCATTGATTACTTTTACAATAAACTTGGAAAGTTAGACTTAGCATTTAAGACTATTAAATCTTTTGATTGTTATCAGTGCTCTATATTTTTTTATAAAATTTAATAGTTTATTGACAACCATGCGTTTCATATTTGAATTTTCAAATACGTCAGTTACGTACCATGGTTATATTCGTATAAGATAAACGTAATAAGTATACACTGAATATTGAGCGTAGTTGTAGTCTTTGATAGTCTCAACGATTTATACTGAGTTGTATGACCATAGATTGTCAACGTAAATCCATATGCATACGTAATACATAGTAACGTATGTGTACGGAATGCTAGGTCAGTAACATGAAATGGAATATCAATTTGTTATAGGAAAATATAAAGGGCAAGTAAGACATTAAGAAATTGTTTAAAGAGATTCTTTTAACGCAGTGAAACATACGGATAGGTGCTTTGTTGTTTGTCAGAAAATTTTACAATTTCTTGGAGCGATAACAGAAACGAAGTAAAATACGATAAAGATATGCAAAAATAGAACGCCTCGTCACGACAGCTACATCGAAGCCTTATGACAACGATAATGTTCCTGAGTATCGAGTAGTTAGAAAATGAAAATCATAGCACACGGAAACGACCGGCTAATCATTGAATCTCTTGACACGAAAGCCACTCGAAAGTGTTACATAGTAAAATTACTACATAACAGAAAATTAATCATAGACGCTATCGGTTTCCTTGGGAAATTCGTCAGTTGTGCAATAAAACTTGAAACAGTGTCAAGTGTGTCTGGATATTTCTTACCGTGAGCGACTGTTCCACTTTAGGCGTATTTCGAATAGAGAAATAATTTCGGGAGAAGAAAATCCCTAGAATCTTTTATCCCTATAATATCGTGTACTTTGCAATCGTAGGTTTTTTTTCTTTTTTACTTCAATCAAATACTTTGTCGTATTTTTATTCACCTATGAAATTCGTATGGTATCTTCAAGTGTATATGGACATTAGACGACACTGTGTACCGTATTTTGGTGATGAAAATTTGTGTACTGAGAAAAATAAAATATCAAATAAAAATGTACACGTGGACTAAGACTTATTGGCAATGGCCAAGCTTGCCTGACCACGGCTCGCATGTGACTGTTGCCCCTTTTCTCGAAGTAAGGTGGTTTGCTGCTAATATCGACCATCCCCATCCCCACTTTATACCTAAAGTAGTCTTTGGCAACTTGGGGGTTACAATCAGGCAGGGTATTGTTAGTTCTGTTTTTATCCTTATGTCAATCCAACTGTCTTCTACTTACTTCCCTGTCAAAATTCTTCGTGGTAATATGAAGGTTGGGCATCGGATGGGTTTTTAATTCTGTAAGAAAAATATATCAAGGTATATATATAATATATACGTCAATGGAGTAGATACAGTCTATATAAAATATATGAAATTTTGATTTTTTGCATTAAATAAATAAAGTAAGATAGACGAATCCTCGAAGGTCAGTAACATTACTGAACTTGCATGATATTTAAAGTATATCGATCACCGGAAGACTGTGATTGATTGGTATTTCATTATTCATAGTAAATCAAGCGGCTTTTGCTGCTCGCACGCAACGTGTCAAGACTGACGCTGTACTCGTTTTCAGTAAGAATATGTCTTTGTAGAAAAGATCCTAGTCATAGGAAATAACGAATTAAATTTTTGACAGAAGAATCAAGAGGATTCTTTAAGCTGGAAAAGTGCAGATGTCACTTGAGATATTTTTATTTATTTTTATTCTTTTGCATAAGGTATTCAGTTTATTTATATATAATGTAAAAGTACTGACATAATAACATTATTGCACTTGTTCCATGTTTAATCTTTCTGTCCCTATGGGTTAAGATGCGTAGCACGTATCAGTAAAGTTTTTTTTTTCGGTCACGAAAGGGATAAATGACGTGTATTAATTAAAAGTGCAATAAAATAATTAAATAAAATTGCTTTTGGAATGTTCCTTATCAATTTTTATGCGATACGTATATACATATATAAGAAACTTAGGAATATGATAAATTGAATGTATTTTTAACAAGTTAACGGTACTTTTACCCGCATCTTTCAGTCGTAAGTCGTTTAAAACTGTTTATTCTCTATGAACTTTACTAACGAGTCGACATAGACAGCTGCGTCGATTTCCATGAATGTCTAAACTGTGACATTTGAAATTTACAAAGTAATAAATAATTGGACGAGAATTTATTTTGGGCGATCGAATGTTAACAATTGGATCGTGTACGACTTTTGATGGAAGATAGTAGAGTATATGTATAATGGTTCATTGTGAAGAAATAGGTCGAGATTTATGAGACTTCATACGGTAATCGAGCGCACATAGTATACATATATCTCTAATGTTGTTACATATAACACAAAAAATGGTAATTTATTTAAATTTATGCACTAAGAATTGTGACAATTAGAAATAAAAGAAGATAAAAAAGAATAGCAATCATTTTATTATTTGTTAGTACATACAAAAAGATGGTATAAATACATTTTGATTAAAGTGCCCATGACAGAATTCATAATAAACAATAATAGTTTTTCTTTAACGGAAAAAGAACTTTAGCCATTTACAAATGAACTCGCTATTGGTTTTGATCTCAACTAAAAGTAAAAATAGAAGATACATATTGAAAAGCAATTTCTACTATTGGCAAATCAATAGTAGTTAGTCACGGTATATAGAATAATTATTGCAATAATCTATATTATATTTTGCACGTAATTGATTATTATTCATTTTGTAAATACAATATATTGCTGCATTTATGTATACGCATTCTTGTATACATAAATTTTTATTACACTAATAAATTGTTTTTAGTAAATATAACAGTTGGTTAATTGAAATCTGATATAGTATTGATAAAATTGTGACAGCAATAGTTTACATTAAAATTATAATTTACAAACTATAACAATTTCATTAAAGAGAATTACCGAATAATACTATAATTTCGTTGAAGATACATAATCTTTGATATGTTTGAAATTGTCAAAATTCATCGTAACATTGAGAATCGTCTTTTCATTACCATTAAGTCTAATGTATAATAAAATAGTTTGGAAGTAAAAATTTTTGGTTTTCTAATGATTGTTAATTTTGTTTCCTAAATATCTTCTAATTGGCACATAACGAAGAATTAAGAATGTCACCCATGCTATAATGTTAACGTATAGGAAAGTGTATCGTCAGCTTGTATTAGTATTCAGAAATATTCAGAAACAAATACAATGTATAATAAATGATTTAACCCCTCATATATCGGCCTAAAATACAAGAATCTAACTAGGAATTTTGCAAGAACTGAAGATTATTGAATTTTTATAAAACTTGGTTTTTTAAGGTCGCTTAAATGCAATATGATGTGAAGTTCACAAAATCGAGAATGGCGAATCCAATGAGTCTGTCCAGAAATATACAAATTGTCGGACTTTTCCGAAGTCATGTTTTTGCGTTGTTATTTCAAATAATGTGTATTCGTTAGCGAATATTAGGGTACAAACAATTTAATTATTAGATGTCATTTTCAACGAGTTACAAAATCTAGGATACCAAGTTCCATAAAGATCCAGCAGTTTTTGCGAGTTTAATTTACCATTTCTTATCCGTCATTTCGAATTCTCGAAATCCGAGGTGAGATTCAAATTTAGCGACCTTAAAAAAACGTTAAAGATCAAGTTACTTGAAAATCGAAATACTTTAAACCTAAAAACCTAGAAAACCTTGTTTTCCATGCAACACTTTTTGCCAGTTTTAGGTTTGTGAATATATCCATCAGTTAGACTGGCAAAGTTGAAAGATATTATATGACAAGATATAATTATAGTTAATTTCTAATCGTTGACATAAAAGATGTTTATTATTAATCAATATGATTGATGATATGATTTTCTTTACATAGTATTTTTGGTTACATAAAAACTTCTACTCGATCATTGAACTTTTTTGACTAGGTGAACAGTGTGAAATTATATTTTTGTTCACTAGATAAGTTGAAAAAACAGCAAACAGGCATGAAACCTCACTAATCTAGACTGTTTGAATTTTTTTTGATAGGGGAACCGACTCTTTCATATCGGTGTTAATTTCACGAACTTCTGGATGAGCATTCTGCACGGGATTTCGAGAATATAAAAGAACAGAATAACTTACTATGGCAATGGCAAGCACTGTGTTTATATAGATAGGAATGCCAAATAATATCCAGCTTAAAATCGCAGTAAATATGAGTTCCAAGGCACTGGCAAAGTTTTTTAATATAGAATTTAAGTTTTTCAAAAAAAAGCTAGTTATGATACCTATAGCTGTATTGTTAATTATAATTAGAATAACTTTTGGTTGTAGGAAGATACTAGGGCCAGCACTATCAAAGGTCTGCAAAAGGCTTCCATGTGCTGCAAGAACGACAATATTACACAAAATACTGTCTATGTACATGAACACATTTTGTACAAATATATTGATATCTGCTCCTTGACGCTTCAGCAAGTATTCATTATAGACACCTGCCAGACATGAACACATTGTCTGAAATATGAAAAAAAAATATATAAGAGTAACAATATTTTAATTACCAAATATTTAAATGTTTAAAGGAAATTATTTTTTCTGTCTATTTACCTGTATAAAAATGTAGAACGTATTGATACCTAGATAAAAGTTTGGTAAAGAGAAGGGCTCTTTAATATTGACATTTAAATGTTTTATCATACAGCCTAGAGTTAGTAGTAATAATGATATCCACTGCATCGTTGATAAATATTTTTTGAATATCACCTGCATACAGATAATTTAAAAAAATATTAGACTACACCTATCTTAGCAGTTATTGTAAACAGATATTAAAATGAAATGTTGTGTGTTTGTTAATACCTGAAATACAATTCCAGTCATAACAACTCTAAGCTGTAGTAAAAGGTAATATGTCGTAGGATCAAATGCAGCCAGGTTGATAAAAGCCAGATTGTTATACAAGCAGTACAAAAATGCTGGTACCATGTACAATATTAACACTGAAAAATTGATAATGTCTTTGGCTGCACAATATAAGATAAATTAATATATGATAAACCCACCATCTTTATACTTTTGTATTTCTTTAAACAGTTGTAATATTGTATTCCTGCAAAAATTTCAATTTTTATTTTATGGCTGTAAAATCTTAATACAAGATCATTGATGACCTTAAAATATCATTACTTACTCTCTGCAGTAGAAAATGATTGAAACTATTAGTTTCAAAACTTCAGTCATCAATACCACTGTGATAGTATTATATTCATACTTTTTATCATTTTGAGACCACGTCACTATGATTCCTGCATAATAGAATAATACAATACCTATATTATACAATTATAATATCAAATGCCAGTGACTCCTAAAATAATAATTATTATCTCCTGAGCAATAAATCAAAATAAATGTCTATAATAATCTTTAAAACAATACGATGATTATATCAAATATAAATGTATGATAAGATATGGTAAGTCATTATTTACTCATATAAATTGACAAATAAAAGTGAAATACAGTGGAATAATAATTTTTATGAATAAGTAATGAGTCTGTATCTAATGGTTGAATGGTATCAAAACTTATTACTGCAAATGCTTACAGCAGTAAAATGATCAAACAACATCTGAATAAATCATTAAATTATAACTTGTTTAATGACAAATTTGCATATAACAATAAATTATCAAAAAATAAATATAACCTCAAACATACCTTGATTGACGAATAGAGCCATATAAGAGATAAATATGACAGCACTCCATCTTCCTGGGAAGAGTTCATTCCAGTTTAAAGTTCCCATTATTACTTCTCTTACAATCGGTTAAAATCTCGACAATTGTCGTGCATTAATCCTTCAAGATTCATTTTAATCAATGAGAAGCCGATCACTACATGACAGATACTCAATCGAGTATGTACTTGACGTCGAGTAATTCTTCGATAACATTCAATTTATATCTAGCTGGATTGGTTGACACTATTTGTGATGGGACGGCAAAGCACTAATATAACTTATCGGTTCTTTTATCTACATGGGAAGTCATTGATAAAGTTTTCCAGCTTGTTGATTGCTTGTATTTTAATATGCTATGCAAAATTAAAGAGAAGTACAACGCTACATTAAACCAGCTCGCGAATGGTTAGCGAACATGTGTAAACTGATAAAGCGTAAACACATTTTCCACTCCTTATCATTTGATCGATGGAAATTGATTCATTCGTAAACGAGCGGCATGGGACTATTGCGATAAGCTTATCAGCAAAACGGAGAATTGGACTGTGACGGGAATTTAAAAACTGTCTAAGTAGTTTGCTAGAATATGATCGATAGAAGGTGCATTCCACTTATTGCCCGCAACGCTCCCAACATCGTTGTGTCTTTAAATATTGAATGTATTAGATAGAGAAACAACGATGTTGCAAGCGTTGCGGGCGATAAGTGGAACGCACTCAGAATGCCAGAACGCTGATTAGATCATTTATTTGCCACTTAAATATAAAGAAAATCGATGTTAAAATTTGCTAAAATTGCTATTTGTGCTATTTGTGCAACACAATTTTTAATATCATTTTTTAACAAATATAAGCATATTATTTACCTAAGACATCAATATTTATAGTTTTTAAAGTATCACAATTAAGAAAAACGAAAAAAAATTGGTCCAGTTCCCCATTAGTACACGAAACATTTTGTTGAAGTAGGAAAGCAATGTAGCTGCATGTAATAAGACTGAATAAAACTTTGCTATTTTAAGAACTCATTATTTTTTTGAATATAGCAACAGAATATGCAATAAATAAATACTTATTCGTAGAAAAACTATGCATATAATTTTTGTATATCTTAACACTGAAATTTCATTGTCATACGTATATACCTATTGGTATTCATTTTTAAACCTATCTAGACATTTAATTACACAAAGATTTTTGTTTGCAGTTAATAGAGATTAATGAATTTCAAATTTCTGTCTCAGGAACTGCGTTAAAGATTAGATCTTCTAAGCCAAATGGATCTAATCAGATCTTATGTCCAATGAAGCAAAACCCGACGAGATCTCATCAGATCAGAGATGATCTATGCAGATTTAATTTAACTCAGGGCAGTACTCCATTTTATTCAAAATGGATATCTGATCGGATCAAATTAGATACAAATTCGATCTAATTAGATTAAATCAGATCAAATGATTTTTTCCCGGGTACATAGACTAATAACATTAATAACATATAACAAAGTGGCACAATTTATTACAATGCAGACGTTAGCATCATTAAGTGAATTATACTTCAAAATCAATAGGATTAATCATAATTAATTTAACAATAGATTATTTCGGATCATCTATTATATTACATCTATTCCCATTATGTACATAAATCCAAAACATACACTAATTGTAAGTTAATTTATTACAGGTGACGTATATCTCTTTTGTTATTTCGTACGTGATTTGTTATTATATTATGTTTTCAGGATGTTTATATATATATAATATTATATATTAATATGTTACAAGACTTATAAAATCTCTTTCACAGTAAAGAAAGTTTCGTGCGAATATCTAACGAATGTCGCTTTTCTCTTTTTCACCCTGAAATTGGTGTATTTGGTTTTTATTGGAGCTAGAAGACAAGGCTCACTGTTTCAATACTGCTATCACATGGCAATGCCTAAAATGTAATTAGTGAAAGCTGCAATAACAGAGCTATTCGTATTCAATTATCGGAAATATGAATGAACATGAAATTCTAAGGTCTTCAAAGAATTTGGTGCTTTGCATTTTATCACATAGTAGCATAACAATATTTAAAGAATTTTCAAGCTACTCAAAGTGTTTATCTAATATTACATCACTAAAAAAGTTCCTTTTCTAATCTCTATCATTTGCTAAGTATAAAGTTTTTCTATTGGGTGTAATTCGGCAAATATTAGTGCCAGAAAATTGTTGAAATATATGGTACTCCAAAATCTTGTAAAATCCTTATTATTCTAGTACTATTATATTCATTAACGACAGAGTTTTTATATAAAATTTTAAATTACACAAAAATTTAACACACACGATGCAGAGTGGCGTTAGTGATAAACTATTTTATATATTGACAAGTATCAATAATGATTACAACACAGCACGTGTTTGATGGAACAATATAATTTTAGAAACTTTACAAATGGCTAGTACAGGCAGTGCAGTAGATACACCGGTTGATACAGCAACAATTAGTTACTTGTTCATTATCATTTTCAAACTAAATTTAAACAAAAATGTAGTCTTCTATTAAATGATTAAGTGAATACTGCTAGTGGTCCTTTAAAATTCAATGCAAAAATTAATTTTGTTCTGTTCAATCATGACTGTCGATTGCGTCTACTGATAATACAGAAGTTATTAATGGCACCACGTTGTAGCTTCTCTTTGAATTTCTATTTGTTATTACATAACAAATAATTGTATACGGTGGGAAAGTTTTGTCCGTGAAATCTTGAAAGCGAATTATCTATAGTTCAATTAATTATTATAATTAATTAAACATTCCGTATACACGATTTTCATATGATTAGCTAATTTTGTATCAGGATCCAATATATTACCGCTACTAAGTATCGACATTATTACTTACATTTCAATCAATTGAAATGTAAGAGCGAAGTTTAAAAATTATTTTTTACATCTGTTCAGTGGTTTTATTGAACTTGTTAATGCATTGCCTCATATTTAGTAATGGACGTATAACACCGAATCACTTTAGATTTAGTTTTGCTCTAAGGTAACGAAAAAGATTTTGTTACATAGAAATAAATAAATAGAAAGTATTATCTTTCTTTGAAGCTCTTGTGCATGTACGGTAAGTGATTATACCATAGTCATACCAAAAACAACAGAATCCACCCACCGTGTTCTTGCATCATACGATACTCTGCTAATATAATTTTCAAACTATTAATGAGAGGCATTCAATTGTATCAATATTTGCTGGGAGATGAGTTTAGTCGCCTCGCTTGCATTGGGAATAAGAAACCTGTCCATATCAGTTACGTGAAGCGTATCGTTTTGCGTTGTACCGTATTTAAAGGTAATTAGGTTAGGATGACGTTTTCTTGAAGTAATTTTAACAATACTAGATAATGGCCGCATTACGATTACGTGAGCTGCTCCTTTCCTTGATGGAATCTCACGTAACACAATTAGTTGGGTATCCGTTACCAAGAGTTGACTAAAGAAAAAATCATATATTATTGACATCCCTTTTTCTAAATCTTATCCCATGTTATTTAGTTATTTACCTGTCGTGAACGTAGCCGTTGACTTTGACCTCTTGACATTTAAAGGAATGTAATAATTTTGGATCTTTTAACCATTGTTGAATGGATACAACTTCAACAGGTTCTTCACTCTCATCATTGGTCATAGTCATGTCTGAAATATTTGTTCAATATGAACACATGTTAAAACCTAGCACACAAAATATTTTTATAGATTTATTTGAATAATTATATACCTGGATCTTGATCCTCATCTATACTAAACACAGGTCCTGTACTCTGCTGTGCTTTATTGTAATCTGTTTCTTTATTTGCTCTTCCAACTGTATTGCCGTTGGCACTTGCCGAAGGGTTCACGATATAATCAAACAACTTTCCTTTGACCTCTTGACTTTTTAACTTCATTGCCAAACCAATTTTTCCAAAGAGATCAGAATTATTATTTCTGACTTTAGCCGGACTAGCATCATTTGAGTTTTCCTCCGACATGTTAGCGTTACACACTAGACAGTGTTGAGAATTGTGATCCACAAGATTAGACACAACCTCGTCACCAAAATATTCATGAATAGCTGTAAGAAAAAGTTCGATTTTTTGATTTTAGCTTTGATATCACTACATTTTGATAGTAGTATTCTTTATCAGTAATACCGGACCTTGATATCCTGAGCTGACCATACTGACGTACTGGGTATGTTTCTGTAAAAATGAAGCCACAACCATGTGAGTATAGCGATCTTCTTCCTGGCGACCACTGCCAAGGAAGCAGAGATGTTCGCCACCAGCTTGCGACCCAACAGCTAAGGCCTGACGTTGAGCTTGCAATAAGGCTTGAACTGCAGTTGCAAATGAAGCAGGTTCTTGCAGCATCTTAAGAAAAAGAAAAACAACTTAGTCTCACTTTCATTATGTATCCGATTATCTGTAAACAGAAGACGTACCAAGTTACAGTCCAAATGGAAGGCAGTTGGTAAATGGCCAGCGTTGTATTGCTCTGCGGGTCTACAATCAACTAAGAAAAATCGAACAGACTCGATGGGACCATTACGGGAAGGCGGAACTTCGACAGCATTCTCGACTAATTCTTGAGCTGATACTGGCAGGCACAAGGCGTGTGAAATAAATTTTTCATCACCTCCCTCGCCAAACATTACAGTATATAGGTCTTGTTTAAAGGAAGATGGTGTCTTCATAGCATAGTACTCTGCTAGTGAACAGAAATCAGTCACGTCATCCGCTTCCAAGGCGCAAGGAAACGCAGACAGAGCTTCTATTATGGTTTCCTTATCGTCATCCTTCATGGCCAAAATTTGTTCCCTGCACAAGTATTTAAAGTAGAATAAAGACAAAGAGAAATGATAATGTTTGACGGCAAATACAGGGAATAATTATTCTTTGATTGTGAAATCTGAATAATAAGATACTAGGGCACAATTAGCTGATTGAAATATCACCTGCCGTTGATCACCATAATGAGCGAGAGGAACATCATGAAGAAGGGATCAGTTTGCATGAAGTAAAGATCCCACATAGTATGAATTGCTGGTAATGAACAGACGCCTGCAAATAAGGTGTTTACCCATCCCTTGGCATACTGATCCGGAGATACTCGTTTCGTGTCCAAAAAAGAACATAACTCTGGCTCATGATATAACAACAATAGTCGTAATACAGAACTGTGCGTAGTGCCTCTGGAAAAAAATTATTGGAAGTGCAGTGCCAGGATTTAATACTTCTAATAGCGAACAAAAACTTTTAAAATAGTTACCTTGGAATATAAACGTCCCTTATGGCCTCAAATAAATTATATGTAGCAGCACGGGGCAATTTCAAAGCAATTAAAGGGCCCAAAAGCTCAAGCCATCCATTGCCTCTTTCATAATGTTTCCCTCTACTCTTGCAGTAAAATGTTAAAATTGATTCTAGGTCAGAAACAACGGATACCTTGTCTTCATCATCGTTACCGAGTTTAGCTAAAATAAATAACATAATGTTTCGACTGGCCAATTTTAGAAATTATTTTTATGCTGTATATGAACCGACCGACTAGTTGTTGACAATCTTCTCGAAGTATGTTTTGCTCAGGAAGATCAAATACTTCGTTAAAGTGAATTAGTTGATCCCCCCGATCAGTGACATCTAGACAAGCCTGCCACACATCTGCTCTGTATGCTGCAGGAACTGACTGACCCTTGCAAATGGCATATATGTCAGAAGCTGAAGGCGGTTCCGCATCTAGGAGTGCTGTTTCTAACTCCAACTCCCTAAGAAAATAGAAAATTTCAAATAACTTTATACAATGGGATAACAAACAATTATCCTTATCTCTTAAAATTGCTACATGTTCCTTCATTCAAAGTAAAGGTAGCCTTATATAAATTAAAATAAATATTAAATAATATATGATAATAATGAAATAAAAATAGCGAAATACAAGGCATATAATAATAAATTAATGTTTTGTGTTTTTGCCAAAGTATCAATGTATAAATATAGAGAAATTGAAACTCAGAAGGCCTATGTAAACAACTTGGTTTTTTGTTGATATCAATACATAACATTTCACAATTTTAAATATTTAAAATTTTTTTAAATTGTAATGGATAATAAACACTAATAATTCCACAATAATCATCCATAAGAATAACTTAAAAGTAGTATAACTCATTATTCAATGTAGTCTCGAATAATAAGATTTAATACCAAAATTGGTTTTGTTCTATATAGGATTGATACCATTCATAATATTGGGTTGAGTCATAAGATAAGAAACGTACCATCAAGCATTCATTACATCTACAAGGAACTGAAGCTAAATACCATTTACAAATAAATATTGAGCTAAATACGCCTTTTGTACATAAAGCTATTAGCAAACATTTGTATGTAAATTAACAAGTATAAAAGTAAATGACAATTAGACAGTACAGAAATATTGTATCTCGCAGCAAGATGTTAATAAGGCAGGTGTTAACGATTGTTGCTACGTCGTAGTATTCTAGAGTTAGACTTTCCGCTCCATTTTCGTGCCAGATAAACAGATTTCATGAAAAATTTGACAGTTAGGGCATAGAATATAAATGTTAATAATGTACGATTACGTTTAAGAATGCCGTAACTGATACACACTAGGATTATCAAGTAAAGGAATGATCGTAGCACATAATTCCTGAATTAAATACAATACTTAAATAAATAAATGCATAGAAATACATAATTTCTCACCATGTCTTACGGTCGTCACCCATTGCCATTTTGGCACACGTCACAAATGAGCTGGTTAATGGTTTCACAAAAATCACAATACGTATATTAAATTCGTGAAGCGTAATAAATATTTTTGAACGTTAAACATTATCCGCATAATTTCACGATCCTTGTATTGTTGTTTTTATTACTCCCTCTGCTACCCAACGCAATGTTTGAGGGAATCATCCGTGATAAAACTTACGAAACATCGTACATGCTGACAAACTATTTCCATCTTTCTGGGAAAGTTCTGTGCATGCGCAAAGTGGACACGGATGTAATACATGTGCGAAGAGGTATTTAATTTAAATAGCATATGTTCTATTGATAATCAAGCTGCTGAATTATATATAAAATACAGATTCCGATACATAACATATAATTATTGTTAAAATAAGGATTTGGAACACAATTTTATTGTTAAAAATGTAACTGAATCAAAACTGCAAACTGAAATAGTGTTAAAGAATGAAATTAACATTGTGTCCACCAGGTATAATATAGTTCGTGGTAAATATTCAGAAATTAATCTACAGATACGGATTTGTAGCTACATTAATTATAACAATAAATAACTTGAATTCAGTTAAATGTTTTGACAGTTTTGGGAATCCGCGCGACATCCTAAGTTCTGCGCACGCGCAATGAGAATAAAGATGGTAGCGCCATGTATGATCCACGGAAGATTAAGAAGATAAAGAGTTCCCCTGGCGATTTATCAAAGCGCTGGTTACGCTGGTTTACGTTAATCGTACCGCATGATCGCTGCCTCTCCCGTTGACTGTTCTGATTGTTGAGGAAAGAACCGGTGAAAGGTGAAGTATTTGCAATTTTACGGTTCGCGCACGTGTCGTGGAGTAATTTCTCCAGAAGATGACTGCTAGCAGTGCGGCGGGCAGTATAGCTAGTAGTAGTCCTTTACCGAAATGGCAACTTGCATTAGCTGTTGGTGCGCCGGTTGCTCTTGGGCTAGGCTACATGTACTACAAAAACAGCACAAAGTCTGCATCGAAGCCTGATCGTGGAAAGGCAAAAGGTAATATTAAGGAGAATGGAACATCGGCGGACAAGCAGATTTCCATTGACGGTGAAATATCGCCTAAAGGTCAACCACTCACTGAACCTGCAAACGAGGTTAAAATCTAGTACTTATCTCTTTTAATTCAATAAATATAACCAATTCAAAGATCAATGAATTAATATTTTTTTTTTACTTTCGTTCTGTACAGATCTCTTGTACTTCCTACTGATGTTAATGATAACGATAAGATAGACATTTGCTGCAGTCTTGTAGCAATATATTATTGGATGATTTATTATTAATTTTTGTTTTTCTAGACTCAATTGGAAAAGGCACAAAGGTATAAAAATGAAGGAAATAACTTTTTTAAGGCCGGAAAGTATGATGAGGCTATATCATGGTACAATAAAGCAATTGAAACTTGTCCAACTGAAAATCCAATAGATCTTGCAACATTTTATCATAACAGAGCCGCAGCATATGAGCATTTGGTAAGTTCACATAATATTGTACATATTTCAGTATCTTAATATCTGTCTTTCATTATAGAAAAAATACAGTGCAGTAAAGGCTGACTGTACAAAAGCATTGGAATTCAATCCAAGGTACATTAAGGCATTGCAGCGTAGAGCCCGTGCAATGGAACACAGTAAAGAGTTAGAATTGGTTTTGGAGGATGTTACTGCTGCATGTATATTAGAACGATTTAACAATCAAAGTACCCTCATGATGGCAGACAGGGTATTGAAAGAACTTGGTCAGTATTATACTGACAAATAATGTAGACATTAACAGTATTAGTAATTGGTTAAATGTCCCATTCAGGTAGGCAGCACGCACTAGAACACATGGCCAAGAAAAAGCCAGTAATGCCTAGTAAACATTTTATTAAAACATACTTTAGTTCCTTCCGTAAGGACCCTATTCTCGCAACAGATGACGAGCAGTCAACTGACAATATCACAAGGTGAATAAGAGTCTCTTTTCCACAGCTTTGCTACATATCAGTATGTTATAAACAGTTTATATAATTCTTTCATGCTCTTAGTGATTTTGAATCGGTAAGAAAGGCATTAAAGGAAGAATCATATGACGACGTTATACCGTTGTGCACAGAAGAAATAAATGCCCTTGAATCTGATTCATCTTTACGCAAAATGAAAATCCTTCTACTGCGTGCTACTTTCTATCTTCTGCTTGGACAACACGAAGAAGCGATTGCAGACCTTGAAACAATTATCAATAGCGACTCTGCTAGTAAGGAAGTGAAGGCAAACGCCTTAATTAAAAGGGCAAGCATGTATATGCAGCTCGAAAATCCAACGAAATGTTTCGCGGATTTTGACTTGGCAATTGAAATCGATCCAGACTGTAGTGACATTTATCATCACAGAGGCCAAGTATGCATTTTATAAAAATTTAAACGAAGTCATAAAGCTGAATATCGAAATACCAAAAAATTGCTCTCTTTAGGTAAATTTACTCCTGGAGAAGGTGGAGGAGGCAAAAGCGGACTTCCAAAAGGCTGTGGACTTGAATCCTACGTTTGCAGTAGCGTTTGTACAAAAATGTTATACAGATTATCGTTACGGTCATATGAAAAAGGATGTTTACTTGATGGAACAAGCAATGCAAGGCTTCCAAGATGCATTTGACAAATTCCCAGATTGTTCCGAATGTTATACTTTGTACGCTCAGGTATATGGACGATTTAATCATTAATAATATTTTTATCTTTAAATTTCTGTCTAACCATTTCATAACAAATATTTCAGATGTTAAGCGATGTTCAAGAATATGCCAAAGCAGATTCATACTTTGCAAAAGCAATTGAAAAGGATCCAAACAACGCAACTATTCACGTTCACAGAGGACTATTGCAATTGCAATGGAATGGAAATATTGATAAAGCCATGGAATATATCAAGAAAGCTTTGGAAATGGATGATAAATGTGAATTTGGATATGAGACCTTGGGTACTATAGAAGTTCAAAGGTACGTCAACAGATGTAAATCAAACTAACCTAACACTTATCGAGAAATATTAACCGGCTCTTTGTCACAGGGGGAACATGAAAGAAGCAATAGAGCTTTTCGACAAAGCTTTGGAGTTAGGTCGCACAGCAATAGAGCTTACGCATATTTTCAGTCTAAAAGATGCTGCACAAACGCAGCTTACTGTAACCGAGAGATTAGGCATGGATCTGTCTTGGCTGGGGATGTCCTAGGTAAAAGTTTGCATTAAGTGATAAAAATCTGAAGGAACATTGTATTGGGAGAGAATAAGAATATGTGCCATTTAGGGGAAACAGTAATTTTTCAACGTTACAATCGCCAAGACACATTTTCAATATTCACTTCGAATAATGTTTCGAAAGATTTCGTATAATGAAATGCATGCAGGTGTATGGAGCTCACGAGTAGTCATAAATTTTTATCGCCATAAACAAGGGAACATGTTATTCGAAAGCTCTTTCTTTCGTCTGAAATAAAAACAAGGGATTATTACGCCAATGTGTAATCGGCACTGTACTGAAGTCTTTCAAATTATTTATAATTTGATCGAGCCGTCATGTATTCGTCCCCATTGGGTAAAACAAAACACTAAATTAGTTTATAAAATTTCCATTTTTTCGATCACTTAAGACACTACATTTGCTTATACATACTTTTTGCAGAAAAAGAAAGTAATGTTTCTCAATGATAACAAATAGCGCTTTGATTGTATTCTTTTATTGAGAAGAACATTTCCTTCTCACAACTTTGGTACGAATTTGTTGCAGACTTGTATGTAAGAATTGCTGATTAATGTTATGTATGAAATTATGATGTTAAATATAATTATATTACCTATTAAAAAGCCAATGAAGTGAAGTCTTACCTACCCAGTTTCAAAGTGATAAGAAATCCAGTCTTTTTTTTCAGCTATATTTTTCGCACGCACGTAAGTATATACAATATTAGAAATGCTATTCAGATTATATATATATATATAAAAAAATTTTGCAGTCATTCGTATATACACTCTAGTTTATACTGTACCACACAGGTACGTGACCCGTTCTCATAATTTTACTAAAATATATAAAATAATGTTCTACGCAATATTTTTTTAGTCTACCCTTAAATCCTACCTTTGGCAGCCTTCGAGGAATCTTTCTCATTCGGAGTAAACAGTATTTAATGGAATATCATTCCTCAGTTAAATGTCATAGAAAACCCACGCCAGTGGGTACCGTATCACAAACGCCAAGAGACTGCTAACAATCTGAAATTATTTTATAATTAAATCAAATGAAGGTTTAAGTGATGTCAATTATTGTTCACCTGAATAATAATTAAAATTGTAGTCAGAGTGGGTTCTCTCATTGGACCAGCAACTAGTAACACGAAATTAATTAACGTCAAGTTATTACACGTCACGGTGCCTTCTTTGTCTTCCTGCCACTTAACGATCCTAAACGTCCTGAACACGCCCATTATTAATCTACCTAACGACAAACAGAAGGGCATTAATTTTTTACAAAGAACAAGAATAATGCTTTATAAAAACATAAATAATAGAGAAACGTACTGAGAGAATTGAGATCAGATTTCTTGAAAACAGCTACACTCATATTCAATTTTTCCGTCTCCCTGTCATACCTGTTAATCAATATTATAAATAAAAAATAATACTGACATGAATATAATAAAGTCTGAACAATAGCTTACTTTGGTAGCCTATGCCTAGGACATGGTACAAGATGAAAGAGCTGTGGTACACTATAGAGGAAATTGATTATCTGAGGAATGAAGAACAACAAAGTTGTCTTGCTGAAATGACCAATAATTCCAACAACAGCAAAAGTCATTCCTGAGAGGTAGCAGAAAGTGTCTCCCACGAAGACACTTGATGGATACCTTGAACAAGAAATTCACGTGTAAATTTATGTAAGCATATAATAATAACAATACTGCAAGTCAATGACCATTGATGTAAAAAACGTTATCGCGTTCTCAGAGTTGCGCAAACACACAGCATACTGAATTATCCAGACTGACAAACATAAGGATTCTTTCTTATAGGATAAGGCTTTCTTATTCTCTCTAGAAACATTAAACTCTCAGTGTTCTTTTCATAACAAAGAATCCATGAATCTAGCTCAGAGGTCGCTTACTCGATCCCTTTATAATCCTTGAAGAGAGAACGCGAGCAGATGTTTCTCGTGGAATAGTTTAAGAAATCTGGCAGGTAGGAGTCGAGTCATTCGTAGAAAGGAAGAGAGAGAAAGAGAGGGGGAGAAAAGAAAAGAGGAAAAATGAAGATGAAGGAATGGTGAGTGGGGCTGACGTGAGTGGAGCTCAGCAGCTGCCGGCGAATTCGACAGTTGCCGTGAAGAATTCCGCGAGGAAAGGTGCAGCTATTGAATATTACATGAATTAAAAAAAATTCCACTCGGAAATGTGGTATGACTGAAAATCTTATAGCTGTAACGTCTGTCGACAGACAAAGAATAGCAAAGTGTCTAATTCTCCTTACATATGTCCAATGCAAAATAATTTCAATTCTTTCTAACACGCGTGATAACTCATTCGGACGAGCCTAGCAACTGACAAAAGGCAGAGCTTTCAAGCATGCGTGACCCACTTTGTAAGTGGCCTACCGACAATTGCACAAAATATTGAATGTGCGTTGTAAAATTCTAAAAGGATTAAAATGGCCTGAATAGTATCAATTAATGTCATTAAAATCTAAACAAATTTAAAGAGCAGAGTGAAACGTGAATCCCTTGATCCGCCCTGATCTTATTGAGCGGTACAACTTGGAAAGCGGAAATCCATGTACTTATGGGGTATTCTATAGTGATGTGTATCCTCAGGACGAACAGGGAACATTGGACGATCACTCAACCTTCAGCAGGGCTGACTCATCCAGTAAAAAGACGTATCTTGTAATTAATGAGTTGCATTTTGCGACGCCTGCGCTTTGTGAAACCCGCGAGAGCGCCTGTCCTTCCGACATTCTGGCCGCGTTTCGCGGCGGCGAGTGTAGGACTACGGGTGTGGTTTTTGATTTGGTTCCGTCATCGACTTGGGGGAGACTCTCCCGCGTTCCTGAAGACGTAGGAAGAGGAATACCGAAGAGGGTTGCTTGGTGACGGTCTAGGCTAAAAATATGCGAGACTATGCGGCGGGAGATTCCTTCATGTCGGGTGTTTCTTCGTGAAACGCGTGGAAATCACGGCCTTATTGGTGAGTGACCGCCTCTAGTTGGATTGGGATCATTTCAAATAAATTGGCACGTTACGGCGCCGATGACGTCATTATAGAACACGATCGCGGTGACGTCATCATTCACAGCATAAACGTCAGATTGGTTTAAGTTTTTAAAAAAATTTGAATCATTTTAGTAGTCCTATTGCAACAGACGGATCTAATGTATTCCATATATTCTGAAAATTCAAGTCTGGTTACTTGAATTATTTTCTATGATGATTACTGAACACCTGGATCCTTATGATAATACGTATGATGTTTCTTTGCAGATGACGATCCCAAATTGCGTATAATTCGAAACAAATTTCTTCCATTGTCTTCGAGATAGGATAAGCTTCTTGAGATGTAAGTTTAGGAAGTGGGGAAGGTCCCAGTGCAGAAAGAAGTGCCATGCAGGCCCGTTTGGATGGGAAGCTGGCTTTGCTGTACACGCTACTAGTTTTACAAGTTCTCATCGTCGTCATCTACGTAGCTTCTACTCCGCCACCGGAACTAGTCGCATCTACGACCCGAAATTCAGTGAGTTTCGTCAAATTCGAATCCCCTCAGGTAAAATCTCATGTACTTAGTTCAAGAGTGTTTTAACTGTATGCTCAATTATTCAAATCAGCGTAACAGTAACTGCCTCTTGTTTTAGGCAAAACAAGAGAGTGAACCTCTAGTCAATCGCAAGTCATTGCCCAGCTATCGGACAATCAACAGCCAGATTCTTTTGAAGGATATCAGCACGTTTAAACTCTTTGAGAAGTACAATCTCACCTCGTGCTGGCGTGAAGGAGTGAATGATCGACGTATGAAAAAAGAGGACGATTTAGAGAAGTGCGTGTGCAATCAAGGATGGCACGGATCGGATTGCGGTCAACCGGAAGTGGTATGGCGTGCGATCATGGCCTCGAAGCAGAATATCAAGTTGAAGAAGAGGAAAATTGCAAGAAGAATTATCCACGTGTTTTCTATCAACGATTACAACTCGGCGATCGCCGAGGTGATAGTAGAGGAACTATACGGCGTAGTAGATCTCTTTGTGATCTATGATTTTAGTAATGCTGAAGATAACTTCCGGCACAAACTAGCTAAGGGGCTGTTGCGTCGGGAGCAGCACAAGATTTTGTATGTTAATTTGGAAGGGAAAATTCGTAAACCCTCAAGGGTAATATCAACGTATATCTGGGATAGGATGAACAGTGTTGTGATGAACTTACGTGATGATGACATTTACGTTACGACTGAACCAGAGCAGATATTAAATTCTAGAGCACTGATGTTCCTCAAGATATATGACGGATGGCCGCAGCCTATTGGCTTTCGATTGAGATGGTCGGTTTTTGGATTCTTTTGGCAGCATCCAATGAAAACGTCAATTACCGTTGGAGCATGTACTATCAGCTTTACTCGCGAGGTATACCGATCGAATTCTCTGATTTTGCCAAAAGAGCTTGGCGGTGAAGTCACTGAGAGGGATGTCCTAGGATTAGTGATAGGCGACTTGAATCATTATGGCGGATGGTACTGCTACTTATGTCAGGATCCTGCTAATATAATAACTTCCCTTCGTCACAAGACCAAATCTAGAGAGATTAAGTTTGAGAAGAATATAGATGTTCCCTTTGTGGAGGACCTTATTGGCACTGGTGTATTTCTAGATGGGAAAACAAACCTTCTCAGGGCCTATAAATCTCGAGATCCTTATTATGCTCCAGAAACGGTACTCAATAATACGTGGAAATACGACTGGTTGGTAGAGAACTTTTATGCTAAATTGGACTACTACTAACACACCGGTGGCTCCCCGACTGTGATATTAACTCATACTCAATACTCAATGTACACTACATATTATATACCGAATTTATACACCAAATTAATATGTTGATTAAACTATGAATGTTGAATAATTTATATACATACATCTTAAAAAGAAAACAGCGGCCTATTCTTCTTTCTCTAAGAATATCAAGTTCTTTGACATTTATGTCAATATTTACATATATACATATGCCTTAGTATATCCTTAAAGATCCTATCGCGAATCGCGCTGTGTAATAAAACTGTTTTTTACAGGAATGGTTTAAAATTGATACCTCATCATGCTTCTAGTTTCAGTATATTGAAAATATAAATAATTAAATAGTTTTCATGTACTCACCAATTGTGTTTGAAGAGAGCAAGTGACGTACTTATGTACGGCAGCATAAAGTATAAGGAAAATTGATGGGCTTTCCACAAATCTCCAGATAATTCGATGGCATTGAAGATTGTGATACTTAGGGCTATCACTAGACTTTGACCAACTTCCAGACCATTGACACCAGCTAATATGTTTATGGCATTTGTACAAAACACTGCCAGCATTCCCATGTATATGTAGTACAATAACCACAGATCAACAGAGAATCCAAGCCAGGAACGCAATGGCTTTGGCACTATGATTAGAGTAGAATTGAAGTTAACATAATATACCATTAAAAGTGGCAATGAAGCAATTGTAGGGAGGAGTAATTTATGTCTCCATCGAAGATCCAAGACATCATCAGCAAAACCCAGTAATAGCATACAACATATTGAAAGTAATGCGGCTAACAATTCAACGAACTGTAACAAAAAGAATAATGACATTACCAAGTCTGAAAAGTCATTAATATAAAAAAATTGCACCATTCTTCACCTCGTTATGCGGAAAATTAACATTATTGAATATATAATCACTAAAAGGTATAGGAATAAACAGGAACATCGTGATGAGGAACACGCAACCTGTAACAACACCCAAGGCTTCAGGTCTGCAAGAATAAAGCAATGTAAGTAAATGTCTCATCGAACAATGTTAAATAATATACCAATAACTGTATTACATTTACTTACATTTTATCACTACTCTTCTTATTCATATCAATTCCATACAGGTTAGCTTTAATAAACATGTCTCTCAACTTAGGTATTAAGCGGACAGCTACGAAATATGCCCCAATGGACATTATAGCATTTATACATATTGGTAAAGTTATTTTCCACATACTATCACTCTTTTCCATGATACTGTTTTCTTACAGTATTTAAAGCGTAGACCGAAAAGCAACACATCAAAGACGCCAGCATGGCACAGCTGACGACATCGATATCATTTTTCCAACTTGCAAAATCTTTTTCAACGGTTGATTGTTTAGAACTCTGGGTCAGCGAAAATGTGTTTTTTTTTTCACAGTAAGTACATAGTATCATTTATGAATATATAAGATTCTGCAAATACGATAGTTTAACTTTTGAATTTAGTAACAATCAAATCGCATCGATAGGATCTGATAGGGTAGTGAATTTAAATGTTTAATCAATCATAATGCATTTTGCAACGCATAATAGGAAAGAATTCTAAACGCGTACCTACGTACATAGAATATCTTATACAAATTACAAGGGTAGGATACGAATGGATACGCGTTTCGCGCATATTAATAGTACTTAAGTCTCTATCATTTCCTGTATGAATGTAAACAATAGATATTTATTACTAAGTACTACTTTCTTATTTATTGAGAGATTTGCCAATATAATTGTGACTAATCTGATCATCGTGGCTTCTTCAAAAAGTAGCGTTTGATGAACAGTTGCGATACGACAGCTTATCAACCTTGTGAATTATCGAAAATGTTTACCTATGTGAAGTTAGCACTGCAGCATGTACTTAGTGATTGGCGTCATAGCGATTCAGTGGCATACGTGTTTGGCGCTGGGCTAACGTCCGAGAGTCTTGGGTTCGAAACTCATGTCTTATCCCTTTTTTTTTTTAATGACCCACTATGCTTATTGGTTCACCTAATTAACTTAAGATTCATTAAATACATGATTATATTAGACTACAAATATTGTATTATATTACATCGTATACATCCAATAAATTGGTAATTGATCTTAATACTTTCTATCTAAACAAAGATACAAGTCGACAGCTTTCAAGGTACGTTCCAAAATTCACTGCCAGTATTGCGAACATGATAGTGTCTCACTCTATTGCGTATAGGTAAATAGGGACCACGACGATACTTATAGTACTGACAGTGAATTTTGCAACATATCCTCAATATTTACGAATATCATGGTATCGTTCTTTATCTGCATTCAATAGGATAAGATCTAACCCGATATGTATGTATGTACATATAACTATGCATATGTGCATACATGCAAATGTGTAAGGTTGAAATAGAGCTAATCAATTAAGAACAAGATTTGAGTGGATTAAGCTAACTTGATTAGTTAACTCTATTTCAATCCTGCATAGTGGGTGGAAACATATACATTGACTACGTTTAGACGGCGGTCTTAAACCGGTTAGTTAATACTGAATAAATACCACCAAACGACCACCAATCGATTGGTAAAAAGAAAAATATCAAAAGTCAAAGTGGGGGGGGGGGGGCCAAAAAAAAAAGGGGGGGGGGGGGGGGCTAAATTTGCGAAGGTGCAATCTCCTAACTCATCTCTGATGCCACAGTGCTAACTTCACGTAAGTGAAATCTTGCGCAACATTGCGCAACTCCCGGAATCGTATGGTACTGTCCATCCATCTATCGTCTTCAATCGTCTTCAGTCGGTTTAAAACATTGAAAAAAATAGCACTTAAAAAGAAATTACTATTGGAACTGTTTGGCTCTTTTTTATAAAGTCATTCTATCATTCTGCAAAAGGTGTGTATTTTTAATGTTTTGTTGAAGCTCTAATATCTCTCATCTTATTTTTTTAATCACGTATAACCAAGTGTAACTGTCAAGATGAATACACATGGAAATATTTTCTTTTAACACGAGGAACTAGTTGCTCAATTTTTCTTCAGAATTTATTACATGGAATTTTATTTTTTTACATTTTATTTTGAAGTATATCTTTGTCTTAAGAGACATTCAAAGCTGGTAAACATATTAATTGTCTGTAGTGAATATTTTTGAAGTCTTCTAATAATAAGTGTCTTATTTTCATTACAGAAAATGGATTGTGAGAAGCAGAAGGATGAAATCATTGCTTTGGAAAGCATTTACAATGAAGAAGAATTCTCCTACCACGAGGAAAATAATAAGTACGAATGTACTCTAAAAATATTTATTAATCTTCCTTATGGATACCACTTCACATACAGAGATAGTCGACAACCAAATCAATCAGTAGAAAAAGTACCAATTTCTCACTTACCACCACTTACATTGTTTATTACCCTGCCACCAACATATCCATCTGAATCATCTCCCATATTCAAACTGTGCTCATCGTGGCTTAGTCAACCCGTACTGGCAAAGTTATGTAAGAAATTGGACCAATTATGGGAAGAAAATAAGGGGCAGGAAATCCTCTTCACATGGATTGCATTTTTGAAGAATGAAACACTTGAATTTCTTAATATACAAAACAGCGTTAGTATTAATTCTGCTTACACGTTCTATAAAGTGGCCTTAGAAAAAGCTCAGAATGCTATGAGTGTTATTGCAGTTCAACATGAAAATGTCAAGGAAAATGAAACAACTGATGAAAAGAGTGTCGACTATCAACAGGACACATCAAAGAATCTGATCAAGTCTAAAGAAAATAAAAAACCCATACCGAAAAAATTGATCTTAATACTTTCTATCTAAACAAAGATACAAGTCGACAGCTTTCAAGGTACGTTCCAAAATTCACTGCCAGTATTGCGAACATGATAGTGTCTCACTCTATTGCGTATAGGTAAATAGGGACCACGACGATACTTATAGTACTGACAGTGAATTTTGGAACATATCCTCAATATTTACGAATATCATGGTATCGTTCTTTATCTGCATTCAATAGGATAAGATCTAACCCGATATGTATGTATGTACATATAACTATGCATATGTGCATACATGCAAATGTGTAAGGTTGAAATAGGTGATCAAGTCTAAAGAAAATAAAAAACCCGTACCAAAAAAGAAATATAGAAAACAAAAGTGTAAGAAAATCAATGATCAAAGAGCCATCTCAGATCGACCCATTGGCAAGAATCCAGTTCAAATGTTGGTTAATTACAATATTAAACGCAAACAAGTTGAATTCAAAAAAAATTTTTACACATGCAAAATTTGCTTTGCTGATAAAATGGGGGAACATTGTACCCAGTTTCTGCCATGCTCTCATATTTTTTGCAAAGACTGTATCATTGGATATTTAGAAGTGAGAATCAAAGAAGGAAGTGTTCAAAATATTTATTGTCCTGAAGAAAAATGTACATCTGAAGCTACGCCCGGCCAAGTACAGTAATAAATTAATATTATTTGTCAATAACTACATTTAATTTGTTAACATATATGTATGTTCTTTTAGGTAAAAGATTTAGTGAGCCCAGAATTATTTGATAAATACGACTCCATACTACTAAGTACCACATTGCATACAATGATGGACATCGTCTATTGTCCGAGACCTCATTGTCAGTATCCAGTCAGTAGAGAACCTAACGAAAGAATGGCAAACTGTCCTGCTTGTCAGTATGCGTTTTGTGTATACTGTAAAATGGTATATCACGGAATTGAACCTTGCAAACTTAAATCAGGTACACTTTTCACCTTCCAGTTTATTTTACGTAAGGTAAAAACTACAGACTGTACTAATCACTATTAAAATAATGTCTTAGTTGAAAAGCAGCAACTAGTAATGGAATATCAAAAGGCATCGGACGAGAGGAAAATACATCTAGAGGAACGGTATGGAAAGAAACAATTACTAGCTCTAGTGCATAACACCATGTCGGAAATGTGGATCGACGAATACACTAAAAAGTGTCCTGAGTGCAATGCAGCTATTGAGGTACAGTTACACAGTTTTAGCGATATTGAAGTAAATCATTGCATTATTTTATTCTCTGTACGGCACACTCATATTATAGAAATCGGATGGCTGTAATAAAATGATCTGTTGGCGTTGCAATACATATTTCTGTTGGATCTGTGGAGGACGTCTCAATCACAAGTCGCCATATTTGCATTTCCGAGATCCTGAATCAAAGTGCTACAAAAAGCTATTCCGCCAAGTATTAATACCATTAGATCCAGGTGACCCTGAATATGATGAAGATAACCTGGACTTCCCCGCCGTATACCTCGGCAACGATTCCGATGACGAAAATTTTTCTGACGATGTTTTTAATATGGATGATGAATTATCATAGTTAAAATAGATAGCTCTATGCTGTATTTCATATGTACACGTATTTTATTTTTCGGAAGGAAATTCTGTTCATTTTATTTCTTTTTCTTTTAAATTCGATTATCTCAAAATGAACATCAGATGAATGAGCTGTAACTAGTTGTGTTCAAAGTTTACATCAAATCACATTGTATACTCATTTTTCGCCAAAGAGATTGCGATAATCTGTGATTGATGTAACTCTAGATAAAGAATATTTAATTAATTGCTAGTCAGCGAGTAACGACATTCAGTATCAAGAATGAAAAAGTTGGCTAATTTCAATGTGAAATATCTCCGTTCTGTAGAAAACGAATACTGCTGTACAGAGCTAAGATATTTTTTCCTAGACATTTTTTCTTTTGAAAGTAAAAACAATAATATAATATTTTATATATTATTAAAACACAGCATAGCATAATGCCAATTGTATATTGCAAGTAATAGTAGTTAAAATTTATGTACATGCTGAAGATTTGTTAGATATCTCCTATTGGTTTTCTATTTTGTATATTTTTCCCCCGAACTTGACGATAGCTTCTATAACAAAAAAAAATATTTGCTACAGCGGCAAACATTCAAAATGAATACTTATAAGGTATTTGCATCTAAGATGTATTCTATTGGCATCGAATTTTTGTTATTTGTAAAAATTATTTGAATATGTGGTTTCGGGCAAGACAATTATGGTGTACGATTATTTCATTTATTTATTTGATACAGCCTCGTGTATTCATTTATTATAATTTAAATAAACTACGTGTAAGAGAAACTGTTTTTCATTATACCCACTGAGTTTACTCTCTTGACCCTCTTTATCAATATCTTTTGGGTTATACAATATCCAATGTCCACAAAAAAAGTGAAAAACATAAATGCCATTAATGTTTAATATTTTGAATCTTGATAACATGAAATAAATATTAAAATAATATGACGCTTCGAATTTTGGTTCTCTGCGAAGTCAATGTGAAATACATACGCTAGTCGCTCGATCTATACGCTTTATTACTTCATGGGTTGATGGTTGAATCTTTATGTTCAGTGTTAGGAATACTCGGTTGATATGTGAGATAGAATATTTTTTAAATATTTTGCAGAATCTAACAGGATGAAGAAACAGAATAAGTATTCGATAGACCACGTTGAAGATTTCGAAGTGAAAATGATTATATAATCATGTCGCCTATCACAGACAGTTGATCGATAATGATCCCAAAAAATATGAATCATACACTTCTCATGTGAGAAGTGTATTTGGAATTCACGTGCGGTATGAATATTTGAAAATTAACCGACAATTGAACTCAAGTGGAAACTGATTTCCAGAAAATAACAACAAGGTGGCAGTGACGTCATTGCATATTTGCGCGCGGATTTTCGCGTGGGCATGGGATCTTCTCGTAGGTAGCACTACATATCCAATGCAACACGTGAGTATACATATAATATACATTCTCTACTATACTAAATATGTATATCTGTAACTTGCATAGAGTTTTAGGTTAATATGTTGTTTTGAACATGATTCAGAAGTATATATTAGTATATTGATGAACATTAAACTGTATCGTTTGTGTAACTACGAAACGTATGTTTTAGCACATGTCTTAGCCCAGTTGATGAACAGTTGCGATACGACAGCTTATCAACCTTGTGAATTATCGTAAATGTTTACCTATGTGAAGTTAGCACTGCAGTATGTACTTAGTGATTGGCGTCATAGCGATTCAGTGGCATACGTGTTCGGCGCTGGGCTAACGTCCGAGAGTCTCAGGTTCGAAACTCATGTCTTATCCCTTTTTTTTTTAATTACCTTTATGCTTATTGGTTCACCTAATTAACTTAAGATTCATTAAATACATGATTATATTAGACTACAAATATTGTATTATATTACATCGTATACATCCAATAAATTGGTACATGAATCAGCGAACGTTTCTTCTTCCTGAGAGCTTGCCTGTGACAAACACCTATGGTACGCTGTTTCATTTTTTAATAGCATAAATAATATTCAGACGAATGAGGCATTACAAAAAATAACAAAACAAAAAAAATTGCACTTATAAATCTTGGGCATAAAATGATGAGCATATAAAGATGAATTCATGGCTACGGAAAGACATCATTTTTAATACATCGAATTCTCAGAAAATTATGTCGAGGTATAATTTTAATTCTGAATTATTTTTTACATCAGAACATACTGATAATGCGAGATATTAAAAATACAATTATCTTTCCGTAAGCTTGAATAAAAAAAATTCACTAAATTCAATCAGGCTGCTCAAAAATGTATGAAACTAAAAATTTCTAAACAGATACACTATTCGTCTCATGTCACCATACATATGTATAAAATAATTGTGTGGGTTTTTTACGCTTTTGCAATTACGTTTACGCTTTAATAAGTGCAATTTTTTGGGACCTTTTTTACTGCTTTTCTATTTGGCTGAATAATATTTAAACTATCAAAAAGTGAAACAGCCTGCCATACGTGCGAGTGTTATTAAATTTTTTTTTAATCAGACCACGCTGCGACCACGGCACATTAAAACTAAAAATGAAATGGAGAAATGTATCTATATTAGAAATGCAAAAGCGTTATGCGAATGAAACGAGATTTTTTTTTCCATTGCTGTCAATTTTTCTCTTACATCTTCATGAGAGTCTGTGTCGCAACAAGTGAGGCTGCTGACTTCCACCAGCTATGGATTATCATATATGAAATATACGCATTGAGCGTGTTGTAACGATTCAGCTTCAGAATCGTAAGGTGCCGAGTTCACGTCTAAAGACGAAAACTTTTTTTTTCTTCATTTCTTTTTTGTTTAAATTTTTTTATGACTTGGTGTTGCATGCTCGCATAGGAGGGCGAAGTTCAAAAATAATACAGTCCTAAGCAAATCACACGCGAAATAAAATATGTGTAGTTCAAGACATTGCATATACAGTTTTATAACAAATACTTTATGCAATGACATGTGCGCCTTGCTAGAAACTTCATTATTTTCCATTTATCAAATAAAACACATGAAACTCGGTGATGAACTATAGCAATCGTAGAAAAGTAATAGTGAACGAAGCCTTTTCAAGAATATGTTTTCTTCAACGCGGTTCAATGCATAAACTCCGTTTATCTTCAAAATACAAGTGTCTGATTAGCTAATAGCACAGTGAAACCGATTTATACATTGAACCGCGTTGAAGAAAACAGGGCTAATACCTCGTCTACAACAGAACATGGTTCGTAGACATTTGTCGTACGTCTTTCTACAAGAACCTCATCAGAATTATTTTTTCCGAATTAGAAGCACTATACACGTCTATGGACAGCATGCGATGCTAGCAGCATTGAGAGTACGTTCCGAAATTCACCACAAGTACTGCGAGCATGATAGTGTCTTATTCTCTACTCTAGTTAATACCATTAATACCAAACGTATTATGGATCATCCCTCTCATTTTATTTCCATAAGACGCAGTCAAGCTAATTGATCTTAATACTTCCTATCTAAACAAAGATACAAGTCGACAGCTTTCAAGGTACGTTCCAAAATTCACTGCCAGTATTGCGAACATGATAGTGTCTCACTCTATTGCGTATAGGTAAATAGGGACCACGACGATACTTATAGTACTGACAGTGAATTTTGGAACATATCCTCAATATTTACGAATATCATGGTATCGTTCTTTATCTGCATTCAATAGGATAAGATCTAACCCGATATGTATGTATGTACATATAACTATGCATATGTGCATACATGCAAATGTGTAAGGTTGAAATAGAGCTAATCAATTAAGAACAAGATTTGAGTGGATTAAGCTAACTTGATTAGTTAACTCTATTTCAATCCTGCATAGTGGGTGGAAACATATACATTGACTACGTTTAGACGGCGGTCTTAAACCGGTTAGTTAATACTGAATAAATACCACCAAACGACCACCAATCGATTGGTAAAAAGAAAAATATCAAAAGTCAAAGTGGGGGGGGGGGGGC